AAATAAAACCCTACAATTGGGTTACATATTGTAATTTGATAATATTGAATTTACAGATAATTGAAATAATTAGGAATGCAATATTTATCGTTTAGACATGAATTATAAAAATGCGTAGGTATCTACAATTTTTGTTCGCAGTAAACTGTAATTGGTATCTTATTACAATGTTATGTTATCATCAAACGTTGTGACAACGAATGCAATTTAAAATGATATTCAGAAACTCGGGTTTGCACATGAAATGTATTCGTTTTTTTTTATTCTACTTTATATTTGTATTTAAATCAAAATGTCAATTGTCCACAAAATGTTATAGTTACATTTTTCTATAGAAAATACTTATTAAGTATATTTTATTTTGTACAAAGTATTTACGAAAAATGTGTGTTGTCCTTGCATATAAATTTTTGTTTACTTTTTTTATAAATGGTTTATGTTTTATATTAAAAATATTAAAAACAATGTTGCCGAACTGTCCTAGATCGCCGTAATTTATTTCGGCCAGGAATGTATTGCAAAATAGTTAACTTATAAACTATGAACCTAAGTCGATTAACCGATACATCTGGAACCAGCAGTCGTGATTGTATGCGATGGAAAGCTTTAGTGACCTACAATTATCCGTATAATCCATACACAAGGTGTATAAAGTTGCAATGTTGACTGTTGTGCACTAGTGTCGTTCTATATGTGTCATGATCCTTTCAACCGGAAACTGCAAAAAAGGCCTAATTGTGCCAACCTCTCGTCCCACCCTTTCGATCACAACCCCTTAAAAACGCTTTTTAATACAACACCGCAGCTGTCCAACAGCCCAACTATATAATATGTGTTTGTGTACTTAAACACATCTAGTACGCATAGATACATGACAATAATAATTAATACATATATATATATATATATTTATGTATGTATATATATTACATATGAGTGTACCTAAAATAAAATATATATGCTCTAAATAACTTATAAACGCCTTATAGCACATATTATTTGTTTCATAGTAAATATTATACAAAAAATCTACAAAAAAAGTGCGGTTCAGATAATAGGCGGTCAAATAAATAATGGTATCAACAGGAAATAGTCGAAATACGCAAACAATAATCATCAGCCCGATGCATACAAAAACAACATAATTGATTTATCTTATAATGACTGTACATAATCGATCGTCCAATTTTAATCCAACGTCATATTTACTCTAAAATTGGAGATATCATATGACAATATTTTAGTAAGGAGCAAAGTAAAAAAATAATAATATTTACTACCGAGTTGATTGCACCTGAGAAACATTTACATGGATAACTTTATGTTTAAACATCTTATTGAACAACGACCGTGAAATAAAATACAAAACAAACACGATCAAACATAGAGATAATAGGTTTTTGTCGATATGACACAATAGTGCAGCTTCATTTAGCTTGGAAAAGCTTTGGTTTTATTTTTAAATACTATTATACCCATCAGTAATGCAACGAATATGATGTTCGACATTATGACACAATAAGGTAATCGATTTTTTATGGTTTCGTGAAAGTTTACATTATAATGTAAAGACAAAACGAAACTGGGCTTGCGGTTCAGACGAAGTAATCTTGGTACAGCTCGTGATCTAGCAACGTCAATAATTATTACGACACACAGTATGGTTAATGGTCAACAACCAAGGTCATTGGTAATACATGATTTTGTAAAAGCCGTTTTTTTCTTCAATGAGTCACTAGACGAACGCCAAACAAATAACAATGCAGTCGTACATACCGAGGGTGTAAATTCTTAAACCAGTAGGTACATATGATATCTGTAGTCGGGTGTCTTAAAACATATTATAACATTTATTATATTTGGGCATGTAACAAGTCAGTAGGGGCGAGTTGGACACGGTCGACTTCCGTATATTAATTATACGCGATTTCCCCCTTAAGAGGTAAGTTTTATTTTTTCGAAAATTAGATACACCGCAGCTGTTGTTTTTTTTGTTCTGCGCGAGTGTCGGTTGGTCAACGCAATACCTATTATATTGTTCGGATTCACTCTCCCAGAAAATAAAACTGTGAGCAGAAAAACTATTGCTGCTGCCGCACTAATTATCATCATCATGACTGAGTCTCCATCGATGATACATCAATCGCTAGAAAACATGGTTAAATGGAGATTTTTTTTTTTTTGTAATATACAAGGAAATAGTAGAGCAGAGTTTAGATGCGTGCACAGACTGCACACGGGATTTTGTGCTTACACTGCCAGAACCGAAGAGTCAACATATCGGTTTGAACGACTCGCTGCTTACCTACCACGGTCAATATAGTATACATACTACTATTTAAGCACATTGTACAATTTGACCACGTTAGTTAGATTAATGTTTTCACTACGATTACGAAAATTATTTTACGTTCGGCAATTTATTTGTTTTTTTTAAATTTTTTTTTGGTTAAGCCAGGTGCTGAGTCGGCTTGAATACATCATCTATCCCGCCGTCAGCCGGCCGACGTGCCGGCTGCCGTGTCGTTTTGTCATAATATTTTAGGGAACGGTAATAATGTAGTAATATAATATCATTACTTTTTAATACAAAATAATAACGTGTAAAAAACGAAACCGTTAACCGTTGAAAATCGGACCAAAAACTTATAGTGTTCATCAATGACGCTACAAAAAATACCGTGTAGCATAATAATGATGATAAAGAATAATTTTTGTAATTTGGAATTTTGACCTCTAGTAGATTTCCAAACATAAATACCGATTTCGGTAGTCGAACAACTCATAGAGAAAATAAACACAAAAAGTGCCCTTATCTGAATTGATAATAATAATATTTCATATGATTATTTAATAGATGATTCACACTAATGATTCATCATTGTGCCATATAAAAGCAACACCGAACTACATAATTCCGAAGATTAGGTTAAGTAAGGTCAGTTTCAACCACAAACAATTGTTGATTTCCGGGAATAAAATACAATTTTTTGTAGAAAATAGCTTTAAAATACCAGCAAAAATATATTTAAAGTGACTATTGTCCAATGCTATTAACCAATCATTATTATTAGAACAAATTATTGATTTAATGAATGAATTAAATGATATTGTTATAAGTTACCACATGAAAATTACAAGTTGATGGTAGTATTACATACATTATAATCCTAAGCCATTGATTATAAATAAATAATAATAATATTTAGAATAAATATCCTAAACTAACAACAATATTATCATCAGCTCAATATTATTTGTTATATAATTATAATTTATAAGACTTAATATAATACACAAAACAAATTATAGATGGTTGAAATAATTCCGTTTCAGAATACTTAAAAACTAATATCATAATATGGAAACTAATTGGGACTTATTAGTTATTGCCTGGTTTATAAGTTGGTATAATTATTTATTTATTACTATAATAATTATATTACATTTTACAAAACTATATTATTATTTTAATAATTAATATGAATATTGAATCCTTATTAAATATTTATTAACTTCCTGTTATTATGACGATCATGGCGATTATGCGTTCGTTTAATCTTCGAATAGGACAAAAATAAATAAACATACTAACTTTGTAACAAGGGAGACGATTTTTATTAGTATAATGTCAAACAGGCAATTGGATTTCATTAAAAACGGAAAACGGTAAAGCCGACATTCCGGCTGTGTAATTCTGTTTTTCTTGGGAAATGCAATTTCCTTCATGAAAACAAACGCGAGGGCGGGGTTATGGTATTCTCTCTTGCGACGGTCGATAAAACAAATATAAGCCTAAGGGATTTGGGCGCAAAACGTTTTTTACACTACGAATAGAAATATACAGAAAGTGGAAATGATCATATAAAAACATTTTTGTGTTCGTACCAAATTCTGAATACTTAGACTTGAGTTTTTTTTATAACAAAATTCAAAAAAATTGTTTATTTTAAATCAGAATACTTTGTATACAAATAAGTAATAACGATTGTGCTTTTACGGTTCAGTTTATTTATTTAAAATCAAACATACGTTCTCTACGTTGTTTGCGTGAAAAGCAATTATACCAATATTAATATTGTTGTGGACAAAATTAACTTTAAAACGGTCTGGCCCCTTACCCATTTTTGTACCTATATTTTATTCTAATCAAAACTGGTCTTATCAGTTGTGTTTATTGTTTTCAACAAGCGCAGTTAATTTATAGAACCGTCACCAATTAATTTAAGAAAAAGAAAAATAAGTCCGCTTGAGTACAGATGTGGAACTAGTGCTACGATCATCGTTTACGGAATTCAATTTTTAATGCCACTATATTAATCCTAAACTGTTGTTTGCATAGGCGCGAGCAGGTTTTCTGAGCCGGTAATAGCAGTCATATAAAAAAAAGCCCCACAGTCACCCGGGTCGGGGATCGAAGGACCCAAGTACTTATTTCAACCAGTTGAAATTGCAAAAGCACAGTCTGCCCTATCGGTATCCACGCCTATCCTTGTATGTATTTCTTCTGATAACCATTTTTTATGATTGATTTCCAAAACGTTGTCGCAAGATTATTTATTAATTTTTAGGATTTAATTTTAGGATAATATATGGGCGCTCAGACCTCCAAAGGCCTATTATCTATTTGCGTTTAGCTTTAAGAGTTATCACTAATTTGTTTTGTGCCAAACAAAACAACAAGACCTATGAGAAAGCTTGACGGGTACTTAGGTAACCATGTCAATAGCGAAAATTCAAGTACATGATGGGTTTTGAAAAAATGACTTTTCCCATGAAAACTCCATAATAACTTCTCAAATAATCGGCCACTAAGTCAATAGGTGTGCGCAGGGTGGTGTCAGCTCAGCGGTCGCTAGGGCGCGTAACGGCGGCTATTGTAGCGGCGTCTGAATCACGCCCTAGCGGGCTTTTCCGTCGACGAAAATGTATCGTGCGCTACGCTAAGTTATAAAAGTTTAAAAGCACAACCACGTTGAACGTACATCCGGCGTACTCACCTATTCTGGAGCACCTGTTATCCGTCGTCCCGCCGCGGGACATCGTGGCGGTGGTGTTGTTGTTGGCTAGTCCGTTTAGATACTATAAGATTGTTGTTATGCCGGCGTTTACCACAGCTGACGGCCGTTCATATCGCACCGAAAATAACGCGGTCGGTTGACGCACACCCGGGATATTCGTACGGGAAAACCTGCACCGGTTGAAACACGCGGACACCGTCCGGTTTCGCTGTAACGCCGATTTGAAAACGCAGTGCACTCGACAACGCCGGTCGGCCGTGTGTCGACTGTCGACTGTCGAGCATGTGTGCTTCCTGACAGGCGGGCGGCGGCGAAGGCGGCGGTGGTGGTGCGTGCGCCGGCCGCCACACCACCCCGCCGTCCGCAACCGTTGTCACGGCAACCGCGTGCGGCCGCTGGTCGGCGGCGGATCTCTTTTTTCCCCATATTCCTTTGCGCCCCTATCCCCTGGTAACGCACTTTACATCAGCCGCCGCCGTTCGAACGATCCGCGCAAACCGCCCGGTATGTACAGTAATAATAAACGCGATAACGTACCCGCCGCCGCATTTACACGCACTCACATGAGAGTTCGAATAGGAACCAGAACAGAGGGGCTTGTTCGTAAAAAGTGAATAGCAGCCTAAATTTATCTCCATTATCTAGAACAGAACCTAATGGTATTTCTTCGGTACATTTTACAATACAATAATAAAAATCAAAACGATTGAATTTCCATTAAATACTTTAAACAGGACTAATTTAACCAGAGGAAGTGTGATTGGGACGATCGGTGTTATACGGAAAATGTTAGGGAAGAACGTGAAAAAAATTTGTTACAGCCATTCCGGACATGAAATAAGACAATACTTTACAAGCTTGAGTATAAAATAAATAAATTTCAGCAAACTGACTACTAGAAGCAACAGATTCTAAATTAAAACTCACCTGAACACCACTTACAAATATATTTGAAAGAGTATTCAGATTATTATTGTTCCATTTCTTTTAAAACCAATATAATGGATAAAGCGCCATTGAATCAAGTAATTAAATTAGGCTAATTTGCGACGGTATCCATAATACCGAACAGTAGGTATTTGACATGTCAGACATGCCTCATTATTAAATTTTTTATACCCAATGAGAAAACCAAAATTTTTTTCCTTCGACTTTATTTGTTCGAAATAAAAGGAAAACAATAAGTTGGATTAAAGTAAGTTGCCAAGTAGACACTTCCACAAGGTATTCGCCGTAAATATTGTAACAATCACAGTTAATTTTATTGACGTGAATACGTTTGTCTCTTAGACCGATAAAAGGAGATCATTAATAGTTAATTCATTGCTAGAACACAAATGTTTTATGCTGGGTTTCACAAAGAATTAATCAACTTAATAGTTCATTTAAATTTAATAGACCAATCACGGGCCACTAAATTATGTTTAAGAAACCCTTAACGTGATTAAACGTTTAATGAACGTTTATGCATCCCGGCTTTAGTCTGTCTAAATCATTTTCAACTTTAATAGCAATCTTTAGAAGTTGTTATTTTTCTTAGAGCAAAAATTTGATAACCACAAAACTCAATAAAATTACTTAAGTCCATAATAAATATGGCAAACAAAAGTAATGACAAAAAATAATTTCTTTGGGAAACACCTGGCAGAGAAAAAAAATAGGTCAGATCAAAAGCTATTTATCACTCGATCACTATAGACATGAACATTTGAGTATGCATATCTTAATATTATCTTACGGCTGTAGATTATCTGTAGCTGTTCCAAACATGTACATAATATTAGCTTGTATAGTGTAGAATAGCGATAAAACTATGGAACATAGTACAGAATAAAATTAATATTTGATAGTCTTCTGTTTCTGTAGACTGTAAATCGTAACGGTACCTAAAAGAGATAATATAAAATCCATTTGATCTAAATAATATGGACACGTGTCAGCTGCCGAATAATGAGGGTCGATGCACTGATGCAAATAGACCCGGCCTGCATTAAATTAGTTTCGCGTGGGATGATTTATTAATATTATTTTTCATAGATGTATAATTATAGATTATAATATTATTTTTTATAACTATTGTATATTATTTTTGCTAAAAAACGCATGTTTTTCTTTAGATGTCTATAAAGTTGATACTACTCACTATCTTAGAAAAAGTCAACTCAGTTCGGCCTAATACTATAGTGCGTATATTGTTCAGTCTATTTTTTTTTTAATATTAAGTTTTACATGCATTTTGAAATTTGTTTGTAATCAAATTTAATTTAACTTGACTAACTTGAGAAAATGTTTGTAAGCCAAATGAAGATTGACCGAATTATAAATATTCAATAAAAATAATTTTTTACTTTATTCCTATTTTTATCTAAATTTTAATTAATTTAGTATTGAAACATTATTTTTTGTTCTGTGAATAATATGCGATAATATGAAATACGGTTAGTACAATAACAGATAAATAAACATATTCGCACAATAACATGATAATATTATTATTATCTATGGTTACGTAAGCAACACGTGATATGCGCTAATATTTGTACTGTTTTAAGACGAAAGTCGTTTATATCCAATAAAATAAATGTATAATTACCCAATACACATACTTTGGGTTATTACAAGCATCATCCAGTCAACCGTCATTGCAAAAACAAAAGAGAGATGTATACCTACTATAAATTACTGTGTTATTATATTAATTAAACATTTTAATATTTATTACCAAGTTTACTGGCAGTTTGGATTTTAATTATAAGTACCCATACACATTGTTTAAGTTATTTCTAGATTATATTAAGTAGATAAAAAAAAATGTGAATTTTATACAATTAATAAAAATTTAACTATTAGAGATATCAACAAAAAGCACAATATACGGTGTACGATATTTTTTTTTCTAATAAAAATAAATAAAATATTTTTAAAGATTTACAACAACTGTAAACAAACTAAGATGGCGAAATAAATAGGTTTACATCTAAAACATTCAACATTTTCAGAATTTCGCTAAAGAAGTTTAAACTCTACTTCGCTCACTATTCAGATCGATATTAAGTCATAAGCAACCTAACTTGTTTGGGACAAACTAAATTTTCGTTTTCAAAACATGCAAATTTCAGAAAAAGCCGAAAAGTGATTTGTAAACATTCCATATATAGAGAACATTTGCGCCTGTTGCATAGTTTATTTTTTTAAGGGTTAGGGTAGAGTATGTAAACTTTTAAATATCCTATATTATGCTCAGACGTTGGTGCTTAAACTTGAAAAAATCGAATCCAAAGTCTGTCAAGTGATTCAAGTGAAGACGTTCAAACACACACATATATAAGCTGTTAGAAAAAGAAGCAACGCATATGATTTAGATTTGTATTTTAAATTGACTATGTACTCAAAATAATAGTAAAAAATCGAATTTATTTTTTACTTAACCCTTCGGCGGGTGCGTGGCAGCACTAAGTGCTGTTATCTAATTGTTTTCTTATGATAACAAAAAAGCGCGCCTACCGGAGGGTTAAAACGCTTAAGATGTAAGTCACTTGGAAAAAGGTTAATAATATAGGTGCGTTCACTGTTTTTATTTGGTTCGTAATTTTACGAAGTCCTTCCTGATATTTTGACCAATTTTAACTCGTCATAGGTTTATCGCCGTTTAGCCGATATACATTTTATTTATCGCGAAATACTATTAATACAAGACGAAGACACTGTTTTTGGATTGGAAATAATTGCAACAACCGCGTCTGGTCACAGTTTTGCGGTATGTTAAAAATAAAATAAAATAAAATTGTAGTTTTTTTCGAGTGTATATTTTATAAAAACAAAATATTCTATCCAAGAAGACAAGTCAAGCAGTATTAGTATAGTGCTACTTGGCCGGATTCGTCGAATCCCGATGCTATCTTATTGTAGTTGACGAATAGTTTTTTACCGTCATAGTCGACACTGTGCGAGCCCCGGCTAACGGCCAGGCTGCCATTTCTGTTGGCCGATAGCGATGCTGAGCTGTGAATGTGCGGTGAAACCACTGACACGGCGTTCCACTGGGGCGACACTCTAATTTCGTTTTCGACATTTTTCAAAATCCTAAAAATGCACACACATTAGAGCTAGCCGCTAGGTACAGTTAGGCAACCAAAGCAATTCAAACTTATTGAATTTGTATTAATAAAATAATAAAATAGGTAAGTGTCATATGATATAAGAAATTCATTAAAAACATAAGTCTGAATACTGCGATAAAACTATATATTTTTTAAGGAGCTCTTTAAATGTTTCATGTGTTTAGTCCCCCTAAATTTCCCTTTAATTTTCTACTATGTATAGTATATCTACTATAGATAGGCAATATTTGTTTATTGATTTATTATGCTACTTTTTTTTTATTTCTCTATGGTTTTAAATTTTACCGTTTTTGTATTGCAGGTTTAATATTAATTTAAGGCTGGGTTTTTTTTGTTTGTTATTGTGTTAAAGACACTATCCTCTACCATACATAAAGTAATGAGTATGATTGATTTCAAGGATAACCGTTTAGTGTTCATTGTTTACCTAGTTGAACCGTCCACTGTCTGAGTGATAATTATATCCTTGTACTTCCAACTATGCGTATTACATTGTGTTACCCAGTGTTTGATGTCAGCCAATTCTTCTCTACACTTTTTGACGCATTCGGTACCGTGGCGGTATCCAACGTAAAACACATCTAACGAAAAGTCGTTGGAAGCTATCTTGAACGGGTTAATGGTGGACCGGACTCCGGCCTCGTCAATTATGTACACTAAGCAATTGGACGCAGACGTGAAGCAAGCGCCTACGGGAAACATTTTCACCGTTCTGAAAATTGCAATATTATTATTTATAAGTACATTATGGAATTTAAAAATGTTTGACTGAGTGACACCTAAAGGTATATAGGGTCTTCAGAATTTCATGGTCTACCGGATTTTTTGATGATATACTAAAATTAAAAAAAATTACCTATGAAAATCATTTTTATTTTTATCAAACGATAATAACTATTTAAAGTTTTTGTACTTTTTTCAGTCACAAGCCAGAATTAGGGGAGTTAACTTTTAAAACTTAAATTGTAAAATATACATTTATATAATAAGTATTTTTAATTAACATTAATTTGTTGAATATTTGATTGGTCGATTACCAATTTTTAAGTCATTACATTTCAAGTTTAAAATTTAGGACAGGATGTGAAAAACGGTTAAGTATTGCGCGCAGATAAAAGTAATATTACAATTTTTTATAGAAAAAAATGTTGACCATTAGGTATTTATTATATTCACGTTGTAAAAAAAAGAAACCATAATTACATAACTTTAAATTGTCATTTGTCGTTAAATATAAGTAATGGTCTTGAACATTCCAGGTCAACACAAGGAAGAATTAGCGCATTAACAATTAATACTGAAAATATTTAAAGATTGTCTGTAAAATAATATTTTAGAGTAGAATTCGTGACGATGCGTCGCCTAATGTAAGCAAACTAAATACTTTACACCATGTTGCGACGCACAGTGGGCACTAGGCAGAAACCTCATTAAAATGGCTATAAGTATAGTTACTAAAAAATGTTTCTAATTTATATATTTTAGTTAAGTATATAGTAGTCTGAGCATTTAGTAAAAATAAAAATATCGTTAAAAACATTGTACCTAACGGCAATAATATGCTAAAAATGTATTTTTGGTCTAAGGAAGGGTTGATTGTCGGTCTATAATAATTCATTGCCATAGTTACCCATTGCTATAGTAATTAACAATATAATGAAAATATTTTTAAATACCTGCCTGTTGACTCTTGATTCTCTCACACATAGTTCAAAGTGTAATTTTCCCCTTTTATTTGGGTTTTTTCCTTAATAAAAAAAGTAAGGTTTGAATACAGATTTTTAAGAAAATTGTATACATTATAGCCTCATTCTTAATCTACCTTCAGTTTAAATTTGAGACCTCATGTCTTAAAACTTAACTTGAAAAATATATAACATAATATGTTATACTTTTCATAATATTATGTTTAAACAATAAACTGTTATGTTTGATATATAGATATTAAATGATATCTGGATATCTCTGGATATTAGATGAACATGAATTGTACAATATACAGTTGCACATACATGGTTATGTGAACTGTACAAAATAGGAGATTTTGTTGAACTTGATTTTGGGAAAACGTTTCGAATGTTTAAATCATGTTTACTCATCACACCTAAGATAAATTACAAATTTTCATTTTTAATACCATCATTCAGACCTTAACCCTAAAAATTCACTTAAAAAAGCGAAATAAAGAAAAAGTTTCCACCCTTTCTAGGGGAATGGATTTATGCTTTGTTTTGGTAGATCCAGACACAAAATAAAATAAAAACATATCATTGTATAAACAATACCTTCTCAGATCCACATCAAAGCTAAAAAGTATAAACAATACCTTCTCAGATCCACATCAAAGCTAAAAAGTAAAAACAATTTTAATTCTGAACAATAAATACACACTTATTCTTAACTAAAATATATGATCAAACATTTGTTTGAGAAAAATACTTTTGGCTACTTTTATTGGGGTTTCTGTCCGACTGTTCGTCGGGATACCGACCATTTTTAAGGAGTTTTGTATAGGCAATATTTAAGAAAAAAGCGGTTTTAGTAAATTTCGACCATGTATATTAATTTACCGGTTAATTTGTATAAAGCTTCATGATATAATTTTTAATTTAAATAGTTTTGTCTATGAGTTAATATAATATACATTTTTTGTCCATCGCATAGGCCGAACCAGTGATCCGATAAGCAATCTAAAAACGGATTTGGATTCGCCATGAAGTTTACCTGAGATCGGTCAGCGTACTTTTTAAAATTATATTATTCCTACTACGCATAAATCACGTTTGACCATTTTATAAAATTTCAAATTTTAAAACTAAAGTTGGAAAGGGTTAAATATAAAAATTGAACAAAATACTCTGTCCGATATCAAGTAAACTTCATGAAGAATTCATATCTGTTTTTAGATTGCTTATCGGATCACTGGTTCGGCCTGTGGGATGGACAAAAAATGATGTGTTTTGGCTGAAAAAAGGTCCCGGGACCTTCATGGAGCATAACAATTTAGATTAAACACTTTTATTATATCTACTCAATGAATTCGTTATTTTCAATATATTATAATAACTATGAAAAGCTAATTAATTAAACTCAAATGTGTACTTGTGGTTATTTCCGATAAGATCTTTCACTTTAATTTCAACAGCTTTGTCGGTTTGGTAAATGGTGCCGATGGAGTGTAGTAACGCGGACTTAGTGCAATCAACGTTAAAAGCGACTGCCACGTTCAACTGTTAAAAGTTTCGAACAAAATACAAAAAATAAATACATTTAACATAATTTTTTAAATAATTTCAATTATTTTTGTTGTATATTACTATTTTTAGTGGCACAGTCAATGCCATAATTCGAGAGAGGGAGCACCAAGGGCATGTGCCCCCTCCCCGAAATATAATTTTTTTAATAATACAATTTGTTAGTGGCACTCAAACTGACGACTTGTAGAACAATACTATCCTTTTGGCCTCAATAACTAGTGCTCCCTGAAAATGATTTCTTGCTATGTTTCAAAATTTGGAGACGAATGACGACTATCTGACGCCATGTCTCATTTAAGGACCCCCATCCAATTTGTATATAAACTATCTTTCAAGAAAATTCTTCGATGTGATTTATAAATATGGTTTTTCAAGGTAGTGTTTTTATTTAGTATCATAATTAAGAAAACAAATAACCGAATGAATAAGGCAAGTGTGTTTGCGCTCACTGTCATCGGTTTGACATTAGGTCGAGCTGTTTTGCTTACAGAGTGAGAACCAATCTAGTTAAAAGGACCCAACATGCCCCTTTAGAGCGACGGACTGTCGACTCTTCTAAAGCCGTCTTGAGTCCGCCAAGAAACCCTCTCAAGATAGCTGCATTAGGTCTTCAAAGCCTGTTTAGATACATCATTGATGATCATTATAATAGTTAAATATTATACTTTTTTTTGCGTTCAGTTGTCCAAATTATTCATCTATTGTCTTTCTCTCCTTGATTGTTTTAGCTTGACCGTCTATTATTAAAATTTGTATTCATCGAATTCATTGCCGATATAAATGAAATAATTAATAATGTAATTGAATTTTTTTAAGTCCAGCTTTCTACCATCATACTTCAATAAAATTTCAATTTTTTGAGAAATTTTGTTACGCAGCAATTTTAAGTTTTAACTTACAATATTACTAATAATAATACTAAACTCTACATTATATTCGTACATTTTTCGCGTTGAAACAGGTAGAAGTAAAAATAAAATCATTGGACTTATACAATAACAATAATATTTTTACAAACTGTTTACCAGTCGGTTTGTCAACCGAACGGATCCGTCTAAGGTGACTTCAACGGCCACGTCGAAAGGCAATTGCAACAATACGGTTCCGTGTTCGGTAGCTGTCACTATAGCTTTGCCTATACTGAGGGTAGCCGGAATCTAAACACAAAAAACAACACTAACAATAAAATGTAACTGTAGTGGCGCAAGTAAAAAAAAATGTTCGTGCATTTTCTTGCTGTTGGCATTTATTATTCGACAATTCGGAGCACGTCAGTTGCGGTGTTAACTGCAGAAGTTGTTCCACTAGACGGCTCTGTGCGTTTACTAGGTCTATGCTTTGCAAAGTCAAGTCCAACTCATCATTTTTCAGAGAAGTACACGCATCGTCTCCTTTTTCGCCTATCGAATCATTCTTCCCATTTCGGTCGTATAGACAGGAAAGCTGCAAAATGGAATCCGGCGTCACACACTCACATATAATACCTATAATAATCTATAAACACTATAGTTTCCATTTAATCCAAAAAATGGAGACTTAATTGAAATGTTGATTGAATTGTATTTTAGGGGAACAAAACTAAAAAAACGAGGCCAAATCGTTGGCGCATAAGTCAAAATATGTATAAAACATTATATTTTTTTGACATAATTATGTTTTATGGCGTCTGTCGACGTTTTGCGACATCAATTTCCCAACAGTGATAAGAAAAAGCGTATTACAGATGAAGAATTAGTGATAGAAATAGCTGTTCCATGAACCTTCTTATAGGTACCATTTATATTTATTTAAAGTATAAATGGTTATAACCAAAAAAAATTATTCCTAAAAGGTATAAGGCACGATCTTCTAACCAGGTTTGGTAACTCCTTACACGGAAAAGCGTAGCCGTTTTTCTCCAATACGGCGGCAACAGGCGTGATGTTATACACACAAAAACTAAAAAGTGTCAGCTGATTAATGCACGCCGGTAGCCACTATATTGGAGAAAAACGGCTAAGTTTTTCCATATAGAGAGTCACCAGACCTGGTTATAAGATCGTGGATAAAATAAGTTCGACTGACAACATCAAAAATAGTTGTTACTTCTACACTTTTTGAGTGCCGAAAATTTGAACACATATATCGAATTTAGCCAACCAAATATAAACTGTTTCAGAAGTCGAGGTTTAATAGATTGCGAGAAAAATAAAAAAACTCCCATCAAAATGAAGCACAGTCATCCTGTACTACAAAACTGTAATCTGTTCATCTAGACAATCGAACATAGTATGAACATTTTAGGATACAATTCTAACCCGCATAGTCGCAATCGACAGACATATTAGGAATTGCATAGACGAGCACACGAATATACACACAAAGACGTATACAGACGGAATGTCAAGTTGTTCTAATATTCGATAAAAATACACTTAAAAGCATCTTTACTTATTAAGTTTACTTGGAACCGGAGGGTGACAATTCCAAAATACTTTTTTTGTTCATGACTCTATACTATTGAGCCATATAAAAATCATAAAATATGTTCCAATTTCGCCTCTAGCGCTTTATAGGAGGAAAAGCTTATCCAAAACAATATCAGTACTTAAAATCTGTTTATAACTATAATGACTTTAATAAACATCGAAATGGGGTGTAGATAAAATATTTAATTAACGTGTATAATTATTAATTAAATTGTAAATAATCGGTTAAATCAAAATAGCAAAAACAGGTTTTACTTTTTTATGTAAATCCAAAAAAGGGTTCTTAGCACTATATGTACTTGTGTGACCTTTACTGTTTTTAGTGTTTAATAATTAATGTCTGTATACAATATATATTTATGAAAATGCTCTTACAGTTTTTGAATATCTTATAGTTCCGCGTTGCCGACTTCCCATTTTATTGTAACAGCTAATAGGCAGCACACTGCAGTGGAAAAAAGTTTCTCTCTAATAATATTAATAATTATTCTATAAATATAGCTCCAATTTATAGTTTATTATTAAAATAAACCCTCATTCGATATTACTATAGTTACGAAATTGATACCGACCGAACCAATACAATATTATTATATAACAATAATAAAATATTGTTTACGACTTATGTTTAATAATGATTTTTAAATTGTTATTCTGATATGATCGTGTATGGGAATATCTAAAATGAATTAATATTCTATATTAACATTAATTAATATTGATTAATTAATTAATTAATATCTGAAATGAATAAGATATAATTGACGTAAAGAGAAGAAATGGGTGTAGTAAATAAAGCAAACAATAGTTACATAGGTTCTAGGAATAAAAATCGCGATTTTTTCAAATATAATAATTGTTATGATTGTGATTAGTTCCGATAAATACGATAAGTTATATTAAAACTGAATTCATTACCTACATTTCTGGTTGAAATGGATACAATTTACAGAACATCTTAAACTAACACACCTTAATCACACAGTACAAGTGTCAATTAAACATAAAAGCCTATTTCAATATGTAAGTAACAAAAAGGCTATGCCATTTATTTGAGTTCAGTAGGTCCATTGTTTGAGAATGTGAAAGGGGTTTTAAAATGCATTCTACTTTAGTAATTTCCATTCTTATACACGTAAAGTTTGACTCAATCGAAAATACACATAAAATATATAACAATATGTATTTATATGTTTAGGCTACTTGATCAAGTTAAACACAAGACGTCTGTTTTATTCAATATTTATGGTTAAATAATAAAAATCGACCAAAAAATACATTAAATTAATTATACAACATTACTTTTGCTAGATCAATTATTTTATTAGTTAAAACAATAGACTAACTACTAACTTGTACTTTTAAATTGATTAAAGTGTTGGTGCCAGATGGTCACAAAAATTCTTTCTATCTGAAATAACTATATAATATATATATATTATATATATATATATATTTTTTTTATTTTGCTTTCAGTTGTTCGTAGATAACGGTCTAAACAGGTCTACCGGGGGCGTGATGTTGATTCCTATTGTAGGAAATAAGGATTGTGAACGTTTTTTTTTAAAAACATTTTCGGGATATACGATTTGAGCTTTTTTTCTTTTGATCCACCACCGTTGCACGTTTTCGGCCAGCAGTATACCGACAGCCAAAAATATTCCGCCACCCAACAGAACGAACATGCCTTGTACGTCGTCTAACGTCAACTGACGGTCTTCCGGTTTTACTTTGTACAATAAAGTCTACGGAAAACAGCTTGTCGTTACACTACTACCTATTTAACCACGCGGTATAATATATATATCATAGGTTATTTACTTGTTTTGATTCAGACCCCTGAATGATTTCCCAGTCTATGTCCCTGACGATTTTATACAGCAATCCGCTTTGCTGGGCCCGCAATATAAAATCGCTAAGAACGTTTCGGAAAACGAAATTCTTTTTGTACGCCAAGCCCACGTTAAACGGAACATAACACTCGGACCCGACGTGAAAGAATATCTTTCGGTTATTGTACCTAAATCCATACAAGGTCATTAACACAATTAGTTATTATTACTAGAATCTTTTTGAAAATTCTCGCACTTTTGTACATAGCTGCTCTGAGATAGGTAAGTGAGCGAAATCTTGGAGCCGAAAAACGCGTAGTCCAATATGAACCTAGTCTTGACAATGTAGTCCATAGCGTCTTCTGTGTTGTTCACGAGCTTTACGTTCTTGAATAATTTTTGTGATACAACGTCGTTGGTAACGCTAAAATAGTTTTGCCAGCCACCCTTTTCTGTAATACTCATGTACAATAATTAATTTGTTATCGTATGAGAAAAGTTTGTTTCTGGCAGTTCTCTAATACCAAAAAATATAGACAACTCTAACCACGGTATTATTATTCATATTATATTTTAGACAAAGACAATAAACTGTGTTAAATTCTTTTAAATGAATTATTGGTTTGGAATATCTTTAAATGTCGCAGGAATGTTATTATAGTATTTACAAGGTAACGTGTAAATGCAAGAAATATATTACCTACTCTACACGATACACAAATCTATAGTCCTATCAAGTTACTCAAAATAGATAAAAATGTATCCAATAATTTCAAGTCCATGATTTTAATTCCATAATAAAATTACCCACGGTGATTATCGATGAGAATATTAATCACATTATCGATGATTACACGGCAAAACGGTCTAAGTGATACTTTGGGTCAAGGAATACGCATATTGTATTATTGGATGGAGAAGAATGTGTTTTATCCAATACTCGTACACAAAAATAGCTGTAAAATGAACACTATATTTTTTCTGCTTAAAAAAGACTGTCTAATCGACAACATTAGGTTTTATTTATGTTATTAATGTTTGAAAAAAAAAATCTCTAGAAAACGTGTTTTATCTGTCCTGAAAACTACGAAAATGTCGCTTAGACCTTTTTTTCCACGTAACCATCGTTGTGTGTACTATTAGCACAAACCAAGTGTAATAATTTTATAATTTTCGTCTACAAGCTCATATGACGTGTCCACTGTCATTGGTTGAGCTGGTAAAGTTATGAACGCTATGATGGAGCTAGTGTACGCCGTGGTGATGATAATGGTAAATATCCAGTAAGTTCCTATGAATACAATATATAAACACAAAATAGTTTATAATAGTGATTGGTAATATAAATAACTATACTCATGGTAGGTTTAAAGTTAGTAGCAATAAATACGTGCCTATAAAAAGTCTAGTGGACCCGGTTTTCGTGTTTGTCCAGGATTTGATCCCTTTGAATGTGAATAAATTTGTATAAGTACCGAACATGTAACAGCACATACTTTCCAACTGTTTGGGACTCTTGCAGAGTGTCTTCACGCTGCGGTTGTTTGTGAACGCTATTGGAAATATTGCCGCTACATAAGTAAACACCACCATCACCCAAATACTCCAATGGAAAGGGCCGAATATTGCTCTATACCTTTACACATAACAGACATTTTCGATCATGCTCAACATAAAAGTAATTAATTTGTTGTTAATAATAAGTATAACTAGTACACAGGATCTTCAGAATTTCACGGGCCACCTAATTTCTTATACTAAAATTATAAAAAAAATGCTCTATTTAAAACCTTTTTGATTTTAGTTAAGCACTAATAGGTAAAAGTTTTTTTCCATTCAGAAATCAGATTTAGGGTAAGTTTAGTACATCATCAAAATAATCAGATGGCGCTTGAAATTCTGAAGATCCTGTGATATGTATACAACAATATTGTATGTGAATAATCGAGTATTTTCTCGTTTACTTAGACAAGGCGTAAGATCCTAACGAGAGAAACGCTCCGCAGTCTTGTGCGATCACCGGCGAGAAGTCCACGTTTGGATAACGATCGCTAGTGATGTACAATCCGGCCACCCCGAGATCAGCCTTTGAGTCGATTAGATCCCCTATTATACGATCTTCGGCTTCGTCCCTAAAATCAATTAAAATTCCATCGATCCGATATAGTCGACGTACAAAATAATATATTAATTAATAATAATTAATAAATTGTACTAATATTCACCTATTTTTAGTCGTACTAGCATCATGTATGTCCAACGTGAAATTCAATATTTGAGAAATCAACCGTAATAATCTTATTTCGACACCATCCCAAGAAGCGCTTTTTTTATTGTAAGTTTCGTCCTTTTTTATATGTGAACTAAAAATAATTGATTAGTGTTTAACGATAATTTCTTTGAATTACAAAACGTTTTCTGTTTTCTCTGGGTAAAACAAATTAAGCCCAAATACTGTTCAAAGCTACTGTAATTTCTAACCAAGATCTGTCCCTTCTGTATCGCGATGGCCGATGAAGATTAGAATTTCGAATTTCTTATATACTTAGGATTTTTAATTTATTTGCAACTCTTTTTATAGTACCTGCGGAATACCAACGGTGGTTTGTCGATTGCAGACACGACAAACCGATGTCCTTGAAACCCGTGAACCAACTTGGCAGGGTAAAGGTTAACTTCCGGTCTCGTTAACCTGTTTTCTTTCCACGTGGTCAGTATCTTTTGGACACTACTTCCCAAGCCGTCCACGTATACATCATGTGTATACAATTTTATATCAGCAACTTTCTAAATAAATACCGTTAAAACAGGATTATTGAACTTCAGTTACTTGCTAGCTTGTGGCTCAAAATTATGTTTCTCTAAAACTGTTAAAGTACGACTTTATTAATAATATTTTTTAAATAAAATTTTAAATCACAAATATACCTCATTTATAGAAACAAAAGTGATGTGAACATTTTAGACCTTATATCGACGTGTCCAACGAAGAAAAAACGTAACTCGATTTAAAAAAAAAAATTTTTAACTGATACACTCGTTTTCTGTATTACCGTCGAAAAGGGTAGTACAACTCAATTATTGTTTTATTTAGAACCTCTTTGGTCGATTCGAGTTATGATACACGTCGATATGTACAATATTGTCTAAGACCTTGTACATCAGAAAATATATTTGGAAAATGTTTAAAATTAAATGGTTTTTAACTTTCCATTACTAAAATCGATAATAGTACCTAAATAATTTTGTAACCTTAAGTTGACTAAAGCCATCTAAGCAAGCCAAATATTTCATCAAAAGCGATGCCAGTAAAGTTTAATCTTTAAGTAAACGGCACATTATATTATTAAAGGTATTAGGTAAGTAGTAAAAGGTAAAATTGACGATGGTTACATTTGTATTCGATTCCTGCAGAGCTTGACCGGTGGCGGCTACCAATAAGTTCAAAACTTTCTGGGCGATTCGACCGCCTAAAAACTCTCGAATCTGCCAACTGGATGCGGTTGTCACCACAAACACCTTACTTTCGACGGCATGTCCAAACTTGACTACTGTGACGTCAGGATCCTGGCAAAATATCATGTGATTCCTACACCCGGGTTCGGCCATTGACATTATTTTCGACGAATATTCGGATATGTGAAAAAGGTCATATGAAACCGTTTCTATAGATAACAACATAAATTTAAGCACGTCCTAAAAAAAACAATAATTTCCTATTTAGTCAAGTTTAATCATTTATTCACAAATATTTACAATGTATAAAAAATAGTCTATAGAAATCTTCTTTTTTATGTATCTATTCTATTGCATACAATATACATAATTGGTGATTATTCTAACAAATTAATATTCTCTATGACTGTTCAAAGGACACATATCATTGAAGGTAGGACCTATTTACCTCTACACCTGCGTATTTTTGGTCAAAAACAACTCATTCTAATTCAAACGTACTGTTCCTCAGAATACTCCGGATTAAAGTTTTAAAAAAATATTTGAGTTCTTCAAATCGTTTTCAAGGCATCGGTCGTGACACAATTTAAAAATTATTTTCAGTTAATTAGTTATTTCAGTTGAAAAATGTTAAAAATTGCATTTATTTATAATGAAATAATTAATTAACTTAAAATAATTTTAAAATTGTGCCACGACCGATGCCGTGAAAATGTGAAGAATTCAAATGTTTTTTAAAAATATAAATTGATGTATTCTTAAGGACAGTACGTTTGAAGTAGAAACATGTGTTTTTATACAAAAATACATCCTATATGCGTTATAAAAGTTGAAAAAAAAATTATCAAAATAGATACTTTTTTCCTATGGTAATATGTATGTTTAAAAATGTTAGCTTTATGTTAAGGTTTAGCGAAAAAGTGCCTATACTATGCGCCTTAATAAATGCTAGTGTAAAGGCCCCTTAAACAATCAGTTTATAACATTATTTTTAACAATGACCAACATACTTACAAAACTATTTAAAAGTTATTAATTAATATAATTAATAATAGCCCAACAGTGCATTTCGTGTGAGCAGCAAAAATTGTTGAGTGTCGATAACATAATTGTACTTACTTTATAGTATAAGTCGTACCCGAACAGATCGTCATAAATTATATTCAAATGACAATTACTCAAGTATTTGTCGATGACATGTTTTGTCAATGAACTTAGAACTTTAATTTCTGATTTATTCTTCTATATGTGGGAAAAAATGTAATTTATGAATGTATTTTAGATTTTAGGTATTATACATTCTAAAAAAAATATTATTACATGAACTAAATTGAGTTGCATAATCCGATTCTCTAAATGTGAAGGCATGTAAAAACTCTTAACAAAATTATTTAAATTCATCTGGCTCATTAACAAAAATAACCACCAATACGTTGAAACTTTCATGTTGTAAAATTTAATTTCTTAAAAATGGCTAACCCATCCAATTCATTCCATTCTGGTTTTTGAGTAAGCTAATAATATTTTTTTTTTAATGTCGTGCAGCTAGACGACAAGTTCGCTGTCACGTCAAACTTATTATGAACTTATTAATAATAATAAAGATTTTAATAACAAACGATGATTGTCTTTAGTTTATTTTTTTAATTATCTTTCACTTCGGTCACGAACTAGATGATTATTTTTTTTTTATTATAGTTGCTGAAGGTCTATTTGAAAGCCGTACAAACATTTTCCTTCATACGAACAACATACAAATGTAATGCGATTCGTGTATAGGAAAACGTCCGTATGGTGTTCAAAATAGACTCCTTGATCAATACAAGTTACAGTGGCGCCGAACACGAGTGTCTGGTAGGGTAAATTCCCCATTGATTTAATGAATGTGGTGGGTAGCTGATCTATACTTAGTGAAAGACTTTAATATAAGGTCATACTATAGGATTAAATATTAATAATAATTGTATGTTATGAGTGAATTTTTTTTATGTGGGTGTGTATAAAATATGTTTTCCCCAATTGTTAGAGGATGTTTCGGTACCACTGACAAGTTATTAATTATTATCAATAACCTAATATTTCTTAATATTTTATTATTTTTTGCTTTCGTTATTTACTCAATATTTTGAATTAACGATTTATGTGTACCACTTATAAAAGTTTAGAGCAATATACTTAAATCCTTGGTCTCTATTAGTAATGTAAATTATTCGAACAATTACAATTTATTGAGTATTTAAGTGATTAGTCATATTATTGATTTTTGTTTTTAAGTATTTAAATACTGTAATAATGTACTAAATATTATAAATGTACAAAATACTGTACTATAATACTTTAATATATTTAAGTATTTTAATAAATCACAACCCTAGTCATTTTACTTAGTTTATTTGGTCCAAGTACTTCAATACAATTATATCAGAATACCATTCCATCTGTTTTTAAAAACAACATTTTTTTTAAATAACAACTGTAACTATATCGATTTGTAGATTATAACAAATTAATGGCTAGAAACAAATCTATCTAGTACCCCAAGGTAACTCATCTAAATCAAACGTAAAAAATTATACACTGTAAAACAATCTGTAAGTCAGATATAGAACTATTATCAAGACTCCTACTAATTTTTAAACACACTATATACTTTTAATGTGGCTCTTCAGAAGCAAACCTAGTCAAAATATTTGTCAAACTGTAGCTCAGACTTTCCACGAAGAAGTAGATGATGAAGATGAATATTTCGCATCATCAATAACACTATTATCGAAACCTTCGACGGACGGTGTTGTTAACAAGTTGGATGTATTGCAAGACAAAATAAATTCTATGACTACCATTTATAATATATTAAGCGAATTTAAACCAACATCAAACTTACTACTACATAATCGATCAGCTCCCAATACATTGAAACATGATACATCGCCTAATACTTGTGAAATAAAACAACAAGCTAAAGACGAGTCAGAAAAGCCACTTGACACCAAAGAAGACAATAATATTCAAACTCTATCAAAATATATAGATTCTATGAAACAGTGTATTATACAATTATCTGAAGAAGTAATTATATAATAACGTCTCAATAAAAGTATAATAAACAAATTTGTTTGTTTAAGGTAACACAAGTAGTAAACAGTCACAACGATTTGAATACAAAATTATCAAACATTTGCGGTGAACCGTGTAAGCCAAGCCAAGAACATTATCATGTCACGAGCTTGACCCATGATAAAAACAGTGTAATACAACCTGAACACGTTATCACTAAAGATCAAAGTATCTCTACATTTTCGAAAACAAAAGCTGAAAAAAACTCTATTAAGCCCAAGAGTAAAGAAGAATTAAAAAACTTAGCTAAACTTCAGAGCATGGAATCCAGTAAAGCTGTTTCCAGTGAATCACGTAAAAAAAAATTAACTAATTCTAAGGATATCACCAAAGGAAAAGTTATAAAACCAGGAAAAAATTCCCAACAAATAAAGACAAATAGTTCATTCCAAGAAAAACCGTTGACTGAACATACGTTAATCGAAAAAAATACATCGACTACAGACTTACAAGAAAAAAATCCTAATATTCTTGTTGGAAACGTAGCCAGAGGGGAAAGTCGTTTGTATTTTAAAGGTGACTGTCTCTTTCCTAACTTAAATATGGTTTTTAAAAGTATAAAAACCACTAACGAAACTAGTAAATCTGTAAATGAGAATAGTCCTTTTGGTGTAAGTGATGATGTCTACTGTGATGGCAGCACTAAAAATTCGGCGAATAATGGCATAAATTGCTATAAGAATCTTGATGCATTAAGATTCAAGGAAATAGAAAAACCCAAAGAAACGCGGTTAGAAAGTAACCTGACTAAATGTGCTGAATTATGCAAAGCATTAAAAACGGAAACTTTACCCGAGAGTGAGTTAAATATGGGTTCAAAAAAAACTGATTTAACAGGAAACCACTGTAATATAAATATTCAAAACTCGAAGATAGCTAAGGGCCTAAGTTTTATGGAAAAATGTGATATAGCATTGAATACTAATGGTTATCAAATAGTAAATGAAATGGTTTTAGAAAAAACGCAAAACACTGGCCATCATAACGAATTGTCACCTCAGCACTGCCATGGTAATTTAAGTAGTTGTACAGTAGATACGGATAATAATAATAAATTTAATGATTTCCAAAATAACTTTGAACAAAACATGACATTAAACAAATGTTTTAATAAAGGTAACAGGACGGACGGAACTAACGAAAAAAAATGTCAACATTCGGCGTTGCGCGAAAACAAAAAAGCAAGTTGTAATCAAAATGGAATATGCAAATTTTTACAATCCCAACCAGTACCCGACTGGATCGTCCAAACAAAACTGTTACCAAATTCCAAAGATTCGAGCAATAAAGCGCATGAGAAAACAGCTGCATTTTCTTGTAATAATGTTTGTCAAATGCTGCCGTCATCTGATCGGACCAATAATACGAAATGTCCAAATAAAAACAACGTCTTAGATACAAATAGTGAAGACAAACAAAGTAATTTTTTTAATTCAACTTGTCATAATAATAGCATTTGTCAACTGCTACATTCACAGCCGGCACCAGAGTGGACAAAATCGACTTCAGGTCTAAATAAAAACGAGGACTTTCACAAATGTGATGTCAACAATCAAGGGATAAAATACCCAAATAATAGTCAGAACAAATACAAAAAAGATGATCACAACCCAGTTGGAAGTTTAAATTCTCCTTGTAAAAAAAATGGAATTTGTCAGTTTCTACAATCGCAACCAGTACCAGAATGGACAAAATCGACGAAATGTCCAAAAGAAATAAAACATTTAGACAAAAAAGATGATCACAACCCAGGTGAAAGTTTAAATTCTCCATGTAAAAAAAATGAAATTTGTCAGTTTCTACAATCACAACCAGTACCAGAATGGACAAAATCTACAAAATGTCCAAATGAAATAAAACATTTAGACAAAAAATATAATTATAAACAAGGTGAAAGTTCAAATTGTCCAAATAAAAAAAATGGAATTTGTCAGTTTCTACATTCACAATCGGCTCCAGAGTGGACAAAATCGACGTCAGGTCAAAATAAAAACAAGGACTTGCACATATGTGATGACGAAAACCAAGAGAACATTTCAAAATGTCCAAATAATAATCAGAACATACTCAAAAAAAATGATCACAACCCAGTTGGAAGTTTAAATTCTCCTTGTAAAAAAAATGGAATTTGTCAGTTTTTACAATCGCAACCAGCACCAGAATGGACAAAATCAACATGTACAAATGAAACAAAAAACTTACACAAAAAATATGATAACAAACCAGGTGAAAGTTTAAATTGTTCAAATAAAAAAACTGGAATTTGTGGCTCTGTTCAAAGTAAATCAACTTGTATAACTAATATCGAGGGACAGCCTGCAGAGGAAAAAAATAATAAATTGTCTATAGCTGAAGTAAAATTACCTAACAATTCTCCATGCTCTCAAAAAAACCCTATGTCCAATCAACCTACATACAGCCCATGCTCAGCAAATACAAACGGAGACGCCCAAATAGGCTCCCGGGATTATCCATGTGATAAATGTAAAGCATTATACATAAAACAAAATACCGATTCACAAAATAAAAAATTAACAAACTCAAAACCGCAATTTAATAAAGCGTTAGAAGACGAAATTTTGCAATGCCTAAACGGGAATCCATGTAATAAGAGATGTCCCATATTGGTTAGCGGTCCAGACTCTCTGTTGAACACAATATCCTTACCAGTAATTTCGAAACAAGATACAAATACCTTGGAAGATGAACACAAAACGACTAGAAAATGTCCATTTTCTCAACAAGACGTCGACGCGACTCTTAAAGATGTGTCAAAACCCGAACAAGACTCTTTGTGTACAAAAATATTAAGCCCCTGTGGAACGTGTAACCACAAAAAAGCAACAAATTGTGAAGCCGAACGAGTGAAAGAAAATGAAAACGTTGCACAAGAATCAAGTAAATCTACCAAAAAATGTCCATGTTCTTCACAAAAGAGTGATTCTTATGATCCGCCAAATAACGGAAAAGACTCTTCCACTGAAAAAATATTAAGCCCCTGTGGAACGTGCAATCACAGAAAATCAACAAATTGTGAACCTGAACAAGTGAAAGAAAATGAAAACGTTGCACAAGAATCAAGTAAACCTACCAAAAAATGTCCGTGTTCTTCACAAAGGAGTGATTCTTGTAATCCGCAGAATAGCGAAAAAGACTCTTCCGACACAAAAATATTAAGCCCCTGTGGGAAGTGTACTGCGAAACCCGTGACCTCGTATACGGAGTCGTCTTGTCAACAGACTAGGCAACCAAAAAATATAGCTCCAGGTGTAGGGTTCAGTTCATGTGATTCGACTGTAGCCCGCCCTCGACCTGATAAAACCAAACAAAATAATGACCCGAAAGAGAATGCCCAAGCGTTAAGTCCATGTGCGTTTAATGCGACAACACCACAGACAGAAAACCAACCAAGTTCACAAACCCAATGTAATTCTAAGTGTCCTCAGCCCTCATGAAATCCTAAACAAAGTATTAAAGCAAATTAATTATCATAAATGGTTAACAAAGTTGTATTTAAAATTTACTGTATGTAATAAAATACTGATGTAGTATAATTACACGAGCTAAATTTTAAAAAAAATGTTTGCATTTCCAATTTTTATCTAAGCAAATATCTATTTTGCTTCCTAAAGAATCATAGTACTTATTAAATATCAATTAAAGACATTAAAACTTGAAAGACAAAAGTTTTATTGTTAATTGTTTGATAGTGAATATATTGACAGCAAAGTACGTATAATTATTAAAATAAGTAAAATAAAAAAATGGCAGTACATTGAGACCGATGAATAGTGGGCGAAGCATATTAGGGGGTGCAGGTCACAGGCCTATAGGAATTATTATGTCTGAAAATGATGAAATCACTCAAATAACTCAATTAAACGCTTTAATATGAATCTATAAATGGAAGAAGTACCAAAAAACGATAAACGTATTGTAAAGTTATTATGTACTTAACATTTTGTTTAGTATTAATATACGTTTTATGACCTCGACCCTGGAGTAAAATCCTTATCATATAAATGACACAATTTATTTACTTAATTTTTTACTGTTTAAGAAATTCCAATTTAACAGCGTCTAAATTGTTGAGTAGGTACCAATCGTACCCATATGTTTATGATACCTAGTATGTTATGTATAAATCAGGCATAAAATGTTTAATATAAACCGGCTGCCGGCATCTGGCCAATGCATAAAGAAAAATATAGCCAATGAGAATATTGAAAAATGTTCACGTTATTACTTTTCTAAGGGCTTCTTGGAAGTCATTTGAACGGATTCACGATGAAATGTCTGAATGGTTACGTGCTGTAATCAAACACATATACATACATTAAACACTAACTAGTTACTAGTCACCAGAGTACTTCAAATTGGAACGATTGTTTGGTATTTATCATTTAATAATAACTTTTTACTATCATTCGTGCGTTTATCTTTATCTTCTAATAGCTGAACAATTAATTATTAAATATCGCCTACGGATTATTTTTTTCTTGATAGAATAAACATCTTTATGACACTACAGCACACTCGTATTAGTTTCATTTCATTACTGATTATCACTTACAATAACTATAATATACAGTGATTTAAAGTTTTGGTTACTTTTTTAGTTTCATAATAATATTAATTGTAATTTTTCACTTTCTATTGTCTCAAAAAAATACTTATGGATTCTAATGAACGTATAAAAGTTGGCATACTTACTGGTAAGTACTTTCTTCTATTAAATTGTCAATATTATTAAAACGTTTCAGTAATGGTAGATTTAAGAAAAAGTACAAATATATTTATTTCTATTTTTTTTATTGTATTAATATTTTTATTATTATTGGTTATAGTATAACTAGCATACTAATATTTTATTTATTATCCTACATAAATAAATAACTATATTTGATTTGTTTTTAGTTAGTGATACGAGAACTTACAAGACAGATTCAAATGCATTGAATTTTGATTATAGCGGACAAAATTTAAAGGATTTAATCAATATTCACAACTTAATAGATTCTGCTATAGTAGTCAAATATGAATGTGTCATAGATGACTATGAAAAAATACGGGTACTTACTTTGATATTATTCTGAAATATTTTTAAATTTAAAACTATATTTCAGAGGCAGACTATAATCTACTGAGCCACTTTCTGTATTAGATCTATAAAGTGGCTTATCAATATTTATGTTACCTATACTAATGCATTAAAACTTCTGTGAACACTTTATTAAATCCTAGTCCCTACTATTAGAAACTAGAAACAACAATGTTTTTAAAAAAAAATGTACCTATTTTAATATATACAATATGTTGCAATTAGAACAATAGGTATATGTGATGATTAAAATTTACAAGTTATTTTAAACATTTTGAATGAAAACAGTTACTCAATGGCATTACTTCTAGATTATGAATTTAATTCAGGTAATAATTTAAAGAGATCTCTGCTCCAATTTTGCCTTAGAAGATGGGGACGGCTTCGAGGAATATGAACAAAAGTGTTACATTTTATTTATAAAAAAAATATATATTTATATAAACATATACCTATGCACATTTTTTTTTGTAGACACAAATGTTGGATTGGTGTTGTTCTGGAAAAATAGATGTATTGCTGAGCACTGGAGGTACTGGATTGAGTTCTCGTGATGTGACCCCTGAAGCAACTCTTTCAGTTGTGCAAAAATTAACTCCCGGAATAACTCAATCAATAATAAACGAGAGCTTAAAAATCACTCCAATGGCAATGCTTTCTAGGTATATAACTTTTAAAATTTTACTTCTCTTTTTTTGTCATCAAAATTTATTTTATATTTTAGACCTGTATCTGGTGTATTTGAACATACTTTAATAATCAATTTACCAGGAAGTAAAAAAGCTTCGGAAGAATGTTTACGTATTGTAGCTAAAGTCATACCACACGCTGTTTCACTTATTAAAAACGAAAATGATATAACAAATAATTTTCATAATAATATAGAAAAAAATTCTTGTGCTCAACTGTCAACACTTCCCGTTAGTATAAATGAACTTTTTATAATTTATTTTATTTTATTAAAATGTATATTCATACAGCCAGAGTATAAACCCAATTTTTAATTTTTTAATTTTTTACAGTGTAGTATTTATTTATCATGTATTAACCTACAAATTTCTGTTTAGGAATGTCTAACAAAAATAGCTTCACGCTGTAGAGAATCACCATTTCCAAAAATTAGTATCGAACTTGCCCTAAATTTGCTACAAGAACACTCGTATAACAATTACATAAAAAATAAAACAACTAAAACCAAGTAAGTAAATTACATGCTTTTTGAGTATTGGTACAAAAAGTGAAATAATACTTAAAAAATAGCTTCTTACACAAATTAAATATTATATGTAGTTAAAAACAATTTTTAAAGATTATAACTTTTTTTTTTTTTTTTATTAATTTCATATAATAAACACTTTCTTATAATGTGTGTGAAATATGTATTTCTATCAACTTTTCAAGATACCCTCGTGTTTGGATAATTTCTACTGGAGATGAACTTAAAAGTAATGAAAACGCATCTCTTGGTTATATTAGAGATACAAATTCTTCAATGATAGAAGATATATTGTGCCATGACAGATTTTTTAATGTTTGTTGCCGAAACATAATAAAAGATAAGTAGGTCAATTATTGCCCATATATTGTAAAGTTATGTATAAACACTTGTATATCATAATTATTTAATTTATATTATTTAGCTGGTTTGATCTTTGTAAAGAATTTGAAAGTGGATTTAGTGAAGCTGATATAATAATAACTAGCGGAGGAGTATCTATGGGCGAGAAAGATCTAATAAAACATGTACTCAAAGAACACTTTCAAGCTGATATTCATTTTGGAAGAGTTAATTTAAAACCTGGGTATTTTTTAAAATATTACATTTTTTTTAATTTATAACTTTCTTGTAATTAATAAAAATTTTTTTTTTTTTTTCAGATTACCCACAACATTTGCAACAGTTCTGTACAATAACAAAGTAAAATTTGTGTTCTGTTTACCTGGGAATCCAGTGTCTGCTGGTGTCTGTACTCATATATTTGTATTACCGTTCCTAAGATCAGCTATTAATAGAAATAACATTTTTCATAATTTTAAAGCAAAGGTAATGTTAGAGCATCTCTTATTTTTAATTATTTTGCTACATATTTATATATTATGTAAATAATCCGTAGCTAACACATCATATTTCAAATTTGGATGTAAGACCAGAATTTAAAAGAGCTGCATTGAAGTATAAAAATGGAGAGTTGACTGTGTCGTGTTTAAGTGAGAAACAATACTACTATAATATTTTAATGATTTTAATTTATAAGAATAAATGTTGTCGATCATTTATAAAAGTACAATAATGTGCAATCTACTATCTAAAGTGATTCAACTTTAATATACTATACAGTATACAATTTTAATTTTTTCATAAACATTTAAGTTAATATATTATATGCTAAATGAAATACTTATAATATACTAACATATATTTTAGTTAAAATTCACAGTTTTATTTTTATTTTAGTAATTACTATTTTTATTAAACTAATTTGGTATATATCTTTTTTATTATTATTTTATTTATACAATCAAATCACTTAGCTGATCATCAACAGAGCAGCAGACTTATGAGCTTTGTTGGATCAAATTGTCTACTTCAGTTACCTTCATCAACAGTACAAGTAAATATCGAAGCAGGAACAGTTTGTGATGTTATTCTTACCAATAATGTAGAAAGTATTTATACTGCTATGTCATTGCAAAACAGCAACTTTTTATCAATAGATAAAATCCTTAAGATTCAGGTTAGAGATTCACAACAGTAATGAATGCTATATTATTTTTTTTAACTAATTAATTGTTATTTTTTTAATTTTACTAAAATACAGGATCTTGTTCGATTTAAAACACACGAGGGTCTAGCCAGTGTACAAGAGGTATTGGATTTAATAGAAATAAACTACTGTACTGAATCAACAGAAATACCTATTGAGTAATGTTATTAAAATTTCTATTTTCGTAATCAAAACTCACAAGTAATAGGCAGGTGTTCATTTTTGTTTAAGGTTGGCTAGAGATCATGTTTTATGTTCTACAATTTATTCTCCTGAAAATTTGCCACCTTTCCTAGCTTCAATTAAGGATGGATATGCTATCAACTATGACAATGACTCAACCTGGTTTGAAGGAAATAAAAATGTTTACAAAGTTGTACAAATATCAGTAGCTGGAACTGAAGTAATTCATTATTTATAAGTTGTATTTGCTATTAACAAGTTTGTGTTTTCTGCAAAATCATACATAGTGCCATTAAGTATAGACTGTATATAATCTATACATAATGATAATACTTATATATTTTATAATTTTAGAAATTACATGTAGTGCATTTTAACAAAATTCCATTTATGCTAAATTTTCTATTTTTTAGCCTAATGAACAAATAATGCTTCATGTTAAAGAATGTGCTAGAATAAGTACAGGTGCTCCTGTACCTCCAGGAGCAAATTGTGTTGTGCAAGTAGAAGACACAACAATTGTTTCTAAATCATCAGATGAAACAGTTGAAATATCAATCGCTGTTTTAAAAAAGCCAAAACTATATGACAACATTAGGTAAAATAATTATTTGTGATGCAAGCAACACAAAATCGAATGACGTTTTTGCTTGTGCTAAAGAAAAGATAATAATTAAATTCTGCTTAATTTATTATAGTTGTATAATTTATGTAAACATATTTTTATTTGCCAGGAGAATAGGTTTAGACATTGCCTTAGGTCAAGAACTTTTAAAAAAAAACACCTTATTAGATCCTTTCTCAAAAGCATTATTAAAATCAGTTGGTTATACAAATTTACCTGTGTACAAGTAAGTTAATTTTTTTAGTTGTAAATTAAATCTCTTTAATAATCCTAAAATGAGATTTTACGTGGTAGATTGTTTAGCCTTTATATTCATTAATATTAAACGCAAATGTTTTATAAATATGTATGGAGTTATTGGTAATGATTCAAACTGTACTAAAGGTATCAGACCGATTTTCATACACTGAAAAACAGACATTGCGCCCTACATATGCTTTTATTATTTAGATTTATAATTGTGATACGGTAAAATGTAAATGTTTTCTAGTTTCTACTATAACCAAACAGTTCATTGATATCACTAATCTCATATTAACTTACAATTATAATACAAATTTTGATAGGAAACCAAATGTGGAAATAATACCATTTTGTAGCAGCTATGCATCATATGATTATTACGAAGCTTGTAAATCATTATATAATGATATAACTAACGGATTATATTTATCAAGGATGCCAAAAATTGGACATAAATGTGGAAAGTAAAGACATGTGTATTATATTTTCAAAGGCCCAGGCTTTTTAAGAGAGATCTAACATATTATTGTATATATTTAATTAGGTTGACGATAACAATTATTATTATTATTGTTATTAAATTAAAAGCATATTATATTATGCATATATTTAAAATGTTAATTATATATAATATAATATACTTTTTTTGTATTTAAATTTTTCAAGATGGTTTGATGTCCAGAACAGAATTTATGAATATGAAAACAGTGATATTGATGTTGTTATAATCTGTAGTGATGATCACTTATTAAAATTACCTTTTCAAGGATCGTTTAATCTGAAAACATATTTTCATTTTACTACTAATAATAAAGAGTAAATAAAAAATTAATTAACGTTTTAAAATTACTATTTTAATATTATAATAAAAAAATATGTACATTATATTTATAATTATATTTTTTTACTAGGATTTCATTTGGATTTATAGAATTGCTATTAAAGAACAAAATGATTACAGTATTTCATGTTACAAGTATAGAGATTGATGTTATTCATGTATTTTCTAATTTGTTTCTACTACCTTTTTTAAGACACATTAATAGAATGGAACCCATCATACCCTCATTTAAAGTAAAGGTACTGTATTTTTAATGAACTAAAAAAGTTATGTTATTTTACTTTTTATAAATTTGACTCTAAAGAAATAGCTGTAATATATTTTTTTAATATAACACATGTCTTTTGTTATATTTTAGCTAAAACTTTGGCTAATTTCTAATAGTTATTATTTAATTTCCAAAATATGGAATTATTTGTTTATTGTTATTTAATCGGATTATTAGTTCTATTTTCAATTTGGCTTATTGACCAGTCGACTATGTACAAAACAAAAACAAATACTGAATAATTCATAAGTGTTTGGAACTATAATAAGTTGTATAATTATATTTATGTATTGTGCTTAGCTGGATCTTTCCTATACTTTATGGGATGCAGTACCTTCTTATAAAAGAGCTCAACTTTTTTTCAAAAATGGTCAGTTTTATGTTAACTTTAATGAGTATGAAGAACTACGTAAGATCACTAAAATTTATAATAGATTAATTATGATATTTAATTTAATGAACAATATACATTAATATACCTAAAAACAAAACTATCAGAAATTGTAAATAATTAATAATAACTAGGCTGCTTTAACCTTTTTAAGTGCAATGGTTCAATTACTGCCCACTATACTATTTCCCTCTCACATGGTTTTGGCTTATTTGTAAAAAGAAGGGGGAGGGGGTTTATGAACTGAAAATATAACCAACAAAAATAAGTAAAGGTGATTTAAAAATTGAATATATAAATATAAATAAACCTCCAATTTTTTATTTTTGTTTTCAAAATTTCACTATAGGCGTTTAAATTTTTTTCTTTTATGGTGTTTAATAATAAATCTTAATGAATTTTCTGATAGCTAAATCAAAAATCGGACTTTTAGGCCCCCATAAAGAAAATAGTAAAATTGTATAAATTAGAAAATTTATACAAACCAGGCTTAAATAATTTGTTAATTATTGTTTTTGTTTAAGCAGTGAATTCATCTTGCCTGGTTTTGTTGCCTGCTTTAAACAGAGATAATAACATAGTTAATGCGGAAGTTAAACTAAATGCAATTATCACTCAATATCCATGGTGTGGTAGTTCATAGTTATAAGAAACATTATATAAACATTTAATTGTTTTTTATAGAATTAATAGTTAAACAATGTTATATTAGCAAGTATTTAATTATTTCAATGTATTACAATAAGAAAATGCTGATTGTTTATTACAAAATTGTTATGAGAATTTTATACTTGTTTTTACAATCTATTCTTCTAAAGTGTTTTCTAAATATTGTTTAAAAACATTTGTTTGTACCCATTAATTAATAAAAATAATTAATATTTATATTATTTAGTCAACTTTAATATACCTAATAGCGTCAATAGTTCAATACTACTTAAATTATTAATTATTTACTTTTAAGATGCTTAAGCTTAACAATGAGTTCTACAATGATTAAATTTCTACTACTTGAAAAGAGAAAAATCCAAGTAGGAATAACTAGATAAACAAAAAAAGGTGCGAATTTGTTTTCAAAAGACAATAAAACAGGAATACTTGTTTTTTTTACCAAACAAAAATATATTAACATAAATTAAATTTAAAAAAAAAATGATTTACACAAAAAAGTTCTGGAAATCAACGGTGTAAAAATCATTTCAAATGAATTAACCATAGTCTTATGACGTACTCATGCACTATACTTTATAAAATATTATATTTTAGTACATTGGGCTAGAATTACCAAATCAAAACTGTAACATTTTTATTTATATAGTAATAAAGTAAAAGAGTACGGAACACAATTATAATAACTTAATATAATTTAGTAAGGAATTATTAAATGGTAATTAAATACGTCTTTGATGATTCATAACCCATTTTCAATTTAAATGCTTTTCTATCTATTGATGGTCAAAACTTAGACATATTTTTAATAATACTTGTATCTATAATGCAAAGTTTGACACCACCAAACAGTTCTTTAAAATGGATTTGCACACAGAATTTTTGAGTTACCAATAGCAGTATATTTTAAAGTAAGAATTAAATAGTCGTGATAAGTTGGGTTATTGGAAGAACTACCCCCAACTGTGTTTGGGGCAGTTCTTCCAAAAAATGATAAAAGATAAGAGTTCTTCCAAAAGATAACACAATTTTTATTTTATCAGCGTGACCAACACAGAAACACCAAAATATAAAATCACATTCTATCAGTCTGCCAATTCTATTAGAATAAAAGTAACTAAAATATAACCAACGTTTATCAGACTTAACTGTTATCTCTAGAACTAAACGGCAATAATTCAAATGATAAAATAAAATAACCGTGTTAAAATATATTATATTTTCTTAAATAGTACACATTTTTACGATACATTTATAATGACAAAAAACCAACTAGTTCATATGACGACAACGATAATTATTGGTAAATAAAATTTACTTTCGTTTCTTATTAATATTAAATGAATATTTTTATTAGAATTCTTTTTTAATTCATAATTCAAAACTCTTATTTTCACATAATATAAACTTGCAATATTTAATATGAATAACATAGTATATTTATCAATTATAGTACCTAGCGACAAAGTTCATACATACACTATATTGTACTAATTTGTGTGACAATATTATTACATCCTATTTAAATAAAACTATAAATACAAATAAATTATGTTTTACAGTATGATGGTAGTTGTCTGAAGTCATAAAAAGCTTATCGGTATGCTTATTCATTAGAGCGGTTCAATCCCTGAAACTATCTCTAGTCTGATTAAGTGTGGTAACAGGTATGGAGTTATTTTTAGTAAAATTGTTTTAATTGATTTAATTTCTATTATTTTAATAATTAACATTTCAACTTTTAACTTATTTATTAATAATATATCTTTCAGTTTTAAGATGAGTCAAAGATGATGGTTGAACAGTTCTCCATTGACACTAACTGGAAGAAATAATTGTTTTATTTTTTTTCTAAATAGACTAGATAAGGAAAACACTCTAGATTTGTAGTATTAATAAAAATATTGATACAATAGTAGTTTAACATCAATCTAAAACACCCTAATATAGGGTATGAAAAAAAAAGAAATCAAATGTAAATTATCTTTCTTTTTAATAATTTAATTTACTATTTTCTAACATTGTTAGTTTTTGTACAAGAAAAATTGCATTTACTTGTAGATCTTACGTTTCATTGGTATGAGATAACAAACTAGGTCCACTTGATATATACCGGTCACAAATATAGTCTATTCATGAAATCACTCTTCCAAGTGTTATTGATAGATAATTTAAGTTGAATGGTATAAACAAATGTCATTATCAATTTTCATTATATTTAATTTTAACTTCACAATTAACAAACGATAACATTAGTAAATCATTTAAAATTGGTTTTATATTATAATTATTATTAATATTATTTAACCATTTTTTGTTTTTTCAGCTAGAATGTGACCAGAGGAAGATTAAATGGACATATCATATATTTCTCCATGGACACTTGTAATCCATGACGGATTTTTGACACTATATTTGAATATTTGTTGTTGAAGTTAATTGGATTTTGTGCAAAACCCCTGGAAGAATATTCTGTATCAGACTAACAGTATAAACGCCACCCAGTATTTCTGTTTACCTGCTGTTAAACATCGTAGTATCATCTCCAATCTCTTTATATTTTGTTTAATTTTATTTAAAAAAGTCTCATTATAATTTATTATTAATCAACTGTAATTCAGTTGTTTATTTATTGAATAACTTATTATCCTGTCTTCAATGTCCATATAAACTGTACTGTATTTATGACCACTACACTGATATCTCATTTGGCTAAATATTTTTAATTTTCAACTACATTAAAACAAAATTAAGATTGTTTAAATTTTTTTTTTTAATACTTGTATTATTGTTTGAATATTTTTACACTAGTGTCAATACAAGTATCTTATAATATTCTAGATTTAAAACTGTATTAGTTTAAAGATACTAACAGTATATTACTATTACAATTTTGACAAACATAATTATTAGCCTACCAAACTAATTATAAATATAGTTTCTGTATTTACCTATTTATTAATATTTACTTACCTTAATAACATTAAAATATTAATTTATTGTAAAAATATCTTGACCTAACTAAAAGATTGAAAATTTGTAAACTGTTGTGAAATTATGTCGATGTTGTTAGGAAAAATTGTGTAGTCAAAATTTTAAATACCTAGATTAAAAAAAAAACGGTACAATTTTTTTTTGCTAGACCAAGTAATTATACATTTGTAAATTTTGATGTTTAGTTTATAATATATACATTTTTAGTTAAAAAATATCTTTACTTAAGTATCATTTTATACTATTTATACTTTTTACCAGATTATTTTATGTGTTTTAAACTATTACATTTATTATTTCTATTATTACTATTTATTATTTATTTAAATGACTTATCAAACTTTATGAATTGTACTTTATAAATTATAAAATTGGTCTGAAATGTATACTGTGTTACTATAGGTAGCCTGATAGACAGGAAGTCAATATTGTTTTTTAGAAATAAAAGTTGTTTTTTCTTGGTTAGCTTAATTATATAGTGTGATTGACTAATTTTCTCTCATAATAATTTCAATTAGGTAAAATTATTTTTCAAAACATTTTTGTTTGTGTTATTTTACAACTGAAAACATGTTTTAATAACCACTTACTTTTTTGATAATTTTAAATTAAATAATATTTAATTATGATAAAAAAACAAAGCGTATTTAGTATATAGTATATATTTGTTTATAATTTTATTATTTAGAAATGCATTAGTTTTTAGATGTAGTTTTTGACACAATAAAGTAAAAGTAAACCAAATGTATTTTTTCTAAATCTGTTCTCATAGACACGTTTACTCTCGATAACGAGTGATTTGTATCTGTGTATTGTATTAAGTGATATTATATAATACGTTTAAATGAAGGATGTTTAACATATTGAATACTCTCTTTGAGTATACAATGATGTGTTCGATATAAATTGTATTATAAAGTCCAGATACCGTTATCTTTATTTATATGCATAGTATAATGTAGTAAATAATTATAGATTTAACATTTAAATAATAAATTAGCTTTAGTAAGTTTAACCCTTCACTGCATGAATTTTTTTTTTAACCATATGCTATAAATGTACTTAATACTACATAAAAAAATTAAAACATTTTTTTTTTTAGTTTTGGTTTCATGGAAAACGCTAATTAAAAAATTTGGAACATAATGGAACATTGTGCATACAAAGATGTATAGCATAAGCAGATATAAACAATAAATACAATTATTGTTCCATATATGGAACATTATGCAGTGAAGGGTTAACAATACCTGCTATTGTCTAACAACTATAAATATATTTAAATAATGTCTTGATAATAATTGAATAGTTTTATAACATATTCAATATTTTTGATATTTTCATTTAAGTCAGTTATCAATGAATCAAGGTATATAACTATTTTCTTTCTAATAGTAACGCAGTTATATCTTATATGAATCATAATTCATGAAACACATGATATCCAACCTTTTAATTTCTGATTTGATAATTTTATTATATACATATTAGTGGAATTGGAAATAGCCTCATTAGTTTTCACATTAAATATGTCCATAGCTACGTCTATATCATTTAAATTTTCACAACTTGACCAATCTTAAGTATATATTAACATACTTAAATCAGTCATATTATAATTTATTAAACTTTTTGTAGGCAAAAAGAGCTTTAATAGCAGATTTCGATGAGAACGAGATAAGAGATAAATAAATATGATGAGATGCTGCAACTTGCAATTGTATCTATTTATTTTATAATATGTATTATTTCTATTTTTTATTTTTATAATATAAGAAAAGTATACGGAACAGTACAATCGTTTGAAGAAGTTTTGCAGTTATTTAATTAAGATCTTTGTACCATACCAAGGGTAGATCAACATTTATGTGATGAGTATTTGATACGCTCGCATTAATGTGTATCAATTGTCATATTATGCGATTTCTGGTGTAATTATTCATAAATTATTAATTTAACTATTCACTAAGTAAATGGCCATATTAAATGAATAAGTACATAGATTAATAAAATATGGGCTATGCAATCTTCTAACAAACAAGGACATTTTCAAATCAAGAGATAATTGTAAATTTGCAAATTTATATTGACCAAAAATTGTATCATATTTTTAAATCGTATGAATAACTATTTCAGAACAAATTCATATTGTTTAGTTTGGTTTATATAATAAAAATATATACCCAGAGTAGCTTAATATAAACTAATTTCTGTAAAATATTAAGTGAATAATAATTATTTTAAAAACCTACTAATTGATTATAAATAACATTCAGTCTTGCAAGGTATTTTAATACCGATCAGTCTGATTTGATAATCTCACCAACATAAAAGCAAGTTTTTATTAAATTACATTATATATTTATTGAGTATGACGTTTATACGATTACGACCCAAGTTTGATCATTTTTATTAATACAACAGAATTGTTAAATCTAGTTTACAGTAATTTTATATTATGCCATATTCGTATTATCTACCTATTATCCCATGCAAAAGGGGCCGTACAACAATTTTTTTCTCTTCACGAGTCTTTATCTGGCAAAAGGTTCACTTTGGACTATAACCTTATAATGTATAAATTGATTTATGTGGAAACTTGAAAATGAAATATGTGTTTGGTTCTAGTTATTCATGTAAGGTATTTAAACTACAAATGTCATATGTTCCGTTATCTTGCTCTAATATATCCTTTAGGTACCAAATTTTGTTAATAATATATCTTCTAAAAGACAAGATTGAAGACAAAGCTTATAAGCTCCTACCTGTATTCTTTAACTACAGAATACATATGTAAGATGTGGTAAAACTAATTTATACTTGACAGCCAAATTCTGAAATCGTTAACTAATTTAGGTAAAAAGTAAAAATAATGTTTTATTTAAATAGTAATATAAACAATTTGAGGGAAATTTTAATAAAATTATTATTATTTTATACCAAATAATATTAAATTATAACATATACTTATATGATAGGTATATACTATAATATAATGTAATTTATTATGAATTTTACGTGTATAGTGTATACGATTTAAATTAGATAATTGATAAAGATCTAACTACAATTTGCAATAAAGATAAGAACCTAACTAAAGGCAATGTTTTTGATATTAAAATACGAAATTTCTCTTGGCGGGTTTTTGGTAAAATCGATGTTGGTACTATCTGTAGTATTACACATTTTATAGGTTATGTAACATTTTTTTCTTATCACGCGTTATCATTTTTTGGAAGAACTACCCCCAACTCGAGTTAGGGGTAGTTCTTCCAAAAAATTCCAAAAAGATATCTGTAGTATTACACATTTTATAGGTTATGTAACATTTATTTCTTATCACGCGTTATAATTTTTTGGAAGAACTACCCCTAACTCCCCCCAACTCTGTTAGGAGAGAGGCTGCCATTTTGTGTACAGTTGTTTGCTTGTTATTTTGAGTTCAGTGTACCCAATCTTAACATTTTACTTTAGTCAGTATTTTTGATGGACTAATCCACTAGACAAAGCATTTGTTATGTAGTTACAGTGAGCTGACGTGAGGGCGCTGTTAAGATATTGCGCACTACACGATGCATGCGTATTCTAATTCCCGGTATGGTGTTTATACATAATATATAATATAATATTTTATATCATCTATATATTCGACAATTCACAATAGTAGATAGCCGTTACCGCATTTCCCTCCGGACATGCACATTTTGAATGGATGCTCCGTCTCCGTATGAGGTGTAAACGCCGAATTAGTGTTGAAAAGTTGTGCGTTTTTTATGTTAACAAAATCCCAATTACTATTTTTTGATATAATTTAATAGTTATTTATTTGGAAAACAAATTATTAATTTAAGAAATCCATATAGTATTATAATTTTATCAATTCTCCGGGAATATTTTTATCAAGGTTGGTACGTCCTACTATCATTAAATAAGATGGCAAATTCCAGTTTCCACAATTCCACGTCATTTTCAAGCTGTTAAGGCGAATGACAATGACAACAATTGTTTATTGTTAGTAGTGTTATCTAATATCTATGTCTAAAGTTTCATTTGGTGTTTTTTCTCGAACATTCTTGTAATTTGTACTTTATATAAATTAAACTACGACATTTTATTAAGTGTTTAACTAATTTAAGTTATTCATTTAATAAATAATTAACAACATTATAATGGATCCAAATCCCGAAGCCGACGTAGGAGGTAAATATTTCTATTAAACTATTATAATTCCGAATTCAGACTGAAATCTTATTATTGTTGTTTTTCACAGGTTTAAAAGGAAGCGGAAAAAGGAAATCGAAAAGTAATTGTTTTTAATAAATCTTTACTTAGGTTAATATTATGGCTTGTAGTCGAGTTACAACTATACTTCAATACTTTAGATATAGAGAGTAATTTGGCAAGTTTTGGTAATTTAGTATAATGCCCACCAAAACAGTAACATGACACTAGTAGTAAAAACAACAGTTATTGATGACCAAATCGTGTAACACCCTGCAGCCCTGTGTGTTGGATTGTAGGCTGTAGGTGTCCCTTTACAATCGTGGAGATAGGTTTTTTAAGTGTTTAAATGAAATAACTTTAACTAAGAACACAATGATTTTTAATATGGTATAAGTAAAGATAAGTACAACGCCAGAGTTAACAAAATATGCTCAAAATGCTCATGGGTGATGATTGCAAGTGAGTTTACGTTGTCAGTGTCAGGAATCATCTAATCTGCTATGGCTGGAGTTCTCCCTTTTATACTGGTCCGCTCGCTGAATGGGCGTGTGAACCCTCGCAATTATGAAAGTCCGCGCGTGTATGGCCTCGTTCGTCCATGACATCCACTTACGCCAAAGGTGAGGAGCAAGTGGCGGCGCAGAGTTCGGCTTTCGCATAGCCATAATTGACTAGCGTGTCGAGGTGAGATTCGCACGGTAGTTGCCAAAACGTAACGTTTCTCTTAGGGGTTGGCCTCGTTGCTGAGGTCAACTGTGAACAGAATTACAAGTCGTCTGCTTTTGCAATAGTGTTATTATGACCTTTTGGTTTCGATGTGAAATCGACACGGGTTACATACTCATATTTTAGTTAATAGTTAAACATACAAATTGTACAATGTAATATATATTTATCTAAATGTATTTGTTAGCCCTGATAAGGGTGGGTTCGTAACAGTCGACTATACCACCCCATGCCCGAATTAAAATGTTTTTTTTACTACTGGGAGCTCTCTTTATTAATAATTTGTGGTTAATATTATTTATTTATTTGATGATACACTTACTGATATTTGTTTAATTTCAGAAATTATTAATAAGCATGTTATTTTTATTAATATATCAGTATTATCACTATTTTATTATTTATTTTATTGAACTCATTGCCAATTATCAAGTATCTATAATACTTTTTAAACTAGTGAAGCTCATGTAGCTCTGAAATAAGATTAGAAAATTGTCGTTAAAACCCTATTATTTGGCATAATAGAAATCGCTAATAAAGGATAAATTCCTTGGTAAAGTAAACTTTTTCTTAAAAAATTGCAGTTATTGTAGTTTCTTGACTAATCCTATTTTTTAATTTTATATAACTGTCTACCAAGCTTGAGTAAACACTGAAAGGTAATGCAAACTATTAACGTATGTACCAAACTCCCAAATACGAAATAGAAAACATGAAGTTATACTCAAGTTTAGGCTATAAAAGTATTTACCATAGTTATTTTAATGAAAAAATAACTAAATTTGGGACAATAATTAATATCAAACACTTACTGAATTTAGAGTTGATGAAGAGTAACAATATAAGTTACACAACTATCAAACTATCTTAGTAGCTCAATTCTTTGCACTGGACATAAAGTCTAGCTACAAAATGATTCAATTTTTTAAATAAAATACTGGATTATTCGACGAAATCTAAAATATACCCAAACATATCAATTATATATGACACTTTCTATCTATCTACTTTCCTCTCTTTTTTTTTTTGTTTTTTTTTTTAATGTAAATATAATTGTAGGAAAATTATACTTGCTTGTTTGAAAATTGTCTATGACACTCTAGTAAAACTAGTAGCTATTACTGTTCTTAAAAATAAAAAAATCCAATAAAATAAACTTACATAAACATTGTTGAAATTAAAATGTAATGGTTAAATATTACAACAATATTAAATTTTAATTTTAAAAATCTATACATTTTAATCAAGGTGGTAAACAAAGTGATGGTGGTAGTAAAACACAAGGACAAAATCCTCAACAACAACCTCTTGAACAACAACAGTCTAGGCAATATCCACAGCAACAACAAAAGCAGCAGCAGCAACATCCTCTAAAACCACAAGATTTTCCTCTAGTATCTTCTCAGTCAAAGCAAGGTAGTTCTGACCGATCCGCACATCCACAACAGCCAGGTCAACAAAAACAATCACAGAAAAAAACTGCAAAACCAAGTAAAAGTTAGTATATTTTGTTAATAAAGAAGTACAAATTTTGATTGATAATTTCTTAAAACTTTTAATGTACCTGTACACTGTAGAGTATAATCTAGCTAGAGTAGACTTAGTCTAGTTAGACTGCTCTAGCTGTATATGTACACTATAAAGAAATTTGCTCTAGATAGAGCAATCTCTAGAGACTAATAGTTAGTCATAATTAGTCATAGACTAATCTAGGTAGAGCTAATCTACCTAGATTAGTCTATGACCTGTGTACATTTGTACATGATATTTCTGTCGAGAGCATTTATAGCGTAGTTAATGACAATACTTAGTACGAAAAATGTCGGACTGAAAACATTTTGCAGCTGCAGTCGTAGCGTATAATTTAATTTAAAAAAAATAAAAGAATGAAGAGTCGTGGGTGAGAAATTGCACCGCAGATTGTAAAACTTTCATTTGGTCTTTAATTATCTATCTCTGTATTCTTTCAACAATTCCAAAGTCCAGGAAACGATTCAATGAGTTCTATTGTTATGTTTTCTGTCCCACACAAAATCACTCATCGTACATTCAAAAGAAAACATTAAACAATATAACTTGAAACAATTACTTAAAATAGTTTTAGTTTTAGCTGGTTAACGGGTGGGCCCAGAATGGGCCCATGCACTCAAACCTACAGGTCCATTGTGCACACCCTCTCACCGAAGTCCTGTTTCACATAGTTTGTCATACCCATGTCCTGCTTAGTTAATAACCTTCTAAGTTGAATAGTCCTGATTCCTTTATAAATCTCAGTAACTCTTTAATCCCAGTATCCTTGATTTCATCCTGTCCAGGAAAATGTCTACCAAAGATACTTTGCCTTAGGGTAGCAAGGGAGTTACATTCACACATGATGTGGTATGACGTCTCCTCCTCTTCTCCACATTTCTTACACACTGGTGATTCTGTTATCCCCATGGTGTGTAGATGCCCGTGGCCTGTTAATAGTCCAACTAGCATGCTCATTTGGTTTCTGTTCATATGTTTAAGATCCTTTAGTAACGTACCAGGAAGCTTGATGAACAACTTTGATTGCCTAGGTACTACTAGGTATCTCCATATTTTCCTATGTTCTTCCCTACTCCAGTTTTTCGGTATTGCTCTCAGTGTTTGCTCTGATAATCCTACCGCTGGTTCGGGACCAATGTAGGGTGATTCGGCTCCTTTCCTAGCTAGGAAGTCAGCTTGTTCATTCCCCAGTACACCATAGTGTCCTGGTACCCAAGCTAATTTTACCCTGTTGTTCCTAGCCAATGATTCCAGAGCTGTACGGCATTCTAGGACCAATTTTGAAGTTACTTGAGTTTTGATCAGTGCCTTCAAAGCTGCTTGACTATCACTAAGAATAGTAATGTTTCTCCTCTTATATACTGCCAGGTTTTGAGTACATATTAGGATCGCCATCACTTCTGCCTGGAAGACAGTAGGTGTTGTACCTAGTGGTATGCTGATACTAATGTGTGGTTTCTTGCCCCATACACCAGCACCTACTTTACCCGACATTTTGGATCCGTCTGTATACACTACAAACCCTCCACTCTGTGTCAGGTGGTTTATGTCCCAGTCTTTCCTCAGGGATATTTCAACCTTATATAGACTGCTGTCAAATGTGATTGGTTTGATACGGTCCAAAGGGTAGGCCATTAATTCTCGACTTTTACCTTCTAGTATTTTCCCATGCTCAACTAGTTCACTACTTTTCATCCAGTCTCCTGAATTATGTAGTCTTAATGCAGTGCCTTTGGCGTGAGCCTTAATCTCCAAGTGAAGTGGAGGTAGGCCCAGTAACGCCTCTAGCGCAACTGTTGGTGCTGTTCTCATCGCTCCAGTGATAGCTAAGCAGGCCATCCTCTGTATGCTACTGAGTTCCTTCCTGGCTGTTACTAGTTTTGTTCTAGGCCACCAGACCAAGGCTTCATACATCACCATAGGTTTTATTACTGACGTGTATAGCCAGTACATTACTATTGGTTTTAATCCCCAAGTTCTTCCAAGGGTCCTACTGCATGTCCACAATGTGACCATTGCTCTTTTGACCCTATCTTGAACTTGAGCTCGCCAGCTTAGTTTTTTGTCCAGGATTACACCTAGGTATTTAACTTCTGGTTTGAAACTTATTTCTTGTCCACTAAGTAAAAGAGTTTTGGTATTATCAACTCCCAATCTTTTTCTTGTGAACATGACTATCTCAGCTTTACTTGGATTTATAGCTAAGCCATATTTGCTGCATCACTTGTGCACCGTGTTTAAAGCTTGTTGAGATAGGTCCATAATGGTGTCTGGAAATTTGCCCGCCACCACTATAGCCAAGTCATCCGCATAAGCTTGAGCATACCATTTCCCGTTCAGCTCACTTATGAGGGAATCCAAAACTAGGCACCATAGCAAAGGAGAAAGGACTCCTCCCTGTGGACACCCACGTCTCACTCTCCTCACTGCTTTTGAGCTGTTCAGTTGTCCTTTAATTAATCGGTCTGTTAGAATGGTCTTCATCCACTTGTTAATGAGTGTTTCAACCCCATGGTCTAGTGCCGATCTACACATTGCATCGAAGGGTGTATTATCAAATGCCCCTTCAATGTCTAGAAACATGCCCATGGAATACATTTTACTTTCTACAGCTCTTCCAATCTTCGTTGTTAGATTGTGTAGAGCTGTATCAGTTGATTTGCCTGTTTGGTATGCATGTTGATTCCTGTGTAGGGGGTATATTTTCAGTGGCCCCTTTTTAATATACCTATCAATAAGTTTTTCTATAGTCTTTAATAAGAATGATGTAAAACTTATTGGTTGGAACGCTTTCGCTTCATAATAATTAACGCGGTTTGGTTTCGGTATGAATACCACCCTAACCATCCTCCAGCTCTCCGGTTGATATCCAAATACTAGGCATGCTCTATAAATTCTGCATAAGTGTGGAACTATTATGTCTAGTCCCTCCTGTAGGAGAGCTGGGAATATTCCGTCACTACCTGCAGATTTATACCTTCCAAAGGTCTTAATAGCCCATCTGATACCTCCCGGTGTAACTACTTTCCTGGATAATTGCCAGTCGGCCCGAGAAACAGAGTTCCTCGATGCCACCTGTTCAATTACTTCAGTGTCTTCAGTTGAACCCGGAAAGTGTGTACTCATAAGGTGAGATAATGTTTCATCATCACTCCTGGAGTATTCACCGTTGTTAAGTAGAATTCCTTCAACTACCCTGCTTGGTCCATTCCTTAGTGCACGAAGGAGTCTTGTTGCCGTGGGAAGTTTGTGGACATTCCCACAGAATTTCCTCCAGCTCTCCCTTTTTGACCTTTTTATTTCAGATTTGTACTCTCTTTGGGCCGTTCTATATACTTCCCAATTCCGTTCCAGATCTGATTTAATAGCTTTATTCAAGAGTCTATGTGTACTCTTCCTTAACTTGGACAAATGCGCACTCCACCATGCGACACCTTGTCCTAGACCCTTTTTCTCTATTAAGGGACAACTTTCCTCATATGCAGACTCAATACTTGCCTGGAAGCTTTTTACAGTCTGTTCGATAGCCTGCTGTGATCCAAATCTATACTGTGAACTTTCCAGATTGCGTGTTAAGGCATCTCTGTAGTCGTTCCAGTTAGTTCGCTTAGGGTTTCTATAGAACTCCGTTCTGGCTTTGCCCACTCTCAGAGCTAGATGTATGTGTCTGTGATCAGACAGAGAAGGTTCAGAGGAGACCCTCCATTCCTCTATTCTCTGAACTAACCCTTTTGAACATACAGTGATATCTATGACTTCTTTCCTGTTCCTGGTTATAAAAGTAGGTTCACTCCCTTTATTCAGTATACTTAGGTTTGTTGTAATTAAGAAGTCCATTAGTTTACCTCCTCTTTGGTTGGTGTCACTACTTCCCCATACAATATGGTGAGCATTAGCATCCATACCCAAAATGAGTTCTAACTTCTCTTGTTTGCAGTAGTTTATAAGCTTTGTTAGGTCTCTGCTTGGGTTCGTAGACTCGTATGATAGATACCCTGAAGCTACAACTACTCTCTCACCATTATCTAGCGTTAGCATAATTGCTGTCAAGTCAGCACCAGACCAATTAAGTAACAAGCTAGAATTAAGTTTATCATTTACCAAGATACACGACCTTGGTCTTTCACTGTTTTTGTAAAACAGTTTTAGACCCTTTTTCTTTAGCCCTTTTATCTGGTTCCCATTTATCCATGGTTCCTGAACAAGTGCTATTTGTAAAGGTGTTGTATGCCTCTCAGTTAGTAGCCGCAACAGAACGTCTGTGGCTCCTTTACTGTGATGCAAATTAATTTGCGTGAAATGTAGTTTGTACAGATCTTGTTTACAAATCATTTGTAATAGACTTTATATTACGCATACCTGCCGGGAATCAGTCCCAGTTATCCTCCATCCCCTGTTGGTGTCTGCGCCCTAGCGTTTCCATCTATGTTCCTTGTGCGGTCCATGGATGGATCTACGTTGGGTTCAACCGTTGATGGGGTAGATGGTTTTCCTGGTCCTTTTTTCCCTTCTCCGGTCAAATTTCCTCCTTTCTGCTTCGCATATGGAGTATAATTTGCCCGCTTTTTCCCGAACTTGTCCTTTGCCTCTGATGACAGCGGTGATTCTTCGGCCTTCCTTTTCCCTGATGATTTGGGTGGATGGTTCTTAACCTTCCCGGCTTCATCTTTTGCTTGGGCTGTTTCATAGATTCTGAAGGTGATCCTGCCCATGCCGTAGTATGGACAGTTCTTTGTTGCCTTCAGAATGTCGATGCTCTTTTCATCTATGCCCAGAATCAAAGTTTGGCCTTTGGGGCTTGCTTCAGACTTGTGATAGATCCTCCATTTGGTGGTCTGAAGTCCCGGGTTTTGTTTGGCCAAGATGTCCAACACGTGTTTGGCCTCTTTGACCGGCCCCGGTACAAATGTCACCATTTTAATCAGACGTGGTAAGGCAGCTGATTCCATCAGTTGGATCTCGGCGCCCTCCCACAGTTTGATTTTATTGACGTTTTCAGTGAGCCATTTTACTGTCTCGCTGTCCGCTGCACTGATAATCAGGGCTCCATCAATTAGCCTTGTGCCTTCGAACCTTGGTATTGTTGTCCCCTCTAGGTCCATCAATATTAGGTCGGCGACACAGGTTTTTATCTGTTGCCCTTGTTCACTTGTCAGTCCATTTCCAGGATAGCCCTTTAGTACCAGAGCTACTTTTTTGTCATTGGCCACTGCGTCCCTGTATGTCGGTTCGTGACGTTTGACTTTTTTCGGCGGTCCACGGTCTTCCACCTTAGGTTTGGCAGTTTTCGTACCCTCTGTCACTACCGTGCCTGAAGTTCCTGGGACTGTCTCCTTGTTAAGGTTTTCCATGGCCTTCGCCCTCTTATTTTTCCTTTTCTAAGCTCCGCTAAGCTTTTTCGGCTTGATTCGGAGACCACCTATCTTGTCGGCGACATCTTCCAGTCGGTCTTCAGACTCCTGGTCCGATGCCTCAGTTCTCTTGCCTTCCAGAGGTTCCGATTTCTCGGACCCGTCCTTCTGCGCGTTGAGAGACTCCAGTCTAGCCACTGCTCTACGAAGTTGGGCTATCTCACGATCCTGATCCGATAGGTTTTCTATTTCTAGATCCCTGCTCGTTTCAGTCTCGTCCTGTATTTTATCGTTGATTTTCTTGGTTTCCATATGGTTCCCACGAGAAGACAGGATATAAAGGTCGACCGCAACAGAGCCCGATGTTGCGGCAAGGCTGTATACTACATGGTGCGCCTGGTGCCATGTAGGTTCCCAATAGACATCCGACTTTACCTCCTGATGCCAAGTAAGTCCCCTAGCTTGGTACTGGGGATTAGGAGGAGGCCGATTTGCTGTTCGCAAGCGGGTGTGCCCATACCCACCTACCTCAACTAATTAAAGTAAAGGTAGGCTCATAGGTGTGGTATGCATTCCTGCTCCCACTCCACGACTAGGGTCCACGGGGTTGTCGTGCCCGTGTCATTAAGATTCCCTTGCGGTTATTACTTATAATAAAAATTACAATAAAACTTATACACTTATAAACTAATATAAACAATATCGAAAAAACAACTGTACATGTACAGGTAAATTGTTGATATTTGCCTGCGCTCTATTTACTCTATTTAGCATGTTGAATAGACCTAGACTACTCTAGCTAGAGCGTCTTATCTCCGTGTACACTATCAATTGTTGTTTACTATATCTAAAATTTGTTGGTCTAGCTAGAGTTTAGAGAGGCAACTGCTAGAGTGCTCTAGGTGTTGTGTACACTACCTAGACTAAACGTAGAGCGCTCTAGCTAGAGTTACTCTACAAAAAAAATCTACAGTGTACAGGTACAAACACTGTATAAACACTGCCCCTTTAACCACTCTACCAATTGTCTTCCCTTATATTTTGTTTATACCTTAAAAGCATAAAATTAATGTATTTAAAAAACATTTTCATAACCAAACTTTTTCAGCCTAATAGACCTTTAAAAATTTTAGTTAACTTTGAGTTTATTATTAATAATTGCGATTTTTGTAAACTATAATTAAATTTCTATTGTTTTAGGTTTAAAAGCGACTGCTCAACAACCTTTAGGTAATAAACGTTATTTCTTATATTTTGTTTCAAAATTATTTACTATGCTATATTTAAAAATAAGAAGGCACCTAAGAAAACAATACTTTATGCAAATTATTGTTTAACTTGATCTGTTTAAGTAAATTGATAAACATTTTTTTAGTTCAACCACCTGCCCAATTAAATCAGACTTTACAAAGTTTCCAAAACCAGTTAGCCATACCGAAAAGAAAAAATCCAAGGCAGGGAGGTAAATTAGGTCGTGCTACAGAACTTGAAGTTAATCATCTACCATTAAATTTAGATAAATTGTTTGAAAAAACAGTTTATCATTTTGATGTAGCATTTTCTCCGGATGTTCCAAAAAAACTATTAAGGTATATAAAAGTACTAAAATACTTTCGTGTACTAATAAATATAATTGTTGTTTTAAAGGACTGCTTTAGAAGAATTCAACCGTAGGCATTATCCAAATGATCTTATTGCTTTTGATGGACGTAAAAACATGTATTCTATCAAAGAACTAAAAAACGTAAATGTCTATTATTTTTAATTTATTGTAGCTTGTGAATTACTATTGTTCATTGTTATTATTTATTAAACACTATAAATAATATATATTTTTTTTAGAAATGTGATATAGTAACAGTTACAAGCGAAGAAAGTAATAAAACCCTTGAATTTAACATTCAGACCAAACATGTAAATACTATACTTATGAAAAAAATTAAGGAGTATTTATCAAATGGTTCATCCAACAACCCTCCCCAAGAAGCTTATCAAGCATTGGATATCGTATTAAAAAATCGACCATTTTCTTTGAGGTAATTTTTCTGATGTTTTACTAAAAAGATTGTAGTTATACAAGTTACTATCATTGTTTATTGTATTGAATAGATTTGTCAATTCCGGAAGATCCTTTTTTCCAATCCCACGCAATATACCGGTTGATCTAGGAGAGGGTATGGAAATGTGGAAAGGGTTTTTTCAAAGTCCAGTTATAGGCTGGAAGCCTTATCTGAATATTGATGGTATGTGTATTTAATTATTTAACTATGATATTCGTGTTGGAATACACAAACGACAGTTAGTCTTCCAGCGGGCGCGTTATTTACAAAACCACACACGTTGTATAGTTTACAACAGTACTAATAAGTAGTGATGTCGCTTGGTTAATTTGTATCAAATATAAATGCATTAACTGTACCTTAAACCTTAATTTAATAATAAACTGTAATAATATAAAAAGGATAAAAGTAATACATACAAACAAAACATAATTATTTTTCCAGTGAAAGTACTGATGTAAATAACTAACGCCAATAATTAAAATTGTAGTATTTACTAACACTTCATATAGTAATGAAAAAACTGTGCTATTTTTTTTTTATGTTAATATATACTTGGTTTTTTAGTGGCTCACAAAGGATTTCCAAAAAATCAAAAGCTAACTGATTATATATACAAAGATTTACAATTAAATCTTAACAGCGAAATGGATAATAAAAGTCTTAGTAATTTAACTTCATATGTGAAAGGATTAAAAGTAGATTTTCAAATTCCGAATCAACTAAATACACGGCGAACTTATAGAGTGAATAATTTATTTGAATCTGCAACAAAATTTTTGTAAGTTTTGACATTAAGTAATTTCGTCTATCAAGAATACACCAATGACACCTAATAGTCTGTTAAAGCTCTCCTTCATTACTTATTTAAATTTTTATTTTATACAGCTTTGAAATAGAAGATCCTAATGGAAAAAAACAAAAAATGAATGTTGTTCAGTACTATAAAAATGCTCGTAATTATACTATCCAATTTCCAAATCTACCATGTTTGCATGTTGGTAATCCAACTAAGAAAACAGCTATCCCTATTGAAGTAAGAATTTATATTTGATTAATTGTATTAATAATGGTCTATTCAATTTATAGTATTGCTTTTAAAGTCATTGGGTACTGAATATTTCTGTTTGTAAAACTACTTAATATGTTTTTACAATGCTCAATGCCTGTTTCAAAGCGGGCAGCTTTCCTGTACGTTGGAAGTAAGCCTAATTGGTGCTGCTCCGTAAGGGCCAAAAGCCAGTTGACGAGTCATCGTTGTATCGTCCTTTGTGCCTCTTGAACAATATTTGGAAGTTGATGAAGCTCTTGCTAGTTCGCCGATTAGAGAAACACCTCGACAAGAGAGGTGGACTCTCTAACTGGCAGTTCAGCTTCCAGAAAGGGAAGTTGACGAACGATGCAGTGCGCATGCTCCGGGATGAGGCTCAGAAAATGATGAACCCGCATATAGTATGTGTGGCTGCAATAAGGAATCTAAAAACATTTAGATGTCAGTTTTAAAAAAAAAAAATTTCAATTTTAGTGTTTTTTTAAATTTGTTTGTAAATTTGAAATTCAGATTTCAAATGTGTTACAATCAATTTTTTTTTAAATTATGAAAATTGATTTCAGTAAATTTTATGACAAATTTTATCTATTTTTATAGATTTCTTATTGTGTCAGGAGATCAAATGTGAAAATAAATAAATATTAATTCCTATATTACCCGTGAGATAGGCAGAGACAGGGATAATCGGTATCTAATCGCCTAAGTAACAGAACCCAAACAGTTGGTCGTATTCCTACTTATTTACCAGGAAAAAAAATTGTTTGCTTTGGCAATAATTTTTTTTTTTAAGTTATTGAAAGAAACCTTAGTTCTTTATTATTAAAAAGTATAGAAGAGCAAAGACATTATTTCAGAAGACTCTGAAAAAGTTTTTTTCTAATAGTTTTAAAAGCTAGAACTATTTGTATTTTTTTTATCCTCGCAAAAACATTTGTTTTTATTCAAAACGTATTATATAATAAATAATAATTTAATGAATCACCATATTATAACCCTTAAACAATACTAATATATTTCATATTTCAGTTATGTACTGTTCAAAAAGGACAGATTCGTATGAAAAAATTAACTGAAAATCAAACAGCAAATATGGTCAGAAATGCAGCACGTCCACCAACAGATCGCCGTTCTAATATTGAGAATTCCATAAGAGATATTAAATATAATCAAGATCCTGTGTTGAAAGAATTTGGTATTGAAATCCAAGAAAAATTTGCTACTGTCCCAGCTAGAGTGTTAGATCAACCAACTCTGTCATACCATGCTCAAAAGGTATACATATGTAGGATCAGATAATTTAATTTAATTTAATAACACAAATCGGTAATTTATACAAAGATTACAACAGATATTAACAAATACTAAAACAACACTAACTTTTATTACAACACATCGAAAATACACATCTACCGTCACAGCGTCACACTAACGGGTACAGGTCTTCCCATAGTGCGCCACTGACACATAGCACAGTGGTGAATTGCTTTGGTGGTTCCCCACATACTCCCTGCTCTGAATAGCATCCGCCTTAGATTCTGATAATTTTTCATCACTGTTGTTGTTTGGACACCAAAGCTTCATGAGACCAGTTGAAGTTATGATGAGTGCTTGGCTGACTCCTTTCCTTATAACTTCATAATGGTATGGTCCTCTTTAACAAGTTATAGTGGCGAAACTTACTAAAACAACACTAACAAGTACAATAATATAAACAACTATGCCAGCAACAAATCTGATTAAAAAAAAGTCGGTTAATATAGTATGACAAAGATAAGTCGGTTGATACAGTATGTAAATTTAGATAGTTATTTTTGAAGTTTCAAGTTTAGGGCAAGAGGAAAAGTGGAGTGTAGTATTATTTTTATTTACACGCACTTCCCCTCCCCCCATCCTAACTTTTAAACTCTTATAACTTTAAAAATAGTTATCCAAAACTGGTTATTGACCAGTCAATATTTATATTACATTATTCTCAATTAAAAAAGTTAATGGTATGTATGCATTATCATTTAAGTTTCAAAAGTTGCTTTCAAAAAAGTTGAGAGGGGGTGAAAAACAAAAAAAATTGTGAAAATCAAGATTAAATTGTATATATACATTGTATGTATTATGACAAAAAAAAATTTAAACCTAATGAGTTGTTGAGTGGTTCACAATAAAATGATCACCCTGTAAAGTTATTGGATACGTATGTTCATCGACAAGAAGCTTTACATTACATTTTCTCTCTGTATAGAAATTTGCTTAACTTCAACCAAAAGAATTGCTGGCAAATATCAATGTTGCACCCAGTATCAGTGAAAGCCAACGTTCACACCCTAAAATCAACAAGGGTTTAACTATCTTATCATCATTCTCCGAGTAGTTTACTTGATAAACATTGGCCATCTCATATAGTGCTTTTTCCTTTTTATCTCAAGCGATTTATATCCAAAGAAGCAATAGGAAAAACACATTGGTCCCTTGTTGACGTCTGAGCACTCAGCGGACTACTGATGTCTGAATGACCACAATGAAACACCTAGCTGCTACCATATCAACTGACTAACTGATTTCAGTTCTCTCGAATCAACTCGTGACCTTCCTTTAGTTCACTTGTGCAATTTAATCTTCACCTTGAAATCACCAATATTGACTGCACCGTACGGAATAATTTTGTCTGAACTGTCATCTAGTATACCACAAATCATGTAATCGATCACCGAATCGTCTTTAATGCTGCCTTGCTTTGCTATTTTTTGCATCTTATACACCTACCACAAGATCGTTACATCGCAAGACTTATGAAGGGAAGCCAACTGTCGTAACGTAGACCACAAACATACATCACTCTTGGAATGGATAAAATCTAGGGCGTGCCCTGGAACAACCGTTTACAGTGTATACACATATTGAGCTCAAACCATGAACACAACTTTGCCATGTCCTTGTGCCCTCAATCCACTTGTCGATGTTGCAGCTATCATTCCCGCTATGGCGGTTTCGAGTCTTCGACGTTGGAAAATTTAACACCACCACTTTGGCCGCACTAATGCTAGTCGCTTACTCAATTATTAGGACTGGACTGCTTCTTTTTCAGCGCCATTACCTAATAAACTATACAATATTGGCTGATAACACAACGCAATATCCGGGTAACCACATTTCGTCACACCAACAACGTTTTACATTTCTTACGGCTCCCTAACCACGTGAAAAACGTGTCATTCAAACCACAATATTAAACTACACAAAATAAAGCAAATCCGGGACAGGCCCCCAAAAATGTGGAATCAGATTCTTATGTATAATTTAATAACTCAAAGCATTTATTTATACAAATATTACAACACATCGAACACACGTCTACTGTCGCGGGGTCACAATACACACTAAATTCTAAAGGGCAACACCCAAAGGGGTACAAACCTACATGTCTTCCTATAGTGCGCCACTGTCTCATGACACACTAGTGGCTCGCTCTGGTGGTTCCACACACACACATATACCATTATAAAATATATAATTATAATAATACTAATAAAAAATATATGATAACTATAATTACTTTTTTGAAACTTCTAACACACTACAATAAATCATGGCTTATTCGACATTGATTAATGTCATTTTCGCAGTGTTGTAGGAATTAAACCTGTCATGTCTAGTAGGTACCAAATCTGACGCCTTTACCTCAGCACTATACACATTATTTAATAATTAAAATAATTTTTACTAATTTTGTAAATAGTAATATTTGTATTTTTCTCAATTAAAGGAAATTAAACCACGTGGTGGTGTATGGAGAGCAGATCGTTTTCGCGAATCCGTAACTCTTAACAGATGGGTTGTTCTTAACTTAGATTCACGTACAAGAATGGACAAAATACAGTAAAATATCAATATAACTGCATATTACACAAATATATTTTTTAACACCTTTATTATATATTTTAGGGACTTTGAGAGATGTTTGATGCAGTCTGGTCGAGAATTAAATGTCAACATAAATCGAATGGCGCCAGTATTTAACGTAACCATTCAACGACATTGGCGTGTTAATGATATTGAAAGAGAAGTTACATTCTTTTTTAACAAACAAAAACACAATATGGATTTAATAGTGGTTATTATTCCAGATTTTCCTCCTGGAGTTTATGGTATGCCTTAAAATTAATGATCTATTGATATGTTTTATATGCAACATAATGTATTATATTATATTCAAATGTGAATTTAATTGATAAGTATTTATTTAATAATGTAATAACATATTTTAGCTACTGTAAAGCAATCGTCAGAACTACAAGTCGGAGTCCTTACACAATGTATAAAATCTAAGACTATGTTCAAAATGAACTCAGCTACAGCGGGAAATATATTGTTAAAGATTAATTCCAAATTAAATGGTGTAAACCATATTTTGGCACTCAAAAGCTGGTAACACTTATTAGTTATAATATAATTTATACTCATCAGTACAGGGTCCGGCAGAAGTCAGGACACGAAAGTAAAGTTCAATAAAAACACAAAAACTTACTCGAATTCAATATTTTTAGTATTTAATATATTACATAGGATTTGCAATTTATGTGTGATAAACATAAGATAAGTGATAACAGAAGTGATTTATCACACATAATTTGCACATCCCATGGAGTATATTAAATATAAAAAATATTGAATACGAGTAATTTTGTATTACTTTTATTAAACTTAACTTTCGTGTCCTGATTTCTGCCTGACCCTGTACTATTATAACCTATCCAGTTTATTTTGAGCTCGATTAATCATTATTATTTTTATACAGCCCCACTAAAAAGGTATTACGTTTTTAAAAAATTAATAAATCACTAAATATTTTTTAAATTTAACTTCTTCCCGAAGATCGAATTACTTAATGTCATTTTGTTAAATTGACTTGAGATTCAAAAATAAAAGCTTTTCCTTTGAGGAACCCTCACAGGAAGTAATAACAAAATAGCATTATGTAATTGATGTTTTGGAAACATATTATCATTCTTCTGGACCCTGTAGTTCAATTTAAAAAAATAGTAAAAATATGAAAATAAACACAATTTACGTTAACACTGATCGCATAGTGTTTTTAACCCTAGATTTGTTGTCACGTGTGGTGTCAGCTTAAGATAAACCGGATAAATTATAATTTTGTATTGCAGTTATTATTTATGTAACTATTAAAATAAATACTAAATAGTAGGAGTGTTCAATGCTATCAACATTTCACTATAATATTTATGGAGTACATTTTTTCAAGCATTTTTTGTATTATTATCAATTTAAACTATCACTATATTATCTATATTATGTATTAAATTAAAATGAATAATTTTTATTGCATATATATTGGGTGATTTTTTTAACCAACTACTCTAGCTTGCTCTTAAAATAATTGCAATTTTGTAGTGTTTCATTTTGAAAACATATTTGTTTATGCTATATTACTATGTAAGACAATATTCAAATTTTTATCTTTAGTATTTTCTAGAGCTTTATAACTTTTGAAACATAAATGGTAACATATTTATTTTATTAACTTTTTAAATTAAAAATAATTAGCTGAAAAACTTGACTAGTCGATAACTAGTTTTGCAAATAGTTTTTAAGTTATTAAAATTAAAAAATTGAGTTATTTTTATCTGTGCATTTCTCAACCAAACTCCACCTCCCATCCTAAATTTAAACTTAAATAAGTTTAAAAACTGGTTATCGACCCGTCAAATTTTTCATTAAATTATTCTTAGATTAAAAAGCTAATTAAATATATACGTTGCCACTTAAGTTTTATAAGTTGATAGAGATTTAGCAAATACTAAATAGAAAAAAATTTGATTATTGTCTAAAATTACAATAATTTTAAGGGTAAACTAATGTAGGGCGTCAAAAGAATCACCCGGTATTGTGATATTATCAATACATTTTTCTAAATATTTCATTAAACTATTATAAAGAAATAAATATTTTTAAAGATTCTTAAATAAATAACTTAACTATTAATATTAAATAGTCTAAATCATTAATTGACTATGTATATATGTATATATATTTTAATGGTTTCTTAATAATTAAGTTTATTTGTTATATTTGTATAGTCCGCCTATTATGGAAGGTGCAATTATCTTTGGAGCTGATGTTACACATCCGTCACCAGATCAGACAGCTATACCTTCAGTTGCTGCTGTGAGTTACATATTCAATATATTTGGCATTGATAAATTGCTAATAATTATTTTTAAAACTCGACTAAAATCTTGTTTAGTGCGCCTATATCATATATTATAAGTATACAACATACTGTACTGTACTGTTGTATTGAAATTTTTAGGTAGCAGCAAGTCATGATGTCAAAGGATTTCAGTATAATATGGAGTGGCGTTTACAGTCTCCTAAAGTCGAAATAATTCAAGATCTAGAAGATATAGTTCACAAACAGTTATTAAAGTTCAAAGACCACACTAAAGTTATACCTAAAAAGATATTATTCTTTAGAGATGGTGTCAGTGAAGGGCAGTTTATGCAATTATTGGAAAATGAATTCATGGCTATACGTAGAGCTTGCTTACGTTTGAATCCTAATTACACTCCAGCTGTTACATTTGTGGTAGTACAAAAACGGCATCACACCAGAATGTTCCCAAAACACCCAGCAGATTTTGATGGAAAATTCGGAAATGTTCCATCCGGGACAATTGTTGATACAGACATTACACATCCGACAGAACTTGATTTTTATTTATGCAGCCATGCAAGCATTCAAGTATGTCGATGCGTATTACTATACTACGAAATACTTGTTTTATATCATTGTTGATTGTTAATTGTATTTTTATTTTTGACTGAAGGGCACATCAAGACCAACTAAATATCATCTGTTGTGGGACGATAATAAGCTAACTGAAGATCAATTGGAACAACTTACTTTTTACTTATGTTTCATGTTTGCTCGATGTACACGTTCTGTTTCATATCCGGCGCCTACATACTATGCACATTTAGCTGCTTTTAGAGCACGTGCTTACATTGAAAAGTAAGTTATATTTAGTCGATGGTCAAGTCTGGCACTAAACACAATTTTTGTTTTTATTTACAGTAAAAGAATTGATCTTAATCACTTGGACAAAGAACAGGACAAAAATAAATTGGATCGTGCGTTTACTATAAACACACCCATGTTTTTTGTGTAAAATCTCATTATCCTTTATATATTTTTTTTTTTAATTTTTCAGAAAATTAATTTTCATTCATCTATTTTATAACGTTTTGAATAAATTTAATACATACTTTTTATTATTATATATATAGTAAACTAATAACTGCACTTAATTATTGTTAGCCTGTTAAATAGTGCCTAATTTCTTAATGTCTATAAGAGTGTGTTTTTTAAACTTATTGTATTAATGCCATTTGACATAAGAAATTTTGTTGAGAGGCCTCTACACCCGCTTATTTTTTATAAAAATAACAACTCGTTATAATTTAAATTGTAATTTAAAATATGTGATCCGACAATAGTATAGAAAACTGATACAGATGTTTTAATATTTGCTTGTAGTATTAATTGAAGTACATTCTTAATTTTTATTTTTAATGATATTGTAAAAATCTTTAAAAAAATGTAATTTTTCACATAGAAATTGATAGTGTAGAGGCCCCTTTAAGAAAAAAAATTTACAGAACATTTAGCCTACACAAAACAAGAAAAAAATTTAATACTGTATTTTATATTGACTTTTTTTCATTGGATTTGAGAATGTCTATTTGTATTATTTTAGTATTTATGCAGTACATGTATTTTAAAACCTTTTTTTTATTGCACTACATATGCAGTCATAGTTATATATACCCTTATATAATATATTTAACTACCCTTGCATACATGTATCATCCTAATTAGTAAGTAGTATCTCAATAAATATTTCATTGCTTAACATAATATTACGATTTTGTTTTTGTACTAATCCCTGGTTAAACCATGTTATCATGAACATTACATATTATAATACTAATCAATTTAAAATATGAACAGAAGAATTAAATATATAATAAGGCAACTATATTGATATGTTTCATGCGCTTAAGCCTCGACACATTAGCTACCATGAGTTTAGTGTATTTTGAGTTTAATACACATTGTATTAATGACCCATTTTACATTGATAATCATCACAAGAGTAAAAAGAAACGTGAAATGAAATGTATAAAATAAAACATTTTTTTAAATAGACTTGTATTTAAAGTTATTATTTAGTATTAAATAATTGATGCTGTAAAAAAAACTAAAATGGTTTGCTACTTCTAATTTGGTTTGCGTATGAGATGGTCATTAAACCAGGAGGTGCATTCAAAAACAACGTAATCTATAATTTAACAGGGGGCAACGTTTTTTTATAAATATTTTAATGAATATGAAATTACTAAAATTATGCTAAAATATTTTATTACAAAATAAATGACTTTAAGAGCATATTGGGCTTAAATCAACTTAACACCTCAGACGCGAATTTCGTTTTTTTTTTTAATCGATTTGTTTTTCAATGCTGAAAACGATGGTAAGCGATGGAAACGCTTAGTTTTGAAGTTACAGACGTTTTAAGATCGACATACGCGCTCGCCCAGCGCCGCACGTCTACCCGCGGTCGCCGGACACTGGGTTAGATTTTGTCTCGTTAGGTCGCTGACCGCTTCCAGGGCAGTTTCAGGTTAGTTTTTTTTATTCCCTTTAGGTGAGCTATTTTTCCCTCTGGGGGTTTGGGGGCGTGAGCTCTCGAAAAGAGTCCCGAAAGGAATCGAGTCGGCTTCCGGAGCTGGCAGGCGTAGGGAGTTGCTTTATTTAATTGTGAGTTTTTTTTAATTAAAATTGATGTACCTGGCGGCCGCGGGTAAACGTGCGGCGCTGGGAATGCGCGTATGTCGATCTCGGCGATCTTTAAACGTCTGTATCTTCAAAACTAAGCGTTTCCATCGCTTACCATCGTTTTCAGCATTGAATAACAAATCGATTAAAAAAAAAAAAAACGAAATTTGCGTCTGGGGTGGTAAAGTCGATTTGTTCCCTTACCCTGTATGATTTTGGCCTTAAATTCTACAGGCATATTTAGCCCCTCCGCCCAGCACTCGGCTCCACCAATCACAAAAGGGACGCCATGTTTTTTAAGGAGAGTGCAAATACTTACCGCGTTCAGTTCACACTGATTGTGTTTTATGGTATGTGGTATTAAACGTTACTACCACCTCCAAACCTACAGTATATCATCGGCCAGCTGCTGTGCTACCGGTAACTGAGCAGCATTGTATTTTTCATAACAGTTGGCAACACATTATTATTGATTTATGAATTAGTTGGCGGGCCAACCCCTTAGACCTATTAAGTAGTAAGTTGACATTTCTTCTTAGTTCTTACACGTAACGGTGTCCGTATAGGAAGTTATTTTAGTGCTACAAATAGAAGTCTCCACTGTAACAACGCAAAGAAAATAATCCAAATATCCACGGCAGAAATAGGTAAGACAGATATAATACCCGTAATTTCGGGGGTGCAACTGATGCCCTACAAGTTAAACGGCCAACAAAGGTGATGTAGTTCATTTTTCATCCCCTAAAAATCATTATTCCCTGTCAAATGAAATTTTGTAATTATTAGTTCATTCTTTATCATTTGCCAATTTTCTTGACTACATTTTTTTATTTGAATTTTATTGTACACATTTTAAACCAAACAAAAATGTAATTTAATCAAAATATAAAATAATTTAAAAAATACCAAAATTTTAAAATCTCGGTAAACCTTTTATAAAATTTAATAATTTAATTTTTAGTATCCTTTGGTATAAGTTTTTACGTTATTTTTCGATTTTAATTTGAATACTTATTGTAGGTAGGTACTTACTGCCTATTAAATATCTAATAGACTGATGATTGGTTAGCTTGGAATGACAATGTACAATAAACAATTAGATAAATTTTATAACACATGACCATTTTTTTTTATTTCAAAAGATACCTTTTTAACTATAGGCATACATTTTTTTTCATATCATTTTAAATTTATAACATATTAATAATACTGTACAACATGATTTTGAAAAACGAACCATAAATAAAAACATTTTGTTTTCGCTTAATTGACACTGGCCCCAGACTGAATTTAATCTGAGGCTAGAATCTAGATTCATATTGAGTAAAAATATATATTTACTTTGGTTTTTGTTGTACTGTAAAAATCGTGTTGTACTGTACTATTTATGAACAATAAACATATCAACATCTTAAATAGAACCTTAAAACATTCTTATTTGTATAATATATTTTTCCATGGGGTCTGATGTGAATATTGTTAACGGGTCATCGATGCGGGTGCATAGACCCTATACTTTTCGGTTACCTAAATAAACGACACCGAAAACTGGGGGAATAAATGATTATTTGTGCTAACCATTCAACCAGGCTGGTCCCTCGACCCTCTGAGTAACTATGGGGGAATCAAGCGCGTATCCACCCTATACAAGAGGGGTGGATTTAATATAAAAGTATTGTATTACATTATTCAACCAAAGAATGAATCGCTCTCACACAAACACTGTTGTACCCCTCAAGCGATCACTACGCGTTCTGTCATTGGTCCTCGCATCGGCATACGCCGTCATGGTACGGCCGCTGTATATACTGAGAATCATGTAACACAAAGAATATAATGTAAAAACCCCAATCACCTTGGCGCGATATCTGTTATTTTGCTCTTAAGAACTACTAAAATCTATGTAATACAATTTGATATTTATTACTAAAATTGGAACAAATCGGCTTTACCACCTCAGACCCGAATTTCGATTATTTTTTCCAATCGATTTGTTTTTCAACCCTGAAAACGATGGTGCAAATAAAAAGTTGCGGAAACGCTTAGTTTTTAAGTTACTGCGATTGAAGGTTAGGGTTGTACTTGTTAGATCGCTGATCGCTTCCAGAGAAGTATATGGTTACGTTTTTTTATTCCCTTTAGGTAAGCTATTTTTACTTCTGGGGGTTTGGGGGCGTGAGCCCCTATCCAACAGAGTCCCGTAGGGGCTCGAGTCGGCAGGCGTAAGGAGTCGCTGTATATTATAGTTGTCCGTTTTTTTAATTAAATTATTAATAATTGGAGGCGGACTCCTTTAATACAATAGCTGCCGACGCGACTAGGCCTCCGTCCTTCGTGGTCTTTTTTTTTTTTGCCGGGCACGTGACACAACTTCCATAGCCTGCATCCGCGGGCGCCGCGCCTAAGTCGTCTCGCACAACGATAATTCACTAAGTTCATGTAGCCGTAACTTAAAAACTAAGCGTTTCCGCAACTTTTGCACCATCATTTCAAGCGTTGAAAAACAAATCGATTAAAAAATCGAAATTCGAGTCTGGGATGGTATTTGGTAAAGTCAATTTAAGCCCATTTTTATTCCAATCATAGTATAATATTATACTGAGTTGTCTAGTGTCTACACTCCACATAACAGTCTTGAGTCTACATTGTAATAGTACATACTGAGTGATTACTAAATTATAAATACTGAATACAAAAAAGTGTTCCGGGAAAAAAATGTACGGCTCTCTGTAGTCTGTACGGTATCGCCACACCAACATTATTTAAAAATTTACAAAAAGCTAAGTAATCATAAATTAAATAGAGAATATTAAATAGGTTATAGGTATCAATGCTATGATTTAAGATGACCACTACCTATGAATTATGATGTATAATAATAATATATAGTAAATAATGCTCTGCATTTCTTAATGTTTTAAAAAAGTGTTTTTAATTTTAACACTATCGAGCAATTTTTATTTAGGCGATTGTCGAATTTTGATTTTGAGGGTGTCGTTAGATTGTAAAAAAAAAAGTTTATAGTAGTCCGTCTTCCCTAGCTCAACTCAATCATTCGTTGTAACGAAGACAACTGAGAAGTGTTTCATTTACATAATAATTAATAATATAAAATGTGTTTATACATATTTCCATAGAGGTAATTATTTGTAAAGAAATGAAACTTTTAAAACCTTATGACAGTGCTTTAAAAAAATTAATTTGGGTAATTTACGTCTATTATATAAGGTCCCTACAGCAATTGAAATTTCACTAGGTACTAAACATTCCGGTCCCATAGACGTAAAAAACCCCAAATTTAGTTTTTGTTTTTTTTTTGAAAGTAGAGAACGTACATGAAGTTTATTTCGTTTCAGATATTTTCTCTAATAATTTTTTGATTTCGTGAAAAAATATATATTAAACAAAATTTAAAAACCGTGTATTTTTTAATGTGAAACTGCTTGTTACAGCGTATGATTAAAGTTAAGGAGGTTGCACCACGGCCATTTTTTTTATTAAGGTCTAATGAGACCCCGGTAAAATCAAAATTTGAAAATATCTTAAATGAAGACGACTAAATAATCTAAACAATTTTTGTATGGGTTTAAGCGCAATAATATCCGAGCTGTTCCCGTAACTCGATAACTATTTGATACTTCATTAATAGTTTTATTTATTTTACAGATAATTCTTTTTCACAAGTAAAATGGATTCTAATCAACATCGGACAAATGATGGAAGAGGTAAATATTGTACATTGTAACTATTGTTTTGTAATAATGATTAATGTAAGTATCGATTTGTATATAATCGATTACGATTACTCGATTAATAATTATTATAGGTCAATCAACCTCAAAACTAAATCAAATGCTTAAAGATTTTGACTATACGTTACAAATACCAAAGAGGCAAACCCCTAAATTAGGAGGTACAATAGGACGTAAAACTGAGCTGAATGTAAAATATTTACAAATAAACTTAGACGAGTTGTTTGAGAAAAACATTTATCATATTAATGTTCAATTTACTCCAGATTGTCCAGACAAAATTCTAAGGTATGAAAATATTGTTAAATAATTTGTCATTATTAGCGTGTATTTTTTATTTTTATTAGGAGTGCTTTAATAAAAGAATTCAACCGTAAACATTATGCAAGTTGTCCTATTGCTTTTGATGGATATAAAAACATGTACTCAGTCAAAAAATTGAATGACGTAAGTACTACCGAATTTCTTTAAATACTTCACTTATAAATGGTGTGAATTTGAATATAACTGACTTTTTTTTTATACAGCAGATTATTTAATTTAAGTAATTCAATAGTGTACCACTTATCCGCTTATGATTTTGTTAATTTTACGTATACAATTGTTTTGAATGATAAATATTTTAAATACCACAGGCGTCCGGGGCAAATTAAAATACATAATTTTTCAAAGAATAATCAACTATTATACTAAAAATTATTAATTAACCCTTCACTTGGCGATGTATCGTTAAAGATACACAAAATTAAAATTATTATTCCAGTGCAAATAGAAAAGATAATAATATTATATAGACCGTTAAATTTTTATGTTCTTTGGAAATATCATTATGGTTATTGTTAACAATTTACAGATTTCGCGCCATAGTATGTTTTTTATGTCGTTTCGAAAACCGAGTTATCAGCTATCATGTCATTTCTGTTTTTTGTACTGATTTTCAACATAATTAACTTACAGTTCAAACCAAAATATATCTAATTCAGCTGTTGGAATCTAATCATGTACGTCTAAATATTTTATTAATATTAAAATAAAGCTAATCACTGTTTTACTTATTAAAGTATAAAATCTCATGTATCCTAAAATATACTATGCTTCGTACACCGGAATTATTGCTTGTATTCAAAAAGATACATTAGGTACCCTATTCCTTTATTTCATAGTTGTATCCAAGAAGATACAATGCCCTAATAGTAAAAATACTTTATAAGTTTTATTAAAATAATACATAATTAGATTCATTTTTTTTTTACAACTTTTCTTAATAGAAATAAACATACTTATATACATAGTTCAAATAAATAGTAATACCTACATTATGTAAATCATAAAATATTAATTAGAATTGTTTTATTGTTTTTTATTGTAATAGGTCGATGAGGCAGTGTATCTTTAAAGTTACAATTATCAAAATAGCTCCTTGTGGTAGTGTATCTTTAAAGATACAACTATTAAATTAGTTAATGGGGTGGTGTAATTTTAAAGATATATGGTATAATTAAATAACTATTCATTAAAAAATACGTCCATAATTATTTCTACGGGTCTTAATTAGCACAGAAAACCATGGAATTTTTGTATGAATTTTTTTTTTTTGCCAAGTTTAGGGTTAATGAGTTACCTACTTCATTAAAAAAAAAATGTATAAATAAATATATTAAACCAACACAAAGTGGACGGAGTTTAAAATGGGTTGTAGATGTTACATGTTTATATAGGTAGATATTATTTTATGATTGAAAGTAACAAAATGCTTTAATGCCAATGTGCCAATAACTCGCATGATATATCTAAAGAACATCATTAATAAATTTCAAACCGATTTGATTATTTATAGGGAACTTACAGCTTGCCATATTTTAAAGCTTAAAAATGTGTTGCATGTTTGTGCGTTTTTCTCAACTTTGAAAGGGAAGAGGGCGTTTTTTAACTTTTAATTTAAATTACTTTCAGTGTATGATTTCTAATCTATAGATAAAGAATATTGCAGTCTAAAGAACGATGACCTAACTGCAAAAAGTTGAATTTAACGGGAGAATGAATAGAAATAATTACTTGTTTACAAATTGTAAATGGATAATTTTAAAATTAATAAATAAACTCTTCGCCATTATCTACTATCTATATTTCTTATAACTATACAAATTCATTCCAACACCGTGAAAACCCAATTTTCGAAAAAGTTACACTTGAATCGTTGTTCTTCAGGAGCTGCGATATGAAGAAATTAATCCAGTCATTAAAAAAGTATTACTAGTTAAAACAAATTTTCAGCTTCACTTCAAATAAACAAAATTTATAAGGAGCTTATGACTTATGTTTAACAGCTATGGCTTTAATTGTTTGAGCTTATACCTTCAGTATTAGGTTTTATAAGGAGAAAGACTTATTATTGACTTATATAAACTTTAATTTCGTCTGTGGTTAAACCCTTCTAATTTTGAAGTTAAATGGCATTTTTTATTTTTTATATGTTGACTACTGTAGCAGTTGCAATAATAAAATATATGAATTTAATATTTAGATGACACTTGTAGGCACAGTTGTTCATTGTTATTATGTGTCAAACACTAAATAATATATATATATTTTTTTTAGAAATGTGATATGGTAACAATTACAAGAGGAAAAAATAATAAAACCATTGACTTTAACATTCAGACAAAACATGTTAAGACAATATTTATGAACAAAGTTAAGGAGTATTTATTAAATGGTTCATCCATTAATCCTCCTCAAGAAGCTTATCAAGCATTGAATATCGTATTAAAAAATCAACCCTTTTCTTTGAAGTAATTTTTCTGTTGTAATACTTAATAAGATTTTAATAACTTGATGAATGATCCTTTCTTTTATCACCACAAGATGCTAATAAAGCTCTAGATATTATGTTGGAAAATCGAACTTTTTCTTTAAACAAAATAATACATCGATTAACAAATTACTTGTATAACACATTATGCTATCATTAAAATTATTTAATTTATTAGATTTATCATGGGGGAATATTTTTTCTCCGTCCCACGGAACATACCATTTGTTGTAGAAGAGAGAAGAGAAATGTGGAATACATATTTTCAATATCCTACCATTGGCTGGAAACCCTATCAGAACTTTCAAGGTATTTATTGATATGCAGGATAATTTGTGTACATTAATCTAGTGGTAAAATACAAAATACAAAATACATGCATAAATATATATATATATATATAATATATATATATATATATGTCCAACTCTCTTCTCCGCAATTAATGTGTTTTCTATCATGGCATCCTAATTGATCGCTGACTTGTATGGTTGCTACTTATTTTTACAGTAAAATTTTCTTATTCAACATAGGCGGACTTAGGGGTGGGTTTTTATGTGAATTATCCCCCCATAACCAATTGGTTTTTTTTTTCGCTATTTGGTTTTTTTTTTGCTATTAATGTATTATAGTCAACTACTGATATTTGGTTTGTATTAATGCGACAGATTATGTGAATTCTTCGACAAAAATAAACCATCCAAAATTGACTGACTACATATACTACAATTTGCAATGCAATCTCAATTCTCAAATGGATGATAGCAAACTCATTAGTTTAGAATCATACGTAAAAGGATTAAAAATAGATTTTCAACTTCCCGATCAGATACATTCACGACGAAGATATAAAGTGCACAAGCTCTTTGAATCTGCAAACAAATTTTTGTTAGTATTTTAACAAGTTTTTATTTTAATATTATAATATTTGAATGTTGTTTTATTCAGATTTGAAATTGATGAAGAAGGGAAAAAACAAACTTATAATATCGTACAATACTTTGAAAAAATACATAAATATACTGTCAAATATCCAAATTTACCTTGTGTGCATGTTGGTAGTCTTGGTAAAAAAACTGCCCTCCCGATTGAAGTAAGAAATTAATAAATTAGTTGGTAATATATAATATCGCTTTTAGATTTTTCAATTACTCTCACCAAAGTGCTGTCGCTGAATAGTTTCTTCACTCTAACCTTCATGTTCATTAACTATATTTTTTGCAATATGCTTATTATACCTTAACATTATACATATTGTATAATTATCTAATTATATATAATTAAATAAAAAAACAGATTTTTCAATAACTCATAAATTAAAGAATTTACTTGCTATACAAGCTACTCAACATATTGTGAACCACTCAATATCTCGCTGGCTTTAGTAAGAAATTACATTTTTACTTTACATATTGTTCTTATATTATGTGATTTCAATTTTTTACAATTTTTTTTGTTTTTACCCCTTTCCAACTTAGGTTTTTTTGATACTTAAATAGTAACATTTACATTTCATTAACTTTTTATATTGAGAATAATGTACTAAAAATGTTGACTGGTCGATAACCAGTTTTGAATAATTATTTATGAAGGTATTGAAGTTTCAAGTTTAGGGCATGAGGAAAGGTAAAGTGTAGTACTATTTTTATATGCGCGTATTTTTCAACAGAACTTCCCCCCCCCCCCATTCTAACTTTTAAACTCTTATAACTTTCAAAATAGTTGTTTGATTCAGAATTGTTTATCTGTTAATTATTATATTGTTATCTGTCCGTTGGCCGCGATCATTTATTGACCTGTTATTTAGTATGAGTACAGACACCGCACTGTGCGAACTAAAAACGGCAATGTCTTATGTTTTTTCTAACAAACTAAATTTAAACCCCCCTGAATACCTTAGAGCCATATCCTTGTTTAAACAGTCCACAACAATAGTTATCCAAAACTGGTTATCGACCAGTCAACATTTTTAGTACTTAAGTCTCAATTAAAAAAGTTAATGAAATGTATGCGTTTACCATTTAAGTTTCAAAATTCGCTATACAAAGTTGGGAAGGGGTGAAAAATAAAAAAAATTGTAAAAATCAAGATTATATTGTATAGCATTATGAGAAAAAAAATGAAAACCTTATGAGATGTTGAGTGGTTTACAATAAAATGATCACCCTGTAGTTGGGAGGGGGTGAAAAACAAAAAAATTGTGAGAAATTGAGATCACTTTGTATAAAAACTTTACGGAAAACAAATTCAAATATTAATTAAACTCTGTGAGATATTGAGTGGTTCACGATAAGTTGATCACCCTGTATAGTATTCTATGAAAAACTAACACTAATATACCCTTTTCAGTTATGCACTGTTAGAGGAAGACAAAGCCATTTAATAAAATCGTCTAAAAACAAATCAAGTGACACAGAAAGCCAAGGACAACGACCACCGACAGATTGTTTTACTAATATTGAGAGTTTTAGAACCGGTGTTAATAATCAAAACACAATATTAAATGAATTTGGTATTAAAATTACAAGAAATATAGCTACCGTCCCAGCTAGAGTTTTAGATCAGCCATCATTGTCATATCATGGTCATAAGGTATCAAAATATATAAATACGAGTATTGCTTCTGTTAAATAAAATAATGCATATGCCTATATTTGTCTAACATTAAGTATGATTTTTAACAAAGAACCATTATTTTTAATAATCTAGTATGATAAATATACACAAATTAGAGTTTAGTTTTTAAATCAACTGTGCTACACATAGGTATATAGCGTTAGACATTCTATATTATTAATTTTTTTTTTTTTTGAATTAAGGAAGTTAAACCACATAAAGGCAAATGGACGGCTGAACGGTTTTTTGAAGGTGTAACTCTTAGAAAATGGATTGTTCTAAATTTGGATAAAGATATTCATACAGAAAAAATCTAGTATACTTTAATAATAAATTACTCATTTTTTTTATTATGCCTCAATTACATCTCTATTATCTTCAATTTTTTTTAGTGAATTTGAGAAAAGATTGAGGGGGTCCGGCCAGAGTGTAAATGTTGACATAAGTCCAATGGCTCCTCCCTTTAACATTCCTATAAAACAAAAAAGTCACATTAATAAGATTGAAAGGAAAGTTACTAACTTTTTTAACAAACAAAAACATATTATGGAATTAATTGTTGTAATTATTCCAGAATTTCCTGCTGGTGTATATGGTATGCCTTATATTAATAAACTATTCAAATATTTTCGTCAATGTACCTATTTAGTTACAAACATTTATTACAATTTTAGCGACTGTCAAGCAATCGTCAGAAATTCAAGTCGGAGTCCTAACACAATGTATTAAATCTAAAACTTTGTCTTATAAAATGGGCCCAGACACAGCAAGAAATATTTTGTTAAAGATCAATTCAAAGCTTAACGGTATAAACCATACTTTGGCACTACAAAGCAGGTATTGCTTTTCTTAAATTGTTTTATATAATTTATAGTAGTATCTATTTATTTTTAATGATCTATAGACAGGGGCAAACATAGGAAAAAAATTCACTTCAAATATGATAAGCATTAGTCATGGAGCTAAGGTTTACTTAGTAAAAAAAATACATATTCTAGTACATTATATTATAAAAAATAAACAAAAATACACTTTTAAGGCATACAGTTTAAAAACATAAGAAATGATTTCAGCCCCCCTAAGCCCCTTTTTATAATTTTGCCCCTGCCTGAACATATATTTTTATTGAATTAATTGTGAAGATGATACATACATTACATAAAATATGTTTTAAACTTTTTTTTACGACCAAAATTTTTTTGACATTTTCTTAGTCCGTCCATTATACAGGATGCAATAATATTTGGTGCTGATGTATCATTCTCACCGATAGATGAAGCATCACCAATTTTACCCTCGATTGCTGCTGTAAGTGTAGTTTAAAATAATTAATGGATAGTTGGATTCTTTACAGAAATTGCATTTTATTTTTAACTTAAATATTTTTTATTGACTAAATTATGCAGCTGTATGATTCTTATATTTTTTATAATTTCTAACTTCATAGGGGGCCAGAGCCCCATCTTTTTAATGTATAGGTATAACAGAAAAAACTTACGCCTCTTAGAGTAAACTGATAACAATAATTATTTTTTCTGGGTAAGAGTTTAATATGACCAATTATCACAATTTTTAATATTGTTTTTTCTCAGTTTTTAGTGTTGTAGGATGACCACGTCATCAATATATTATATTTATAAGAAAATAAATGTGGGCAGTGCTTCTGGCGACTCGAGGCTTTTGACTAAACAATTAAATTAGTTTTAAAAAAATGGAAATAACAATTAATTGCATAAGTTAAATTAATATAACAGATAAACAATTTCAATGCTCTTGATCAGTAGATTTGAGTGTACCACTTGTCATCATTCAAGAGTTGAATTGTCAAGAGAATTGTCACTGAGCTTTGTTTAAAATATTTACTTACCTATAAGTAAATTTTTCATTTACTTTCTTTATAACCTGAGCGGACTTGAACAATTTACGGGTTAATTTATAAATCCTACAGCTGCTATAATTTTCAATTTATTGACATTTTGAATAAAAAAAGTGTTTTTTACAATGAGAATTTATTCTACATCACTCCATTTACTTTTTATTTAAATTTAGGTAGCAGCCAGTCATGATATCAATGGATTTCAATATAATATGCAGTGGCGTTTACAGTTTCCTGATATAGAAATAATTCAAGATCTAGAAAACATTGTCCACGATCAATTATTTAAGTTTATTAAAAGTACAGGTATCATACCGAAAAAGATATTCTTTTTCAGAGATGGTGCCAGTGTATGTCAGTTTAGGCAATTGTTAGAATATGAGTTAACTGCTATACGCAAAGCATGCTTACGCCACAATCCTAAGTATACTCCAGCCATAACAATTATAATTGTGCGTAAACAAAATTATACTAAGATGTATTCTAATAACGAAGAATTCAATGGTAAAAATGGAGCTGTTCCTCCTGGGACAATTGTCAATACTCATATTACACACCCGACCGAACTTGATTTTTACTTGTGCAGTCACGTCAGCTATGTATGTCGATTTACCTAATTACTTTATTACAAAATAATTTTGTAATTTTGCAACATAGAATGGTATTTAATTCAAGTTGCTTTTTTATTTCAGGGCACCTCCAAACCAACTAAATATCATGTATTATGGGACGATAACTGTCTAACTGAAAATCAACTAGAACAACTAACATATTTCTTATGTTTTATGTTAGCTCGATGCACGCGTTCTGTTTCATCTCCTGCACCCTTATGCTATGCACATTTAGCTGCTTTTAGAGCACGGACTTACATCAAAAAGTATATAATAGAAATAATTATAATTAGTTTATTAATGACGAATGTACTAAACATAATTTATTGTTTTAATTTTTTTTAGTAAAACAATTGATTTTAACCATTTGGACGAAGAACAGAGGAAAAAAATATTCAACTCTGCATTTTGTGTAAGCAAACCTATGTATTTTATTTAAAATATGTGTATCTACATTTTTTGTGTACATTTTAATTTTTAATTTCCTGTTTTATGCTTATATATCAGAAGTATAAACATAATCTGTAGTGTTATTATCTAGATTCTAGTTTATATACTTATACTTTGTGTGAATTTGGAAGAGTTGTTTCCATATTAATTTATAATCGTATGTGTAAAATATGTAAAATTCGATTTAAGGTACTATAATATTAACTTATACTAATAAGTATTCATGTAATTTTATCATTTCACATTTTATAATTTACCTGTAATTGAAGTCTGTATAAAGAATTTGTATGTTTAAATTCTTTAAACTTTATGATTTTTTTTCTAAAATCTGACATTTGTAAATGTTGTCATCCAATTTTAAATTATTATAGTTGAATACAATTTATAACAGACATTCTTAATTTTTATTTTAGTTCATTATATTATGGCAGTAACGGTGTAAACTGTTTTCTCTACTGGGACAAAAACATTTTTTTTAGACCCCCCCCCTCCCAAAATGTATCGTAAAAGCCTGTTTCTCTTTGTTTTGACCTCAATACTCTCATAGGAACAATTTTTTTTTCTTTACGGATTAATTTCCTTTACAATATATAATATTACAGCAGTTTAGACAAAAAAAGAACAGTATAAGAAAAACTTATAAACTAACAAAAACATTTTTACAACTACAAACTAAATATTGACCTAATGTCAATTATAAGTACCCCTTCCCTTTATTTGTCTTAAAAATATTTGTCGCGCCACTACTTAGATGAAATTGTTGAATGGTTATTAATAAACATTTTTTACTGTACGTTTTGATAATTTTAATTAAAAATATTTTCATTAATAACTAACAATAAATTGATAATAATAACGAGTTATTTTGATGTTTTTTTTATGGGTTTGAGTATTATTTTTTTACTTGTTACCTATTTTCTTTCTATGTATTATTACAAAATAATTAGCGGTTAAATAAAAAAATGAATTTTTATATAATTTACAAATTATAAAATTTTTGTAAATCAAGTCGATTTGTACCTATAATTTCTATATACAACAAGCATGGTAGTAAAGAGTATGATTACATAATTGAACAATTTAGTATTAGCAAATCAGAATCATAATGAATCAGTTGCAAGGTGATATAAATTTATCAGTTTAAACTTTAATCCCAATGAATACATATTTTAAACAAGCAAATAACAATATTTTATTTAGTGTTGAAATGAATTCTTAATCATACATACATTAACTAAGATACATATGTTTAAATGTATTATATAAAATTTACTAAAAATTAAAATTATAAACTATCTATGTTACTTGTTAGAATGTAAAATAGATAAAATCTATAATCTTTTGAAGGGCTCTGATAATGTATCAATTTATAAAAATTCAGTCAAAAGTAGAAGAAGTTATTTTATGATAGTAATAATTAATACATTAATAACATTTAATAGTTTTAAAAAATAACAAAATTAGTTAATCTAAATAAAAAAAATAAACACCTATAAATACAAACATATTAAGCCAATGTACCATCAGTAGGTATAAAAAAACATTTATTATATACGTATACATTTATCAAAATCATTTAAAACGAATAATTAAAATCTTCATTGTTCTTATGTCATTTTTCACCAGAAATTAAGATGTCCTCATTGATTTTTCATAGGCAGTTCATAGGTATTGTTTAAATGTTTAGAGTTGTGTTTAATTTTTAGTTAACTTTGAGACAAACAGACGTTGACACATCTCACTTAAGAGACATAGAATGTTATTATGAATGCATAGTTTTGAACGATTTTCTAACCACAGTTGACTTGTTTATGGTTAACACTGTCGAGAACAATTTTTTATTGATGATAATTTTGTGTTTTCAATGATGTTGAATTAAATTAGAGAAAAGTTAAAAAAAGTAAATTTCCTGTAAAATAAAAAATTCCTTTATTTACTAAAACCATTTTACTTATGTTAAAAATGTGTGGTCTTTTTCCTTATTAGTAATTTAAATAAAGCATTTTATTAAAGAAATAATATTCCTTTTCTTAAGAAATCTCTCATTTAAAACTGGAATTATAGTTGTTAAATAATATATTTAACTAATACAATGTTTACATAAGATATACAAAATAATTCTACAGTATATAGTCACTGGTATCATTAATGATAATTATTAAATTATAAATACCTAAAGCTTTGTCCACACTAAGTGGCAATACTTGCAGCTTTCTGTGTTGCAAAATGTTGCATCCTATTTGTTTCCACGTTTTGATAAAAAGCAAAACATGTGGCAACTAATGAATGTTGCCTTAGTGTGGACCCAATCTAAAGCTGCATCCACACTATGCCACTGGCCATTTGGCTTTCTTTGAAGTAGAATGACACTTGAGCGATATCTGTTGGCATGCAGCTTGGCACGTTAGCATATGCCAACGATCACGTCTACATCATTCTTGGCTATGCCAAATGGCAGTGTGGACGCAGCTTAATAATTCATCTATTTATATTAATAATTAAACTCCAAGCAGCCAAATCTCGTTGGCGCTCGTGCTGCGGTGTTTACACCGCTAATGCAATTTCTGTATTTAAAAACTACCTTAAGTCACGGTATTAACACCCCGTACATGAACACTTAGGTGTGTATAAAAACAGTTTACATTCATATGTCAGTTAATGTGTTAACAAGTATAAAATTATATATTTACCTGTTGTTTTTTTTGTATACAGTGTTTTGATTATTCTGCATCTTATTAGATAATCTGTTTTTTTTTAATTTTGATTTGGATTGGTAACTGGTAATTGTAATTTAGGCTTCTTAGGAGTTGATGCCAATAATGGCATACGATATGTATTTAGTTTATTTTTACTGCATTCGGCTATTGAGCCATATTCCGGATGTTTTCTTTTTTGATTATTTTTCAATGGTAGAAGATAAGGTATACTATACGTTGTACCTCTTCTGGTCAAACTAATATCAATTTTATTAGCTGGATTAAATGATTTATTGAGTGTAGCAGGAGATTCCACAAACATGTTTAAATTATTTTTTAACCCATTTGTATTGTACTGTCTTAAAAGGCATTTCCAATATTTTGGGAATCCATTATTTTTTAAATATATGCTATTCATATATTTTGGACAACTTTTAAAAATATTTCCTACTAGACGGTAAATCCCTTTGCTGGTTTTGATTAGGTCTCTATCTTTACGACATTCAACAATACCAGCATTGTGCTCTTTTTCAATTGAAGTTAATTTATCATCAGCCAAAAGCTCACCTAAAAACGAGCAAACATAAAAATTTGTTTTAAAGAAATCATAATTTTATTAGTTACCAGTCACTTCCAGCACAGTTTTCATTGTTGTTTTTTCTTGTTTCACATTCAGAGACCACTTAGATAAGTACTTTTCTATAGTTCCAGTTAAATTATTCGACTGATTTTGAGAAAAAATTATTTTTTGACTTGAATAATTTTCTTTACAAAAGAAGGATGCTTTGTTTGATAGTTCTACAGCTACATTACATCCAACACCTTTCGAAAGAGATGCTAAGCTATTATTTTCATTTTGTTTTTCTGTATTATGTTGTGAATGTAAAGTGATTGCATTTTCAATTATCGATATATCAGAGTACGTATTAGAAACATCATTTTGAAAAATGTCTAGCTCATGCTGCTTGGGCTTACTTAAATTATTATTTTTACTTTTTAACTCATTGCTAGTTTGTTCTTCAACTTCATTAATTGTAGTACATGGCTTTAACAATATTGAAGAATTCTCCTTTTTTAATTTGTTTAACGATGTAGTGATGTTATTTATACGAGGGGTTGTATAAAGAGGAGCAATGTGTTGTATATTCGTAGAGCGAGTGGACTTCGTCTCATTGCGCTTACTTTCTTCTATTACAGCTTTTAAATGTTTGAGAAAATTGGAAAATTCAAATTCAAATTTACGAAATGGATAAACCTGTAAAAACTCCATAATAATAAGCCGTAGCTCCATCGATAAATCCTCCATAATATCGTTGAAAAGTAATAATTCAGTATGTCTAGGTATAGAAGGCGGTTTTATGGGATTCAAAGGCACCTTCCATTGATCGTGTTCCATGACGTCAAATAAAAACCAAAAATAAAACGAAAATAAACTGGATTATATCTATAAATACTTGTAAAAAAAAAATTGATTAAATTTAAGTCGTATTTATCGCAATTCACAAAATTAAACATAAGTATTAATAAGTGTGCAAAATACTATTCAGACTTTAGTGTTTAATATATAAAAACATTGATTAATTTACTTTAACCCTTGTTGAGTGTTGACATACGACCATTTTTATACCACAGAATTCTGTGGTATGGTATTCTGTGGTTATACGCTGACATTTTTGATTTTATCATCGAATATTTGATGAAGAAGGGGTTATGTGCAATAACCTTGTATATTTCAATCATGGTCTATGGATGCATTCATGCTAGAATGAAGTATGAACTCGTCTGTTAAGAGCACGAACATAATTACTATCTATTTATTTTACCGTTGGGCAATATCATGCCGAAGCCGATAGCGATGGCGTAGTATTTGAAATAATTGTCGACAATTTGTTGAAAACAATAATTATAATATGTTGTAATCAAATCAATATAAAATCTAATGAACAGCTAAAGAATAAATATATTATTTTTGGCTTAGTAGAGTACATATTATATGCTCTCTTGTTGTTTACTCAATATTAAGTATACATATTTATCATTAGAAGTACCTACACCACATAATACCATATAGGTAGTATATTACAATAATATAAAAAATGTATATTATATACATTATAAAACGATATAAATATAGTATACAAGATGTTTTTATAACTAACCTAAGCCAACCACATTTACTAACATTCTCAAATCTCATTTTTCTTGTATTTTATCTTCCTATTATAAACGTGGACATTGATGAAGGTTTCAAATACCCAATAATAGATTCGGTTTCCATCTTACTGTTTTCATGATTTGTAAACGTTTATTTCATACAAAAACAAGAATTAATGTTTTTTTATTCACGAGTCTTGACTGTTAGTAAATTGTCTACATAACATATTATGTAGATTGACAAAAATAGTTCATTTGGTATTGTTATTTAAAAACCCCTATCGAACGATTTAATCTTTTCTAGTATGGAAGTACCTTCGTTGTACTAAACGGTTAATAATAATTATACTCTATACCGTCTAACGTTTACCTATATTAGGTATCCTAAATTTTGGAACGATTTGCCTTGTAATATGCATTCTTATGTTTTGGTATAAATGCTCTTCGCAATAATTTACAAGCGACGAGTCGTTAATAATATTTTTTATTTAAATAATTAATTTGAAAACATAATACTATATAAAGGAAATAATGTTTTCGCAGGTGAATACTGAATGAGCGGTAACTAATTTGTAAGTAATATGTTATATGACCAATCGGCGCAATAGGGTAGACACTAGACTCAACTCCGTACTCGGTAGACGCCAGACGGTTGAGTGTAAACAATAAAATATATCACGCTTATGAGGGGCAACTGTCGTTTCGATACTGCTTAACACATATCAACGGATTGGCCGCCATGATGTTTATGGAACTAGTGTAGCGATACCCATCGGGATAACGACCCAATCTTTAGTTTGTAGTTTAGTTGATAATAGGTAGATTAATTTGTATTTTGTTATATTATTGAGATTGTCAGTTAATAGTTAATACTTAATATTTCGTATGGCTTTTCTATATAGAATTGTTTGTTTGAATATTATTTAAATGTTATAGTACATAATGCGTGAAATAGTGATTATGACCGTTGAACCAACGAACGGCTTTGCTAAAATAATTTTTTAATCCTTATTCGTAATTGGCGTCGGTTATAGCAATGTCCAAGTCCAAGAGATCAGTTCAAGACCAACCGGGTCCATCGTCAGCGAGTAGCCGTAATATCGATGACCCAATAGTCCAGAAAATACTGGAAACCAAAGAATTAGAAAAGAGTTTACCAAGAATTGAAAAACTAATAAAAGTGTCTAAGAAATCTTGTTGTCAGGTAACTAACTTATGTAACAGCTACGATTAGGTATATTATATTTTATTTGAGTATGGTTTCATGACAAGATGTAATTATTTAATTTATTCCCACTATATGTGTGTTAATATCTTGTACACAACTACAATAGAATCATACCAATTATGTTTACTTCAATGGCGAAAACGAATGCAGTTTTCAGTGTGAACAGAATGTACATTGAATATGTATTGAATTTTAAAATTTACAAGTATATCAATTGGACATGTCATACTATATGCTGTGGCATTATGTTACATACAGAACAGTGCGTTTAACATTTGGACCCATGTGTGTGGGTTTATGTTGTTTTACTACTCCGATCTTCAACTAAAACTAAATAAATTTGTAGACAACAATTATCTTTTACAACTAATTTTTTATCCCTATAGTCATACATATAGTATACATCGTATCAAAAACACATATGATAGAAACGCTTATGATCAAAATGTACAGTATGACTTTAGCTTTAATTGGTTTAAGCAAATGTATTTAGAACACAAAAATTTCCTATTCAATAAATGTATGTATAGTTAAATAAAGAAAACCATTTTACAGGATATTATACACATCCTTTATTTTTAAGCAATTATCACAATCAAATGGCCTCTGTTAATTCTTCTATAAATGGAGATTCATTCCCTAAACATAACCTGCTATCACATTACTTGTTTATGAATTCCCTTAAAATACTGCCAGGTTGTTATTTATATTGTGTAAACTTCTCTTAACAAATATGCTGTTAAATTATAACCTAAATAAATACATTTTTTTTTTCTTCATTTTCAATTCCAACTAAGTTCATCTCTTGTAAAAGTATTTCTTAGTTATCAAAGCGGTTTTCCAACACTAGTCGTTTAAAATCAGCATAATTTTAAATGACAGTTTGTAATTTATAAACATTGTCCCTAACACTAAAAGCGACTAATGAGAATAGCAATCTTGAACATGGAACACGGATGTGATGTTTTAATACACTAAAAATTAAAAAAAAAACATATAATGAATAATTAGTATATATGTATATTTTTTTCTAGACCACTGGCTGTACTTGTAATGGATGGCAGCAATCTAAACGGTTAAGTCATCCTATTATGAATTCACTTTGCAATAAACCCTCTTGCAATCATCCACTTTGTATGCTCTATATTTTCGTTCATAATGTTTGAACTATTTACTTGATATTATAGCTTGTTTATTTTTTTTAGCTGAACATACAAAACATTTAATAAGTATTGATGATCATCAGTTAAACAGATTATTGGGATTTGTATTTGATCTTGACAACATAGCAATAACCGTAGATAGAGAATCAAAAAAACCAGATAATGAACGAAATTTTGTTCTAGAAGAAGTTTACAATGCAATTTATCATGTGAGTTGTAAACAAAAGTATTTCATACTTAATAATTAATAAATATTTAATATAAATATTGTTTTTTTATTCACATTCTTAGGAGTTACGGAAACACGTTTACCCTGATGCTGTTATTTCCATGGAAAAACTATTTGGACCACCTCCTTTTGAAACCCCAAATATTGTTAAGGCTTTAATGAATTTTAATATGTATAAATTTGGACACGAAAGTAATGTATGTTGTAATCAACAAAATTGTTTTTTTTTTTTTAATTAGCTTTAATAATTATAATAATTTGTTATTTGCTTGTTTATTTGTATGATTTCAGCAACTGAAAATAGCTCTCAAGATAACTAAAATATTATTAAAGCACTTAGATACTTGGAAGTGGACTGCTCCAATGGAACTACCTTCATGTAAAACACTTCAACAACGTAATAGTTATGAATTTTACTATCATAGGTATGTAAAAAACTGTTTAATAAAATTGTTAACTTTTTTTCTTTGTACGTATAATTAATTAATTTTTCAGATACATGGCTTTCTGTTATTTACCAAAATATATTTCTTCTATTGCACCGGGCTGCAAAATGAGCATGATTTTTGGCCGCGATGTGTTGAAATTTGTTCTTAAAGTATTTAGAATGCATTTAATGGATTGGTGTCACACAGAATCTGTTAATTGGTCTAGTCACAGAAAATTTTTCTGCATGAACTATTTATCAAAGTAATTTTTAACTATTTACGTTTACAAAGCAATACAATATAATGCATTTATATAATTATAGGTACATGAATCTTTTAGAAGACGAAGTTTATGCCACACATTCACCAATATGGGATTTACATTTTAAAGATTCTGATTTGAAAAGAATCATTCTCAGTGGTAACTATAATATAACACATTTTGTATCACAATAACAATTAATACGAAGCTCAAAAATTTTATTTTATTGTATATTTTTGTTTTCTTCTGGCTTTATAGCACTGTCAGAGTTTTTGCCTACCCATTATCATTCAAATGGTTAGGGTTGTAATCTTTAATTATTTTATATTAAATATAATTTTGTAAATAATGTAAATATTGAGAAGAATGTTACATAAGTAATTAAAACATTGTTTTTAAATGTATACTTCTTTTCATGGCTTTAGATAGACATTAGGGCTAACAAATATATACTTATAATACAAATTAGTTTAAATTAAACTTAAAAGTTAAAAAATATCGCAAAATCAAACTTGTTACTCCTGGCTGGGCTGGTTCATTTTTTTTTATGTGTACCATAAATTCTGGTGATTTTGTGCTGGCTAATTAATAATAAACACAAAAGAAACAGTTATTAAATAGTTATGTAATGGGTTATAATGTTGCATTTTTTTTTTATGGAAATGTTTGGATATTTTTTATTAAAATTGTTTACACTATGCATTTAGACTGTAATTTTTTACTAAAAAGAAAAGCGTGGGCCCTATTCAACAAAGTCTTATGAAATGTATGAGTTATGAGGGACTTTGTTGAATAGAGCCCACGCTTTTCTATTTAGTTGAAAATTAAAAATGTTTAAAATTGTAGATAATTTTCAGTTGTTTCCAAAGTAATTGCCATTTTTAAAAAAATGTGCTACAATTGATTGGTAAATTATTCTTATAGTATAATTTTTTTTTATATTTTAGTACACTTTTTTACTATTTTTTAGAAATGCATGTTTTTAAAAAATTTAATTTAATTTATTTATTTATTAATTTTTAGTTACTAAAACAAAGTTAGATTACAGATTTTTGAGAAAATCCTTAATGTTATAGTCTAATGCTAGACTATTTTCAGTTTACATTTTAGACCTTTGGTCCTAAAACCAAGCTAAAAAACTTAAAAGAGAGATAAAGTTTCCACCCTTTTTTTGGGTAAATACAACTAATGTCTAATAATAGATCTTTTTATTGTCATCTAGAATATCTCTCTATGCCAAATTTCAGAGCAATTGCTGGTCAGGAAGTGGATTAAATTATAAGATTTGTCCATGGAAAAAGTGAAGTTAAAAAAAAAGTGTTGTAATAATAAAATAGTCATTTATAGTGGGGGGAAAAAAGCAAACATTTTAGATCATGGTATTTTAATGACCTATAATATGTATGTTTAATACAATGTCTGAACAATCATTATAAATTGTTTAGCCTTTTCTGTTTATACAATCAGATATACTCCATGTACTCACTATTAATTAACGAACCCGTGTTTTTAGTTTGCTAAATAATTTTAAATACTATTAGCAGTAAAAGTAATTTATTTATTTCCATTTAGATTCTCAAGACTCTGGACTCGATAACGATGTAGAATTTGTGAAAGAAAAATGCCCAAATGAGTATGAACTTTTTTTATAAATATTATTGAATTATTAACTTAATCATTAATTAGTGGTGAACTAGTTAATGTATGGAATCTAAATGGTATATTGTTAATAATAATTTGTTTTTATTTATTTTTAGTGATCTATCTGGAAAATCAAATGATAGAGTTAACATTGAAAATATAATATCAGATGAAAAGATTATGGATTTATTAAAAAAGGCGCAAAGTGGACCTGTTACTTACTCAAAGGTAACAATTTGTAGTTTTTGAAGGCCAAGAAAGTTTTAGAGGCATTGGTTGGTCGTATTTGAAAAAAATTATATGTTCAGGGTGATGCCTAAATAACAATTTTGTTTATTTTTTGAGGAGGCACCAATTTACACTTTAAATGTTTTATTTTTTTAACTGGCCAGTTAGATATTAAAATGTTTAAAATATGTAATATAAAATTTCGTAGAAATATTATTTCAAAATAATAAACTTATCTTTGTGTATTTTTTAATCAAAGATATACTAAGAAAAAAAAGTGTACCTTAGAATAAATTGATGGTACAGCAGAAAATTACAATTAATTCATGACAACAATTCACATGTTGCCTTCTAACATGGACAAACTGAACAAGATCATTAACATCTAATCATAATTTTTTCAACAAATAGCAATTCAATTTTTTTTTTTTTTAGATTAAAATACAATATTTTATTTTTAAGACATCAAAGTGACTTTTAAAAGTTCAAAGTAATAATTACTTTTTAAATTATTATAAAAGTTGTAATAATAAACTAATATTAAAATAAATTATTTACTAAAATAAGTATTAAAAAAAAAATAGAGAATGATTTAGTCAGGAGACAAGTACAGGGGGGTTGTCAAAGTCAAACTCACTAATTTCACCACATGTATCTGTAGTAAAAAGTTAAAAATAAGTTTAGATGGCCATATCTAAGTATAAGTTACATATTAAAAACTACGCCGCTAGACCAAATGAGGTCAAATTGAGAACTTGACAGAAAGTATGCTAAGTATTAGTTTCTTATTGAAGTATATGAACTTAATATATAAACAAAAGACACAGGAATTTAGTTTGCTCGTGGAACAAGTGTAAGGGAATTGTCAGTGTCAAAACTCATCCTCTTCACTTCTTTAAATGTGGAAACTACTTTTTGAGATAAGAGAAAACTTTATTATACATCGATACAATTTTTTCAAAAAAAAATATGACATTTCACATAAACTTTGATTCTGGGATAAGTATAGGGCAGTAAAATATTGCCAATGCAAACTCAACCCTAAAAACTAATTTCTGGGTTAAAAACCTGTTTTGTTTTCAAGTTAGCTTGTGAACATAAACAATATAGAGGAGAAGCTGAGAGTTAAATTGTCCATCTCTCAACGTAGCGGATGTTATGTTGCCAAGAACAGCTAAGCTACTCTGATAAAGGTACTTTGTTGGCTTCAGGATTGGCATATGGGAAAGCTACATTTTTAAATAGATTTGGTCCAAATTATGCACGTGAAATCTAGTGGGGGGAGGTGTATGAAGTTAGTTTCTACTTGACCCAAAGTTATATAAACTAATTTAAAAGTATGGAACCTCAGTTAATGAAATAAGTATGTAGGGATAACAAATATAAATATGTGCAATCAAATATTACAGAAACTCAACTTTTTGGAAATTTATCATGTATTTATGGTTTATGTAGGTTTTTTATCTATTTTTAGTATAGTTACATTTAAGCCAAAATTTAAATCACTAAAAAAAAAAAAATTAACTATTTTATTTTAATTAATGTTATAATTTTTCTAGATTGCTAATTAAATTATGGTTATGTGATGTTTATTTTACCGTTTTTTTATAAACTAGGAATTTGGATTTGAAACTGGACCCCGAGGCCACCAAGCTCGAACAGAAGAGGCACAGGGTATTATCCGTTTTGTAGTTATTGGTAATTCTCTAGACTCAAAAGTGGAAAAAAGCACTATGATGTGGTTAATACAATTACGAAACTTATTTCGCACTCAGTTACCTCGAATGCCAGTTAGATACATTACTAGATTGGTGTTTGATACGTGAGTACCAAGTAAAAACTTAATAATAATAAAGCCATCATAATGTGATTAATATTTTTATCTTTAGGAAACACAAAACACTAGTGTTATTAAAAGATGACGTTCCAATTGGTGGTATTTGTTTTTGTCCATTTATCTCACAAGGATTTACAGAAATTGTCTTCTGCGCTGTAAAAGTAGACCAACAAGAAAATGGATATGGAACACAACTTATGAACCATCTTAAAGATTACCATATCGAACACAAAATTTATCATTTTCTTACTTATGCAGACAAACTTGCTATAGGTAAAATTTGTAAAACACATCAACTAAAAAAAGAATAGCTATTTATTTTGTTTTCTTTAGAATATTTTAAAAAACAAGGCTTTAGTCAAGATGTAAAACTGTCAAAAAAACTTCATCAGGATTATATAAAACATTATCAGGGGGCTATCTTAATGCACTGCGAACTAAACCCAAAAATTATTTACACCCAGTTAACTTCAGTCATACGTCTACAAAAAGAAGTAAATTACATTTTTATTAAATGTAATACTGAATATACTAATTATAGTGATTTACTTTTTCGTTGTATGATTTTAGATTGTAAAAAGTCTAGTAGAAGAAAAACGAATCGGTGTTGAAAAACAATATCCTGGTCTGACATGCTTTTTGGACGGTGTACGTATGGTGACTATAGAGTCGATACCAGGAGTTATGGAAACCGGATGGATGCCGACTGCACGTTCGACTAGAAATAGCCGGGTGACTGAAGAAACCACTGATGCAGATTTGTTGGCTAAACACTTGAAAAAAGTGCTTCAATACGTAAGTTATTATTTCTCAAATGTGTTGAACTTCTTAGTGCAATTTAAATTTTAAAAAAGCCAATACAGTGGATTTGGAAATTAGTGGGGACGGAGTATATTCGGGCAGGACTAATCACAAGTCTATAGGAATTATTATAATTGAAAGTAAATTAATAAAATTAACTATAAATAAACGCTGCAATGTAAATCTGTAGATGGAATAAAATCATCAAATATTGATAAATACGAAAACGCCATCCGGATACTGTAAGTACTAGTACGCAGTTTGCTCATAAACAAAAATTGATAGCTCATTAAGTTGCGGTTGGACTTTAATAAACCAAGATTATTATTGTTTGTTAAAACAAAAGGAACAATTTTTATTTGAAACATTTTTTTCATAACTTTCATAGCTTTTGTAAAAACCGTGATTTTTTAAAAATTTGTTGATAAGAAATGATTTTGCCCGGGTTTAGAAAAAACTGGATTATATATTTAGATTCCCTGGCCTCGAAAACATAAAAAAACACCTTAACATTCCGGGGACCTTTCAGTGCATAAAAAATGGGGTTATTGCGGGACGATTAGGGTTGATTGTGTGTCTTAAATAATTTGTTGCCATATTTACCCATATATCATAATTTAAAATATAATGAAAATATTTTCAAATACCTTTTGATTGTTGATTCACTTATATAGAGAAACCTAAAAGTGTAATTTCCCTCTTTCTTATATTTTTTTTTATTAAAAAAAAGTCAGTATAAAAATCAGACCTAAATCTCTAAAACTGCTTGAAAAAGTGAAACAATAAAAAAAATTCTATCCTTTCTAGAGGAAAGGGTTAGGATATTTTTTTGGTTTATCAATGTTATTGGTAGTACTGTGTTTAAAGAATATTCCATACACATTTAGAATTAATTCGACTTTTTTTTTAAATTAACGAGCATTGTAATTTTAAGTAAAAAAATATGTAAATTTTTTGTGTGTTTTTCTCGACTATAAAGGGGAAGGGGTGACCTTTTTAAATTTTTTGCCCAATACAGTACCTTTCAAGTACGATTTCTGATCTATAATGTTGCTACACAAAGAAATTGGTTCAGCGGTTTAAAAGATATCGTGAGTCCAGACACAAAAATAAAATAAAAACACATTATTGTAAATACAATACCTTCTCAGCTACGCATCGAAGCTAAAAGTTTCTTCTCTTTCTGCAAGATATGTACATTTTTTATTGGTTTTTCTTGATTTTGGAAGAGAAGGGGTGAGGTTTTAAAACATTTAGCTGAAAAATATGTTGAATAATGCCGTATGTTTATGTTATCATATTTCAGGTAAAATCGCAAAAGTCTGCCGGACCTTTTATGAATCCAGTAGATAAAGCAGTGCCAAACTACTATGATATCATCAAATATCCTATGGGTTAGTGTTATTATTAGAAAAAACAAAAATCTAGATTTTATGTACAATGCATAAACGTTTGTTCACAGATTTGAGTACAATAGCCAAACGGTTGTCATCTGGTTATTATGTAACTAGAAAACTGTTTATAGCGGACATGAGACGGATGTTCACCAATTGCAAGACTTACAATCCTGAAGGGTCATACTGGTGTGAATGTGCTAATGAGCTAGAAAGAAATTTCCAAACAAAAATGAAAGAAATGGGACTATGGGATTATTGATATAATATATTATTTCAGCTGAATTTTATAAACATAATTTTTGTTTTCACAGTTTTGCAATATCAAGTGACAATGTGTACTTGATTCATAATTTTTATTTTTGTTACTATTATTACTAATTATTTTTAAATATTATGACAATTTGTGTTTATACTTATTCTTTTCTTGTTTTGTACCAAAAACTAATTGGATGACTAACGAAATTTGTAGGTAAATTTTTCATATTATATTTTTTTTATTGTACAAACAGTTATTCAACTCGTCTTTTAATTTTTTCTTCCAAAATACTTAAGTGATAATTATTACAACTACTAGAAAAATTTAAATCAAAAAATGAATTGTATAAAAATTATTTTAAAACATGAATACATATAATATAATATTCATTATAATTTATAATACACCAAAACTAATATTTTTCTTCTATATTGTATCATATACTATAGTTAAGTAAGATTGGTAATATTTATGCGAAGTCATCTTACACCTTGGTGTTCTTTTAAATTAGAATAGATCTACTAAGTATATCCAATAATTATGCTAAAATATGAATAAGAACTATAATAGAACAATAAAGACTACACTTAGTATTTTGGATTTAACACTCCTAATTATATTTATTTGTCAAATAAAATAAAAATGTTTACACTTTTTTTTCTGAATTGTATTTATTTATTTTTCGCAGTACATTATACCAGTTAATACATTTTTGTAATATCGTATTTTGACCCATGTGCCTATGAGCATTTTTTCTGTCTACCAAATCAATATGTTGACATTTCGACTTGGTATAATATGTTCATTTAGGTACTTGTCTACTTCAACCGTGCCAGCAACTGTTGAGTTATCACCTCCGCATAAGATTGTGGTTGTTTCATCAAACTCTTACCAAATTCCTGATAAAGTTAATGAGGATGTCGATTTTTGTTCATTAAATTCGATAGGTTTCTCTGAGATAATGTCTGAACTCTGAAGCTGTAACTATTAACTCTGTGGCGAAAGCAGGCAAAAGGTTGCCCGGCCGGTGTCCAAAGACATAGGTCGGTAGTTGTCGTGTGCGTATTTATATGTGCGCTCTGGGTGACTGGCGATCTGACCATGTGTTGAGGCGGTATCGATGCCGACAGCTAGGTTGTGCTAGCTGTAGCGCCTCGTAGCCATACATCCGCCACAGTACTGTATGTGGGGCCGTCACAACTCGTAAGATAATATTTTAAACCGGGGGCCTAAAAGGGTATAGTTTATGTGATCATAAGGTTGTCTTCCATGTTTCCAAACCTTAAAAACATATTTTCTTTTACTTTTGTTACAAGTGTATTCAATTCAGTCGGTAGCATGTTCGCTTGGAAATAATTTAGGCTTGTTTAAAAATGTTAGCAATGATAGCGTTGGTAACACTGGCCCAACAATGACCAGGGCCAGTGTACAACATTATTTATACTAAAAACGACTGTTTTTGCACATTGCTCTCTTAAAAGTAAGTTTATTTCATTCGTTATAAAATAACACGTGTATACTGTACTATTTTGTTTCTCCGTTCGTCTTTTTTTTTCATCCCTCGCATCTTTCGGGAAATCCCCCAAAAATTCGATTATTTTGAATAGTTTTGTATTATTTTTTAGGGTAATTTTCTTTGGTTGGGCATTGCGTTGTTTTTTGGACCCCCCAAGAAATGTCGGCACCGTAACCACCGTCGTACAACGGTTTAAATTCGGAATTGCGAGAACTACGCACTAAGATTGATACGCCGACTCGTCCAACATAGATACTATTGTTTATCATTTATTGCCCGATTAAGATAGCTCCATTCCACTTTTTGCTGGACGTGAGTCTAATAATAGTGCCGAGGGCTGGATTGTTTCAGTGGACGGACTTGCAATACACACATTAGCATCGTTGTTTGTAAACATATCGAATTACCAAATTAGCAAATACTAGTTATTTGTTCAATCCTACATAGTAAATTTTATTTTATCTTCAAACCTACACAATACACCTAATTCCATTTTTCTTTTTAATTTTATGTTCGTCTATTAAAAATAAAACTTTTAGTTTTAAATAGTATTAATATCCATTTAGTACTCAAAGAGTTGGAGCATTTTAAGGTTTACGGTTGTTATAAATATATTGACGCCATTTGTCAGACAGTAATAATTATTTGCCAGCTACTTGCTACTACGTGCATATTAACCTATATCCTAACCAACAATCGTTTTTTTGCTCAATGTTGAAGGTATATTTAAAATACAATAAAAAAAACAAAGGTAAACACAAATATTTTCGGTTTACATGACATACAATGTAGTGCAATCAGCTGTCAAATGTTAACATAAAAACAAAAAATGAACCTTAAAGTTGAACCCTAAGTCCTATTTGTCTTAATGTGAAATATTTTCAAATTTCAGAAAGGTTATAGGTACGAGTAATAAGGTACAAATCTACTTTACCGGACACCCTTTTTTTTCGATTTCGATTTTTTTTTATTCGATAGTATTTTTCACGCTGATTACGAATATGTACAAATTTTGCGCCGCTCGCACTTAGTTTGGAAGTTCAGAAGTTTGAAGTTCGCCAATATCGACTTACGCGCGCGCCCAGCGCCGCACGTCCATCCGCGGCCGCCGGGTACATCATTCGACGATCGCCGCTCTGGACAAAGCGGGCGTTCGTTATACTAATTACGAGCGGCCCCCTCGTCTACTTGCCTCCCGCCTGTCGTAATCTTTTTTTTTTTTGTATTTATTATGAGTAAACATTAGTTTTGAAATGACAGCTATATACAGATTATACAGATCAATTTAGTTTTAAAAAAAAACTCATAATTAAATAAAGCGACTTCCTACGCCTGCCGGCTCCGGGAGTCGACTCGAGTCCCTTCGGGACTCATCGTTAGGATGGAGGCTCACACCCCAAACCCCCAGAGAGAAAAATAGCTCGCCTAAAGGAAATAAAAAAACTAACCTGAAACTGCCCTGGAAGCGGTCAGCGACCTAACGAGACAAAACCTAGCCCAGTGATCGGCGATCTTTAAACGCCTGTAACTTGTTATCAGTAAAACGCGCGATTTTTGTTATGAAGTACCCGGCGGCCGCGAGTAGACATGCGGCGCTGGGCGCGCGCGTTAGTCGATATTGGCGAACTTCAAACTTGTGTAACTTCTAAACTTAGTGCGAGCGGCGCAAAATTTTTACATATTCGTAATCAGCGTGAAAAATACTATCGAATAACAAAACAGAAATCGAAAAAAAGGGTGTCCGGTAAAGTAGATTTATACCAAAAAAATAACGAATAATTATTCGTGTTCCAAATCAAAACAAAATTAATACTTATTTTATTACCCTAAAAAAAGTTATACTATAGTTATTAAGGTCGCTAAATTAAAATTCGATATTAGTTTTTTAATTCTCCCCTTACACGTGAGCTTTAGGTGGTAATGCATAAAACTTTTAAAAATATACTAATAACTAAAGAAGTAATAATTATATTCAAATGATTTTATTTTTTACTCGTCATTCTTTAATTGTGGAATAATTAAGAAACAATTTTAACGAAAATAAAATTGAATCATATCAGATTAAAAAAAAAACTTTTTTGAAAACATGCTTTTCTAAAAAATAGAATAATTTTACTATAAGAATAATTCACAAATCAATTGTAGTACATTTTATTTAAAATTCCAATTACTTTAATAACAACCATAATTCAACAAAGTCCAAATTCATTGAATTAAGTATTATGAAATGTATGTGTCACACACTAATATTCAACCAAATTTAAATTACAAAATATTTTACAATATAAAACATCTGAAATTTTATCTGATATACTTATGAGGGACTTTGTTGAATAGGGCCCCCGCTTTTATTTTTAGTAAAAAATTAAAGATGTTTAACATTATTCAAAATTGTAGTTCATTTTCAGTTGTTTCCAAAGTAATTGCCATTTTTAAAAAATGTGCTACAATTGATTGGTAAATTATTCTATATAGTATAATTTTGTTTTTATATGTTAGTTCACTTTTTCACTATTTTTTAGAAAAGCATGATTTAAGAAAGTTTAATTTTAATTTTTTACTTTTTAGTCTTATTAAAAGGTAATTAATAATTGTGAATAGATTACTAAAATAATTTTGAAAGATTTGAAAAAAAAATGAAATTTTAGTGAAATGACCCCCATATTTGTACGGCGACCTGGATGTCCGAGTCCCAATATTATTACAGGATATTGTTTGTCATCCGAGATGAGGGCCATGTTTCAGCCCTTTACGTCCTACGACTACAGGAAGTAAGTTAAATTAATTATGCATGATTTGAAAAACGTACGTACGTATGTGTTTGTGAGTTAAAGAAAATCAGGTAAAAACTTGAATACACCAATTTGACAATTTGGCCAAACCCATGTAGTTTAATGCAATTTTAAAAGTTAATTCTTTTCATTTATTTATGTAGGTACGTTATCGTTTTTTTCTGAATTTAAAAGTTGTTGTAAATATATAAATAAGGTATTTAACGTAAGTCCAAAAAAATTTTGTTTTTGATCTGACCTTTTTTTTTGGTAATTCAGATCATAGAAAGAATGAAAAAAATTAGTTCTAACAATTAAAAAATTACTCATATTAAATTATTATGTTTTTATTTATTTTAAAACATGATATATTTGAGACCTATATAATAATACATTAATTATTTTTATCACACACTATAAATATCAATATTTAAGCATTTTTAGCCAGGTATGAGAACTTTTTACCAGTATACATATTTTGCAGAATATTGATTATTATTACACTATTAATTTATAATTACAATATAATATAACCTAAAAGACAAAGCAAGTATATAATTTTTTATGATAAACTTCACGATTTAATACTTGTTTTAGATACATAAGTATATATTTGGAATTTAAACAATTATGCATAACCTAATCTTTTATATAATACTAAATATTTTAGGGGGCTATGTATAGCTTGGCGGGGGCTAAGTCTCCCTAGCCCCCCTTCTTTTTTGCGCTTATGGTTGATTATCTGTCTATAAAAATATATTAACATAGTAAGAAACGTGGACGGATAATTTCTGGTATATTTAATAATTACCCTTCTTCATAATTTAACTTGGGAAGTAAACTGTGTCATTGATACTTTAACCGGACTGACAAGAGTTGTAATAAAACACTTGCCATTTTTATTGGTAGAAACAAAAACGATAAAAAAGCAGCGTAAAATGATTAATAACAAATTCAATCAGCCAGTTGCCACAAATTTATTTTCCCAGCGAAATTTATTAAACACGTGGATTCTTCCTCAATAATTATTATTCAAAGACATTGATTAGTTTTTTACCTATATGTATGGTCAGTATATTTCAATAATCCTAAAGCTAAAAAGAGTATTATAAAAACTTGAATGATAACTATCGTGTAATTACTTTTTATGTTAATTAATAAAATATACATTAAAAACATAAATATAATTTTATATTCACTGCAAATAAGCCGAATATAGGTTAAAATACTAATATCTCAAATAAATCGAATTACAAAATCTACGCACATTTTTGAATTCAGATAAATAGTTTATAAAATAACTTAAATGTAATTTATTATTAAATGTATTAAATCAGTAATTTTTAAATGTAAATGTAAACTGTAAACTGTTGTGCTATGTTTTATTAATAATAGGAGATTGAGGTATGTACTTATTAAAAATAATAAATTAGTGCTCGATTGAATAACTTAACACAATGTCGCGTACATGTCAATGCTGATGTTCTGTACTAATTTTATCAGGCGTCTGATCGGTCTATTTTTATTTTTTAGCATATAATATTTTTACGACGAAGTATGTACAACTATGTGACTTAAAATATACTACACCTTTAAATCGAGATAGTTATAAAAAATAAATTATGACTGTAATGACAAAATGAAAACAAAGACACATTTGATAGCTCTGACCTGTGTTTTTTTTAACGAACAATAAAATTAACATTTTATTGCAATTTTTTTTTATGCGCGTCATAAAAAGAAATGTTGAAAAAATAACCAAGTTGTTAATAATATTTTGCATTCATCACCGACCTTTACCACAGATCCGGTGGTGTATTCATAAGCGCAATTTGGATTTTGAACTTGAGGGATCTAGAATATACTGGAAACAGTCTAGTGGGCGGGGAGGGAGGGGAGAAGGCTTCAAACTTCCTCCTTAAAACCTTAAAATTAAATATAAAAATTAAACTTGATTGTAAAAATAAATAAAAAAACGTACTATAAAACTACTGTAGGTAAAACTGTCAGTTTCTATAAATCCTAAACCTGATATTTCTCACTACAAATTAAAATACACTTGAATTTTTTAAATATTAATATAGTTAAAATATTTATTATTTTATATTATTTATTATATTATTTTATTTAATAACATACATAACATAATGGCGATAGATATAGAAAATTTATTTAAAACGCCTTAATTTTTAAGACTATAAACCTAATATCTTGAAACATGGATGTACATTGTGCATAGCTAGTTTTTTTTATCTTTCTCATAGCCGAGAAATATCTTTTGTGTGTAGACCGTAGTAGAAGAAATTGGTACAGTGAAAAAAAATACCCAAAAGGTAAACAAATCTGAAATCTGGATACATTTTACAATCTACGGACTATGATTAATTGAAATTCCTCTAAATCAACATTTATTTTTACTTATTCAACTAGTGTTTCACTAACATAATTTCTGATCGAAGGGCATTTACATCCACATGTACAGAGTATCGAACCTAAATATAAAACAAAACAAATACACTAAATGTTTCAAATATAAATAAAATAAAATATTTACTCTATAATGTTTGATGAATTAGTTACCGGATCATAATCTAATTATGAAAATGAAAGCTTATATAAATGTAGGTAAGTAATCAAGCAATAATTATACTTTCTAAACTTCTTATTCAAGTTCAAAGGAAATTGTGGTTTAAGAATTATGTACATTGTACTTACTACCATCCAATATACAATTTCTTTAAGGCCTTCGAAATAATGTATGCATCATTTCTAAATTGCTAATATTTAGAAAATTTAACTGGAATATTATTGTCACAATATTTGATGTTCTACCAAAATATGATCAAAAAACATTTTGATAATATACTAGGCAAATATTATTAAAATATATTTTAAAAATCAGAAAATACTAAGATAGGTAATTTAACTACACCGACATATCTAATGTAAAAATTTAAGAAAACTTTCTTTTCTCCGAAGGAACAAAAAGTTTTTCTTTGTTTTCTTTATAGTCAAAGTTTTTAGATTTAAGGTTAGCACTTTAGACTGACGGTGGGTCTTCATATAATATATTCACTTTAAACAAACTATTGAAGAAAACCTATTGGCACAGTACTTACTAATTGTTCTTGATGTTTATTTTAAATGTTTTTTACGATCTCCAGGTCGTGTTTGGAAATTCGAATTGAAATGTGGACTTAATCTCTTACAAGTTAGTGCCTCGTGAGATTATTATGAAAGGATCTATTGTCTTCCTTATATTACTGTCGAAATCTATTAGTGTGTAAATAAGCAATTTGGTTGGTCAACTTGAGAGGATTGTTGATTGGTAATTGGTAAACTAAAATCTTAGTCTCGGTTTTTAATCTTTCAGTGTCAAAATATATCTCATATTATAATGAATAAAACAGTCAGTGTCGTCGATAATGTTCGTCAGATGATAGATAGTTCATATCATGAACACCTAAATTTTGGGGTGGAGTCCGGTAAACATTCTAAGTGGGTACATATTATCTAATATAATATAAATTTATTTTTTAAAATTATTGGGTTTTGTAAGAGTTTGGCAAACGGTGCCACTTAGAACAGTTGTAATAAGCTTTTGTAAGTTTGGCTTTTAATGCAGTGACGTGATTTCCTAGCTTTAGGAAATTAAACACTTAGGGGTTTTTGTCAGAGAGTTTATGATGGAACACGTGACGGTAACTCGCGTTGGACTGAAAACATTGCGAGTTACCTAAGCCCCGTCGCATCATCCCCCATGATAGGTCACAACCCTCGGACCGCTGCAGCACCCGCGGACACTAGGTATACGGTAGCGACCGCAGGTACGCGCGTAGTGAATGGATGACAATTTACGACGGTCCGTGCGCTACCCCGTAAACGGTACCATCGCATCGCGGTGTACCTGGTGTCTCCGCGATACAGTACCGCTCTTCTCGGACGCCGCATCCTCCACCGACGTATGCTGAACTGTGGACCGCGTGCGTATAAGGCGGCGGTTTCGAAGTCGAGGTCACATTTTTGTCCGTGTCTCTTTTGCCGAGTCGGCAGTGACGGCCAAGTCTGTTGGCCCCCACTGCCGCCGTGTCCCGTATACTGTCTATAGACTATACACTAACCGCCGGCAGCGCTCTCACCGTCGATTCGTTGTCGGACGAAAAAATGTTATCACGTGTGCCGCCCGGCCGCCAGTCAGTACACGTACCCGGCCGCGTTTGCTCGTCTCTACTGCATGTCACGCCCGGCCGTACAACACACTTGACAGTAGTTCAACGGGTCCGTTCAACGGCGAATCGAGTTCAACGTGGTCGTATGACCGTATACGGTGTGGCCGTTTCGTACTGGTGTTCGCGTGTGATAGCCTATTACGATGCGCCGCCTAAGGTTCTGACGGCGTGGACACTTATCCATGTATAAAAATATTATTGACTAGAAAATAATAGCAACTATTATTATTATTATTATTGCCGCCACCGATCGAGTAATTATCGTATCGCTCTGATCAGCTAATACGGGACAAGTGTAATTTATCATTGTAATTATTTTTTAAAAAACCAACCAAGATGACCACCAACGGCTTCATCATCGGTGACGGCTCCTGGAACCTGCAGATATACGTTTCCGACTTGCAGGTGGAACGCACCCTCAGGGTCAAGGGAGACTTGCACATCGGAGGCGTCATGCTCAGGCTCGTCGAAGATTTGGGTAAGCCCCGATGATAACATTTAACCTTTTTTTCCTTTTTTGTATCCCGGATACACATCCGGTTCGCAGAGTTTAAAAAATCGCAATACGCGCCGATTGTCCACACACGTGTTGTGTAAACCGAAACAAAAACAGAAAATGTATCTGAGCAATAGGTTTTGAAAAAAATACATCAGTCGAATCGAACAAAATATCCTAATCGTTGTGCGTCTAATATCTAAAGTCATCCCTATATGGTAAATCGCATTAGTAAAAGGCTATTTTTTACGTCAAGTGGTCTTTTAAAAAACTGTACTTGAACCTAAAAGAGCGTGACTAAATTAGATCCATCGTCGCTTTTGGGCAGTTCAGAGTTAGATGTCTTAAAATAAATTCCTAAGAAGGAATTAGCTTGTCATTCTACATTTTCCATTGATATTAGCCGTTAAGGAGAGAAAAAAATTAGGCCCTCAGTCAGCAATACTTTGTTGTACAGTAAAGCTATGGTATTGTTCATTAATCGTTAAAAAATATGCATACAGACTATACTTTTTAAATCATATGGAATGAAATAGTATTACCTAAGTCATATTTTATTCGGTTAGTGTCTTCTTACCGGCCGACCAATAAAACTATTTTAATAATAATGTCAGTGTGGAGGCAAGGTCGACGTCACTATACAATACAGCGATATCGGTCGCGTTTGTTTTAGCGAATTTAAAATAGCAGAATTCGATTATTATTAATTATTGTTATTCTAATATTGCCTCTGGATAGATTATTATTACCTACTTAATATATTTTTATCTATCATGCTTCAACTATGATAGAATAATATACCTACAGCTGGTTCGATATACCTGCATAAAATTACAATAGTGCCTAAGAGTCTACTAGCTACTATATATTGTTGTGGTGTATTATAATATTATATACACGTCCGACGACGCCTACATTAATATGATAAGAACCGCTGAGGACGATAATATTTTGGTCGTTTATCACAGTAATAATACTATACAAAGGGTGTACAGGGTGTAGAAGGTAACAATATAACAATAACATGGTAATTAGACATTGTAATATTAGTATACGGAGCGATCCATTTAACATAAGACACACAATATCTCTTGAAATAATTACAAATTTGTAATTTTTTTAATTTATGGTTGTTTGTTATTTAACAATAAAATAAAATTACTAAATATTTACTTTTTCTAGAGCTTTATCAACTTTTGAAACTAAAATGGTTATACAACATAAAATTGACTATAAATTTAACATACATTTTTGAATTTTTAATATTATATTTAACTTGTTAAAAATGTAAAAAATCTCGATAACCAATTTTGAATTTTGAAAAAGTTATTAAATTAAAAAATTTAGGAAAAGAGTTGGACTGCGATTGAGTAATGCACGCAGATAAAAATAATACTACATTCCACTTTTTCTCCTGTCCTAAATTTTAATCTTTAGTATATTGTAAAGTAGTTATTGAAAACTTGTTATTTTCGGTCAGCCAAAATGTTTAGTAAATTCTTATTTTTTTAAAAAGTTAATAAAATATAAACGTCACCATTTGAGTTTGAATAGTTTATAAAGAGCTTTGGAATTTATCAAAAACCACAAAAGCTTAAATTTTGTTTAATAACATAAAAAAAAATCACATAAACTAAAATGTCTCTAAAAATAAACAAAATTGTAATTATTAAAAAAAAAACTTGTGTAAAAATATGGATCGCTGTATATTATGTTTAGCGGTCTGTGAGTTGTTATTATAGACTAGGTAAATAATAAATAATATTGCAAGAAAAGTGTTGTTACGGGCATTAAAATATTTAACTCTGCGTAATGAATTAGACGTGCACATAAAACGTTAGAAACGCCTGTTGCGCGTTAAAAAAAAAGAAGAAACCATCCGGGTAAGGTACACTGTATACAATACACGATGCACGTTAATGATTAATACCTACCTATTGCAGTTTTACCTTATCTCTAAGGTGTCAGGATTTTTAGTACACTATAGCGCTTCGCCTTGTTCATTGTGTTTCTTTTTACTGACAGAAAGTCATAAAAAGCGACTGATCGCGTAAGCGAGAAAAATTACATCAAGTTTCAAGTTCATCCTTATGTCGTCCGTCGTGTGCAATGCATTTATATTTTATGAGCAGATTGTGGTGTTGGTGACGAACCTAGTCGAGCGTTTGTCTTCTATTATTGTTATACGGCCGCCACAGTCTTTTACAAAATGTTTTAAATAACAGTACAGTGTTGAGAGATACCAGCATCCGTGAATGGCAACCACGATTTAAGATAATGATGGCAACCTATGTCTGTCAAACGCCGCACCGTGGTTCGTTAAGTCTGTCCGGTGGCTTATATATATATAGATACAGTTTCTCGGAGGGTAAATCATAAAAATAGTTAAAAACTATTAGATCGTTTGGTGAACGATGGGGGTACTGTCTATTACAGGTACCGTCGCAATCGGCTGACATGTCTTTCTCAAATGGACTGTTTACTATATTCGTTATTGTTAATTTTTTTTTATATTTATTATTGAATACTAATCGACGGCCACCCAGTGTACAGTTGTATAATAAGATATTGCAGGACCACCATCCTGAATGTGCGAATGAAACTCTTATTTTTTTTCACGACGCCGGAGGAGTAGTATGTATTTTAAACTTGTAAGGTTAGCTTAACTGACTGGTTGTATAAATTGCCATGTAGTATCCTGGGTCGTACCGTGCATATAATAAAATGTTTGATTTACAATAAAAACAGATGTGAGTAAACATAGTTGTTCACTCGTTACCTACTGTGAATGGACACCTAATTTCTTTCTATTCCACGCCGCAGACAGGCGGACCACAAGTTGGTTTAGGGTAGGTAGTTCGAATGTATTGGCCTTTGTACAGCAACAACGATAATCATATATTACAGTCGGTTGAAATACCCAGAAATACCTAAGGGTCTCTTTTACTTTTACAACAACCGTTACGAGGCGGCCATTTTCAGGGGGTTCTTTGTTCGTGGGCTAAAAAGCTAGAAAAACGTTCACCCCTCCCCCCTTGACTGTGAGTGTTGTTAGTTAAGTAGTGTCGTTTCGTCCGAGAGGCTGTGCACCATGTCAAGTTATCTCACGAAAGAGGATTGATTTTAAGAGGCGCCCCGCGCCAGGCGCCGGCTTAATGCGTTTTCACAAAAATCTATCTATGTATATATAAATATTATGTACGTATGTTATACATACATTCTTTTGTTCATCTCTCTCTCTCTCTCTCTCTCTCTCTCTCTCTCGGGTGTTTTTATCGTTAGACTCGAGGCGTGTAGTCTCTCTTTTTTTGTTTTCTTCAAAAAACACAGCCAAGGAAACCGGGGTCTGTAAAAAATCTCATTTTCATGTCTTTCTCCCACTCGCTTATATTATGGTTAACACCATAAAACTGAACGATTGGCATAACAAAAAAAAACTGGTATTTATATATACGTGTAAGTAGTATTATTACTACTGTTGGCGCGTTTAGGGCAGCCGGCAGCCGCCTTGTATCAATGAACTACTACAGGCCGTAAACCGAAAAAAATAAATCTCAATTATATTTACTTTATTCGATATTTTATAATAATACATTTGGATCACTGTACTTTGCAAAATTGATTACTCCGGTAGATTTGTTACGTGAATTAGTCGCGCTTGCGTATAGTTAATTATTATTATTACTATGGACGAGAGAGCGGTTGTTTCTCCCATCGTTGCTGTTATAATAAAAAAAAGGGCTTTATATTTATAGATATTTAAAATTAGCGTCTTGCGGTGGGTCGTAAATAAGTCGGGGCCGACCGACCGAACGCATTTACGACGGTCCTTCCGAGTATAACAAAAGTGTAGCGTAGTTAAAAGTAATGGTCGGGGATTAAAAAAAAAATATTTATTAAAAGTTTGTGACGTTTTTCTCTTCTCGGCCACCGAAAACCAGTGCAGTACTGATATTAATGATACGGCGACGGTCCATGTATGCCAACGATAACGGCAAGTGAGGGACTGAAACAATAAATTTCAAAAGTAATCCAGTCTATTGCGCGTTATCGATATTTTCTTTCAGACTTGGCCCATGTTCGCGCGTTCTTAGTGTGGTTTTTTTATATAATAAATAATATTTCGTGGAAACGGTTTTTAGCGGATACAAACCGACCGTAAAATGTATGATTACAAAATATGGGAATGCGCCGGATGAATTGTCTCTTTCAACAGGCACGCATATTCGTATTATTATTACCAAGTAATAATAATACGGGTACGTCTTATGAGTCGTATACACAAGTTTAATAGATCCAAAAGACGTTATACGACGTTGCCGCCCAAAAGTATTTTATTATGATTTGACCCTACCACCTGTATCATCCGCTTTGGCGTAAGCCCAGTGGTGCCGGTGGTGGGCCTAACCCACATATAATGGGGCTCACGCCGCACGTGCTGTGCTCTGTATTTAATATTGTTATTGGGCCACGCGCTTCTTGTACGGGGGCGGTCGATCGGAAGCAAACGCCGTCGATCCGCGTTATATACATTGTACATACCAGAGCTGAACTCGTGCAGATGGTTTATATAGATCGTTGGAATTTCGAAAACTAGCTACACTGCCGGGTGTGTGTATGTGTGTGTATGTGTATGCACATGAACCTAACCTAACCACCGGCTCTTAACTCGAGCAATAAATATCTCATCGGCCAGTGCATATGGACAGGGTCGGCCGAATGCATTTGTTGCCGTCCATAACGCATTTTGTAAACGACAGTGGTAGTGTAACGGGCGTGCCATGTGGCCCGGATTAACCCGCTTTGAGTACCCCTTACCGCACTCCGCAGCGTTATAAAAATAAACCTTATTCCCCTTCCTTCTGCGCGCTAGACGTTCAAAAGTTCTCCACGGCTACTACCGCTAATACCATAGTGTCGGGAGTCATCTGGTTTGATCTGTACCCTGAAAATGTCTACTATAAACTGTTTAAGACCCTATC